GCCTGCACCTGTAGTACCTGTAAGGCTGACCCTGGTGAAGGTGAGGCTAAGATGGCCCAGTCACCGATCGCTAGGTAGTCTGGGGGTGGCGTGAAAGTGCTTAGCGTAGGCCACCAAGTTTTCGGGATTGCGTCATAAATGTCTTGAATGACCGGCATGCACCTTGGAATTCCTAGGGAGGGAATTTGGCTTGAATTTCCTTCTTGTTAAGCTTGCGAGATCCAGAGGCGGTGGGAGCGAGAAGGTTGCCGAGCCTTAATTCTTGGGTGAGTAAAAAATTTTCACCTTTAATCCGGCCAAAAGGTCTGCCGTGGGTGCGTACGATCTCGCGGTTGAAAGCCAGAGGTTCGGCCATGAGTACCCATGGTTCGAGGCGAGGGGGGGGGATTGTCGTGGGGAGGTCCATCGTGGCGGTGACTTCAGCTACTACGCGTGCAGGAGTGTTTTCGGGCATGAACTTGAGGATGTCCTTGTGAGCCAAAAAACAGTGGAGTCCAAAAGGGAGTGGGCAACATGACCGCGCGATTTCTTCCGCCGGCAAGGGATGGAAGCGACGTGCTGCCCGTTGCACATTGAGCGCTTGTAAGTGTCTGGACGGTTCGATGGCTCCTATTCCGCCGTGACGTTTTTTGTTGTAGAGAAAGCGTTTGGTGATAAGGCGCGTTCCTTTGCCATGTTCTCGATATTTGGAGGCGGAGAGTAGGTTCCCAACGATTAGGTCTAGTTGTTTTGTGACACCGTCTGGGGGGGGCTGGAAACGTCCACCGAAAGCGAAACGTCAGACAATTCGTTCTGTTGAGAGAGCTGAGCGGCAGGTGGCTGTGGCATGCGAAGAAAGAGGCGGTGGGTCTTATTTGGTTGAGAATTTTTTCCCAAGTTGTGGCTCCCGGGGCGTCAGATTGTGTGTATATTCCGAGGATGCGTTCAGCTTCGTTGTGTTGTCGAATGGGTATGGGACAGGAGGCTGGGATGTCGGTTGTTGGGATATGGAAGAGCGACAGAGAGCATTTGGACCAGTTAGGATGTTTGCCGGAGATGTTGGCGAAGGATTGTAGGAGATGCATGGCTGTCTGTAGCTCTGTGCCCGAGTTTAAGAATAGCGTCATGTCGTCCGCGTAGCAGGCGGCGAGGCGTCGTCGTGCTGGTGCGAAGGCGAAGCCGGGCAGGGAGACTGAGAGGTGACGATGGAGGACTTCAATGACACATATGAAAAGGAGGGGGGCTAATGGGCAACCCTGTATGACACCTGTGTTGACTGGGAAGGAGGGTCCAGCCAGGTTGTTGACAAGCACTTGTGTACTTGTGCCAGAGTGCAGGAGGCGCACCCATGCGACAAACTCGTGGGGAAGACCCAGGTGTGTGAGGCATTGGTAAAGGAAATCGCGGTCAACCATGTCAAATGCTTTTTTTATGTCGACCGTGACGAGGAGAAGGGGGAGTTGCCGAGTTTTTGCCCACTCCATGAGGTCTAGTGAGTCGTTTATGGTGTCGCCAATACGCCGTCCCTTAACAAAAGCGGATTGCGCCGGGTGTATGAGGCGTCGTAAGGTGAGTTGAAGCCTGTTTGCGAGGCAGATGGCTAGGATCTTGTAATCCGAATTCATCAAGGTGATAAGTCGAAGGTTTTCAACCAGAGAGGAATCTGAACGTTTGGGTATGAGGACAGTTCGGCCTTGCAGCATGGAAGGCAGCATGAGTTGAGTGCGTTCAATGGAAGTGAAGAGTTGATGGAGGACGGGTGCCAGAAGGTTGGTGTGGGCGCGGAAGTAGTCGCCGGCGAGGCCGTCAGAGCCAGGCGTTTTGCCCCGTGACAGGGATTTAATTGCCCGTGAGACTTCCGATAGCGCGATGGGAGCAGACAAACGGGAAAGTAAGGATTGGGCTAGGGATGACGGATATATGTGATCCCAGAATTCTGGAGAGGGACTAGTGGGGTTGTTGCTACTGTAAAGGGAGGAGTAAAACTCAGTACAGTGTGTAGACATGGCCTGGAGGTCTGTGATTTGTTCGCCAGAAGGCAATGTGAGATGTGGTATGAGAGCCGCTTTGATGCGCGATGTAAGGCCGACCAGGAGTGAGGGCAGGCCCATTTCTTTGGCGCCTTCCACCTTCAGTTTCGCTTTGAGCGCAATGTCAGCTGCGCGTCCAGCAATGTACTTGTCAAACTGTTTCGATGTTCTGTCAAGGTGTGCACGAGAAGACTGGTCGCGTGGGGAACGGACCAGAATGAGTTGGAGGCGGCACATTTCGTTTTGGAGGTGAGTGAGAGTATGTTGCACTCGAAGCCGTTCTTCACGTGTGTGTTGGCGTAGGAAGAAACACAGGCGTTTTTTCCACGGGTCCCAAATTGAAGGGTTAGATTCAGGGGGGAGTTGAGAGCAGGCTTCTGTGGTTAGTTTGGTGACGAAAGGTCTGTGGATGAGTGAGTGTGGGAGTCTCCAAGCCCTTGGAGCTGCGTTGGGGTTGTTAAGCCCAAGCAGCATCTCCGGATAGTTCGAGTGATCCGACACGGTATGTGGAATTGTCGGATGGGAGAAGGTGGGAATGTGGGGGAACCAGGGTTTGGAGATGTATATGCGGTCGAGACGAGAGGACGGGGGGTCGTCAGAAGACCCGTCCAGGAAGGGGGATTTGTATGTGAAAGCGGGTACGTCTGGGTGGCGGTGCCTGAAGGGGTCGTACTGTCAACAAGACTAGGCAAGAATGATTGAAAGGAGAGGGGTTTCACTAGCAGCAGTTGGGGTACATATAGCAAACCCTAACTGGGTTGTACTCGCTATAGAGCACCCCACTACAGGCTAGACAATAATAACATTCTGACACATCCCCATAGCCAAAGTGGGGTGTAATCAGTACAATGAGCAGGCATAGCAATAGTTCACAATTATAAGCAAAGCTAGAGGTGATCATAGAGGGCAAGTGAGGAGGAGGAGAAACTGTGAGGGCGAGAAGATGAAAGGCGCCGACTGAAGCTGCAGACACACGGGCAACAGGAGCGGCGCGCACAGTGGCTACCGAGCGCACGAGGGCACCGGACTACGGGAGTATCTGGCTCCGCGGCTACGACGAGCACACACAGGAGCAACGGACCCACAGGCGACTGGCGAAGCAGGCTCGCTGGGCTACCGAAACGCGCGAGGGCATCCGGACTACTGGCGCTGCTGGCGTCACGACGGCTACCTCCACGCAACCTCCCCCGACCGTCCCACGCCCCTCTCACACACCCCCTGCTGACACCCTAGCTCCACTTCCACGGCACCCCCCTTAAACCCTAAACCCTCGGCTCCCACACACCCACCCCCCTCAGCGGCAGCTGCAGCAGTGGGAGACGGAGGAGGAGGAGGAGCCGCAGGTTACCCACACCGGTCACCCCCATGCCCGCCACCCCCAAACCCTAACGCAGGCAGGAGCGCGGGAAACAGCAGGGGCGGGGCACGGAGGGAAAGGGAGGCAGCGGGGTGGCTCTTGGGCGCCACGAAGAAGCAGGGCGCGGGCCCCCCGAGGGCGCCACGGCGGGTGACGGGAGGGGGGCCGCGCACGGGCCCCCGAGGGCGGCTCGACGGGCGACGGGAGGGGCCGCGCGCGGGCCCCCTAGGCGCCGCGACGAGGCGACGGGAGGGGGGGGACGCGCGGGCCCCCAGGGCGCCGCGACGAGGCGACGGGAGGAGGACGACGGGGGGCAGCGCGCAGGTCCCCGGGGGCGCCACGACGGGCAGGAAACCGCCGCGCGCCTCGGGGCGCACGGCGGGCAGAAAACCGCCGTACGCCCTGAGCGCACGGCGGGATGAAAAACCCTAAAATTTTTCGCACGGCAGGAAGAAGACGGCGCGCGCCCGAGGCGTGCGAGAAGCAGAATAGCAGCGGAAGCAGTTAGGTGGCGGGCCCACCCACAGGATCGACCCAAGGGGGTCGACCTGCTCTGATAGCATGTCAACAAGACTAGGCAAGAATGATTGAAAGGAGAGGGGTTTCACTAGCAGCAGTTGGGGTACATATAGCAAACCCTAACTGGGTTGTACTCGCTATAGAGCACCCCACTACAGGCTAGACAATAATAACATTCTGACACGTACAGCCCGTGTTTTTCCAGAATGTCGGTAAGTATTGCCCCTTCTCTGATTTCAGAGGTGAAAAGGTCTCGGTTGCGATCAATGGGGGCTGTGACTACGTTAAAATCCCCCATGACTAACGATGTTTGTGTGGCAGATGGGCGATCCAGTGCGGCGTCCAGGGCATCCACCCACCATCTTCGCCTTTCTGGCTGGTAGTTGGGGCCATATAAACAGAGACACCTGAATTGTTCCTGGAATAGGCGGATATGTACGGTTAGTAGCCGGCCGTTGGCAGAGGCTGCACGGTCAATTATAGAGATATTGGGGTTGAAAATGAGAAAGGAAATGCCCCCTGGATCAGCCCTGCCGCTGCTGACAGTAGGGGGAGCTTGTGCATAGGCTTTGGGACGGAGTTTGTGAATGAGTTTGGTGAAGTTCCTGGTCAGGCGCGTGTCAATTAATACTAAAATGTCGGGTAATTTGACAAACATGGCTCTGAGCTCATCCATTTTTTTAAGTGAGTTAAGACCGTTGACATTCAGAACAGAGAAGTTTAGTGGGATTAATATTGGAACAAATATAAGGCCCCTGTGCACATGTGTGCACACATCCACGGGGCTATTTTCACAGATACAGTAATGGAGGGGCCTCTAATATGGGGGAAAAAAGGCTGTGCATCATGAAAGCGTGTTGCTATTGACGTTAGAAGGACCAACTTGTATGTGAGTTTGTGTGTTCTTTTTTAGCCGTCAAGGCGAAAGTGAGCTAGCGCTATAGGAATCATGGTGCGCAAGAAGGGTCGCAAACGAGAAGGTGTATAAGACAGGAAGATACACAGCCAGCACACTGCCAGAGCAAGGATATCTAACAAGGCCAGCGCCGGGCCTAGACGGCACAGATCAGAGAGTTGGTATGCATTCAGCCAGATTGTTATTGGCCAGTCAAAGGCTACATGAGTGACGCCAGGAAGGAGAGAATCTCCTGACGCTGGCGTAGGTCGTGCACTATCCTTGGGCCCCAGGTCTCCAGTGGGGTTGTCTGGTTTTCTGCCTGCATGAGGCGCAGCCCATGGCCAGGGGAGCGGATGTGTTCGAAGGCGCTGTCGAGAGCGGGGCCGCATTCGAAGTCGCACAAGGCGCAGGTCCAGAGCTCGACGTCGTCCTCGGATCCTATATACAGGATCCCGGGGTCCGCTTTGACTGCCAGTGGAACGGGCGTCTGTCCGAGCAGTTTGGCTGTTGGGGGATAGATAGGAAGGGACGAAGAGAGGAGGGCGTGCGGAAACAGCAAGATGGGGGAGTTCGCCATCCTTGCTGGCGTTTATATGAGCACATGCAGGACCAGTCAGATGAAAGGAACAGGCTTCAAGAGATATTGAGAGGTGCAGGGAAAGCACACAAGAGCCAAGGTTAATCAAAGCGTCAAGTGGACAGGAGAGATGGGGATAAGAACAGGTGTTCGAGGTAATAAAAGCAACGGTCGTACCACTGATGTTATGTAGTTGAGCCACTGTGACCGTGTACCGGTTGGGAAGGCGTCGGTTCCTCGTCGCCGCGAACCACTGGTGATCTCGCGTGCGATGATTACTCGTGCAGATCTCGCATGAGTGGCAGGACAGGTTGATGATCATGGGCAGTTGCGCATCCTCCAGCCACAGCACCGCGGGAATGTTCTCGAAAAAGGGGTCGTCCGTCTTAGCAATGGGGAGGCCAACCATCTGCGGCTGCGATACCTCCTCGTAAGGGTCGTAGACCTTGTGAAAGGATCGAATGTCGAAGAGCCACTTGCGCTCTTCCCGCGTGCGGCTCGTTGTCAGCATCTGCCGGATCCCGCTCAGCGAGTACCCGAGGGGGACGTTGCGGATCACGAGGTGCGTTTCGCCTCGGGCCTTGGCCGCGGTGAAGTCTGGTTCTGGGTCGTCATAGAGTTTCAGCTCCACGGCACCGCCGTTGTGATGGTAGGTCATTGGGAAGGCACGGCGAAACCCCCTGGCATCGTCGCGTGAGGGGAGCTGGAACACAAGGCGTGTGTACGAGCGGCGGGGGAGGCGGAGAACTTCGTCCACCACAGATTCAAACGTCGGCATACGGTTAGAGTGTGGAAAGAACGCGGGACGCAAGCCAGAGCGGACACGAGAGATAATCTTGCTGCGGTGAACTTCAGCCACGTTATCAGGGTAGATGATGGTGACCAGTGAGTGAGTATCTCGTACCAAGTTATGTACAACCTCTCCGACGACGTCGCGATTACGGTGCAGACGAGAGAGGGGACCAGCCAGCACCGGCGCGGGTGCAGCGCTGGACTCCAGTCCGTTGAGGGTGAGATCCGGTGCTGCTTCAGGGTCAGCGGCCGGGTCCATGGCAGGCGCAGGCGTAGGTCGGGCAGAGGACGAGGCCTCCCCCGTACAGATCTTCTTGGCCTGCGGTGACGATTGGCCCTCATCGGGCAGGAGGTTGCTCACGGAGGGGACGTTAACTCCGTTGTCGGCCATAATTGCGTCCATGCCCTGAGGAGTGGCCATGACGGGAGCGACGAAGAAAGGGGAAGGTAGAGGCAGGCAGAAATAGGGATCCACCCTCGTGAGAGAAAAGTGCGCGGCCCGGGAATGCGTATTGGATCCGGATCGAAAATTATGAGGATGCGACTCGATGAGGCAAAGGCTGAGGCCAATGCGAACATCTAAAGCCCCAGAGGGGTCACGCTGCCTCTCAAGGGAGAACAGGCGTGAAGAAACAATAGACACGGCATGGCAGAGGGTGGGCCAGCCGTTGCTTTTGCACGAGCCCATGCAGACGACGCCCCATGGCGTGTGAATGAGCGTAACCATACCGTGATTAGAGCGGCGGATGGAAGGACGTGGAAGGGGAGAAGGTGACGCACCAGGCGGGCTCGTTTTGCAGCACGTGTCCATCCAGGAGGCAATGGGAGAGGGAGCCATGGCGGGTCGAAAATGCAGGTTCCGTAGGAGAACGAACTCGTACAGAGGGTGGTGACGAAGATGCAGTAGATCTGGAGTCAGGAGAGGCAGAGGTTGGGCCTTGGTACGCCGACGGCGACGTGTCCAGGCATGTCGGAAGGACTTGTTGGCTTGATGGGCCACGTATGGAATGTCTGTGCCGTAGATCTGGCTGAGCAGGGCTCTGGTGTTGTAGATCAACGATGAACAGGCCTCTTCGGTTGGATAAGTCCAAGCTGGCTGCCATTGTGGGATATCCTGCCATTCACAGGGTCCGGTTACACATGCGTGAAAGCTTACCTTATTGGAGCGGTGAGGAGGTTGGGATTTGAGCCAGATGCAGGTTCTTGACGGTGCGGTGTACCATAGACTCTTCAACGCGGGAAATTCCAACCTGTCAAAACCACAGCACAAACACGTGAGAGTGAACAGAAACCAAATACGTACCGCGGGAGACGAGAGCCAGTGGTAGATGGTGTCGATGCTTCCATCAGCACTGGGCAGGAGGCGGTGGTTTGAATTTCGAACGCACGAGGCTAGGCAGGCGGAGAGCAGTTGGTTGGAGTCATTTTTTGGATGGATGGCGCGAGCCATGAGAAGAACCCAGCTGTACCTCGTGCAACAAACAGGAAAGAAAGGCGCAGTTACACATCACCCTGGATCACTTCCATGCGAACTGACACCAAAGCACACACACAAACCGCCCACACTCAACAAACCTCAACTGACAGTGCCACCCCCACATATCTCGCGACTCGGCTGTGAGAATACCTGTTACGTGAGAATACAATCAACATTACAATATCTTCAAAAGGACACAGCAAACATACATTGGCTTGGTAATGCTCCTCTTGCAAGTCACACCAAATCTCTCTGCTTAATTCTCTATTATTGCAGTATCCATTTTATATACCATATGTTTGCATATTATTTTGACGTCGCCTTCTCTCGACCATTCTCTATCCGCAGACTTGCCTGCTCACCTTGTTCCCCCCAACGATTCTGACATGGTATCACCTAGGTTAGGATCCTGTGGGATCCCGCTCCTCCCGACCTCGTTCGTATCGCCCGAGCCTGTCTCCCTCTCTCGTACTAGTTGCGCACGTCTTGCCCGAGCCTAGCGCCGGCCCGCTCTCGTCCCGTTCCTTCGTTACCGCCCGTTCCGCCGATCCCCTACTCGCGTAGCATAGCGACCTTTCTCCCCCCTACTGCCCGTCGCGTTCCCCCCCCCCCCCCCCCCCCCCCCCTGCCCCCCGCTGCCCGTCGAGTCGCGTTTTTCCCCCCGCTGCCCATCGAGTCGCGTTTTCCCCCCCCACTGCCCGTCGAGTCGCGTTTTCCCCCCCTGCTGCCCGTCGAATCGCGCCTTCCCCTGCCCCCCGTCGCGTCGCGCTCTCCCCGCCTGTCCCGTCGCCCGTCCCCCCCCCCCTAAGCGCGCCGCCGCGGCGCTTTCTCCCGTCGCCCGCCGTCGCGCCCGCAGCCTGCCCCTGTCGCCGCGACGCCCGCCGCCTCTGCCCGCCCCCGCGCACGTCGCTGCCGCGCCTGCTCCCGTCGCCCGTAGCTGCGCCCGCAGCCTGCGCCCGCCGCCGCTGCGCCCGCCGCAGCTGAGCGCCTCTGCGCGAGTCGCGCGCGGCTGCCTTAACGCCCGCCTTCGCGCCCGCGCGGCTGCCCTTAGCCGAGCTACAGGTATCATGTTCAGGGTGATTCCCCGTGCAAACATACACAGAGCACGCCTCTTCTCACCTCACAGGCGGTTCTGTTTCACATAAGGCATCTGCTCGAAGCGCCGCTGCTGCCTGGCAGCATCAGGGTAAACGAAGGGAATGTGAGCAACGGTCAGATTAAGTAACGACGAACAGCAAATTGTGGAAGAAGGTTACGACGAGGTATAAGGCAGCCTTCACCAGGCCTCTACCGTTATTAGCAGCCATACCCAGAGTTGTGGATCTTCCGTCACGCGAACAATTTCAAAATTGCGCGTGACGGCATTGTCGGGCGAGGGGACAGACACTGCAATATGGTCAGCCTTTTCAAATCGCTCGCTGCTGCTGGTTGATGCTTGCTCTATCTGACCAGCTGTCGCCGTTGCTGCTTCGCGGTCCGCGTTGACTACTGCTCGTAATTTGTGGGAGGCACGAGCTGGAACCAGCAGCAGATCGTGCCGAGAACGCGCAGCCTGCGCCCGTCGCCGCTGCGCCCGCCGTAGCTGAGCGCCTCCGCGCGAGTCGCGCGCGGCTGCCTTAACGCCCGCCCCCACGCCCGCGCAGCTGCCCTTAGCCCCCCCCCGCGGCTGCCCTTAACGCCCCCCCCGTTGCGTAGCGCTAGGCCTATCCGCCCGCCCGCGCGTCCCTTTGCCCGCTCGCCCGCTGCGCCCGTGCCTCCCTTTCTCCCTGCGTGCTTGCGTGTCGCGCTGGCCGCCACTCCACCGAGTTTCGCCACGCCACCTCGTTTAGGGTTTCCGGCCTCCGCTTTCCCGTCAGTTTTCACTATGGCGACTCCGCGTGTTCTTCGTTTCGACGCTGACGGTAGACCTCTTGACTTTTCACTCTGGCTTATGCGCGCTCGCCGTCAGTTAGAGAGTCAGGTCCAGTCAGGCGAGACCCTCTGGGCGCACGCTACTGGTGCCCTCCCTGCGCCCCCCGACCCTACGCCTTTAGGCCCTGCCCCTGACGACGCCGCTAGAGCTCGCTTTACTAGCCAGCGCGCTGATCAGACAGCTTGGACGTCGCGTGACGCTGCGGCCTGCATCGCGCTCAGCACCCTCCTCCCTGAGTCTGAGGAGGTCCACTTTACTCAGGTTCGCACTGCTGCTGATAGTAGATTACTATCTATTTCATCGCCACTAGCCTCCCTGACCGCCTTGCCTCCGTTCGTGACGCGCTTCTCCTGAAGCACCCTAGTGAGCTCACTATTGAGGTCCTTGAGTCTGCGCTCAAGGACATCGAGAGCAACCTCCGCTCCGTAGCCGCTGCCTCTGGTGCTGTGCCCCCCCCACTCTTCCACGGGTGCACGATCCTGCAGTTGCCCACCTTTACTGCCTCTCTCGCCACTGCCACTACTGACGCGACCGCAGCTGCTGTTACGACTTCGTCGCGGTCCCGCGGTAGGGGTGGCAAGAGGGGCGGTGCTGGCGGCGGCGTTGGTGGAGGCGGAGGTAGTGGGGGTGGCGTTGCGACTGGCGGTGGTGGGAGTGCAGGGCCTGGAGAGACGTCTCGTGCAGCGACCGGTGACTCCACTGCGCCTGCTGGTGGTGGCGACGCCCGAGTTCGTCAGTCGCCCCCTGTACTGCCAGCCCCGGTGGGTGGAGCGGCGGCGTGGTACCGGGCCCAACGTCAGCAGCAGCTTCAGCAGCAGCAGCAGCAGTCTCTCTCCTCCCAGCAGCCTCTGCAGCAGCAGCGGCTGTAGCTGGCTTCGGGGTCGGGGTCGCGCCAGCCCCAGCGTGGTGCTGTTTACCCTCCCTGCACCTATCAGGTTCTGACAGGTGCTCGCCGGGGCCACCCTTGTGGCCGCCTTCACCCCCCTGGTCAGTGCTTTGCTCAGCTCACTGACACGGTTCGTTTGGTCTACGGGGTTGGCGGTCCTGCCCCTGACTGGTTTCCCCTTGTTCAGCGTTACGGCTCCACTCTGTGGGACATGTCTGCCGAGCAGTTAGCTGATCTGATTGGAACTCCTCATGCTATGTATGCTGTTGTTGACTCTAGTGTTTCTGACTCTGTTTACTCTGGTGTTGTTAGCTTAGGTGCTAGCCTTGCTCAGTTGCCTGTTGCTAGTGTAGGTTCTTGTTTAGACACTAGTCCAGCGGCTACCTCGGAGGACGCTTCACTGTCTTTCACGCTGGTTTCTGGAGCCTCGCACTGCTTCTTTCGTGACAGCACGACACTTACGCCACTTCCTGCGCCTGTCTCTGTGGCGCTGGCTGATCCCACCTCGGGACCAGTCACTGCGCGTCACACTACCACTTTGCCGTGTCCTGCTGCTCCCTCCGGGTCTCTCACTGGGTTTCATGTCCCCTCGTTCTCCCGGAACTTGGTGGGCGTGCGACCCCTCGTGAGTCAGCACGTGGGTGTGTGGTTTGAGCCTTCTGGGGAGACTGCGGTGTGTGTTGACGGGGACTCTTACCAGCCTCTGGCCACCTTTGCTGCTGAGCCGGGCTCCGGTCTCTACACTCTTCACACTGGCCCGCGTGCACGGCAGCGGCCGCAGCAGCAGCAGCAGCCGCCGCCGCAGCAGCAGCAGCAGCCGCAGCAGCCGCCGTCGCAGCAGCCCCTACTCCCAGTTCCTGTCCCTCCCCCTAGTCTCCTCCCTGCGTCTCACCAGGTGGTTTCGTCCAGGGCTGTCGCTACAAGGGCATTTGCCCTTTTTGTCCTTGAATTCACGTGCTTGATCGAGCCCAACTCAGAGAATTCAAGAGCTGGCTTTGAGGCCAGCCCTTTTTCCTTAAGCGCTGGCCGAGCTCCTAACCCGGATTTCACGTATATGTTCAGAGCCTTTCCCCTCCCCCCTCCCCCCTCGTTCCCATGTTATTCATTTCCTGCTTACGTTAAACATCCTCACCTACCGGTCCCCCCGCTGAATTGAAGATTGGATTATGTATCTGCTATGTACCGAGCCCTTAGGTGTATTTGAACATCAACTTACTTTCACGATGTGTTTACGTTCAAGTGCAGAAGGATGTGTAGCTCTGAATATAAGTGTTGAAATTGGACTCAACCCGGAAAATTAAGGGCTGAAATTAGGCCACCTCAGCCCGCTAAGTTCTTCGGCCAGGGCAAGCGACAGCCCTGGTTTGGTACGTCCCCTCAGGTAGTCGCGTCCAGTCCAGTCGCTGCGTCTTGCTCCTGCCGGTTGCTTGCCCACCCCACCATTCTGTGGCACCACCGGATGGGACACCCTTCTCTTCCACGTCTGCGCGCTATGTCTAGTCAGCGTCTGGTCTTAGGTCTCCCGCGTGTCTTGCCGTCGCTGCCGCCGTCCCTTGCACCACCGTGCGGTCCTTGCGTCGAGGGTCGGTTGCGCGCCACCCCTCACTCCTCCTCCCTTCGTCCGGCCACCGAGCCGTTTGAGACGCTTCACTTGGACGTCTGGGGCCCCGCCTCCCGCCTTGGCCCTGAGCGTGAGCGTTTCTTTCTGGTGGTCGTTGACGACTACTCCCGCTACACCACGGTGTTCCCCCTGGCGAAGAAGTCTGAGGTGACTTCTACGCTGATCAGGTGGTTGCTCACCACCGCGGACACTCGTGGTCGTCGTGTCAGCTGTCTTCACTCCGACCGCGGGGGTGAGTTTCGCTCCGGCATTCTCGCTGGATTCTGTCGCGAGCAGGGCATTCGTCAGTCCTGGACGCTTCCAGAGTCCCCACAGCAGAATGGGGTTGCTGAGCGCCGCATAGGCTTGGTCATGGAGATCGCCCGCACCTCCCTGACTCACGCCCGTGCCCCCCATTTTCTGTGGCCTTACGCGGTTCGGTACGCCGCGCACCAGCTGAACCTCTGGCCACGCGTCTCTCGGCCAGAGGCTTCGCCGACCAGTCTTTGGACCGGGTCCCCTGGTGTTGCGTCGAGGTTTCGTGTCTGGGGTTGCTTGGCTCTTGTCCGCGACACCTCTGCGGACAAGCTCTCGCCTCGCGCCGTTCCTTGTGTCTTCCTTGGTTTCCCTGAGGACTCCTCTGACTTCACCTTTTACCACCCTCCCTCCCACCGGTTCTTTGACTCCCGTGACGTCCGTTTCGAGGAGTCCACCCCGTACTACGTCAGGTACCCCAGTCGAGGTCTCCCGGTTCCTCCTCCCCCCCTCTTCCTGACTGCCGCTCCCCCTCCTGCTCCCCCGGTACAGCCTCCCCCCCCTGGTCCAGCCCCGTCAGGTGTGTCCCAGGCTACCCCTCCTCCTTCGGTAGCCCCTCCGGTACAGCCTCCCTCCCCACAGTCCTCCTCGCAGCGTGCCGCAGGTGCTAGCTCTCGAGAGGTTGGTGCCGAGCCTGTTCCTGTACCGGTTTCTGGTTCTGGGGGTGCTGGAGTTGGAGCTGAGCCGGTGGGTGCAGAGGACTCTTGTCTTCCGGGAGCTGGTGCTGGTCGCGCGGACACTGGGGGTGCTCCGTCTGGGGGTGAGGGTGCGCCTCCTTCAGGTTCTGGTGAGCCTGGGTCTGGAGCTGGTGTTAGTGCTGCCTCTGGGGGTGGTGCGCCTGGTCCTTCGGGGGTGGACTCTGGAGCTGCCGCGGCTCCTCCGGACACTACTCCGCCCCCCCACCCCTACCCGACTAGGCACCAGGCTCGTGTTCGCCGTGCCCGTGAGGAGCAGCTGGCGTTGGAGAGAGAGGAGAGGGAGTTACAGCAGCTGGAGGAGCAGCAGCAGCAGCTGGAGCCGCAGGAGCAGCAGCAGCAGCAGCAGCAGCAGCAGCAGCAGCTGGAGTTGCAGGAGCAGCAGTCCCAGCAGCAGCCGCAGCCGCAGCAGCAGCAGCACCAGCCGCAGCAGCAGCAGCAGCCACTTCCTCCTCCTGTCTCGGGTCTTCGGACCCTTGGTCTCCCCTCTCCTTCTCCTCCCTCCTCCGCCTCTCCTCCTGTCTACGGTCCCACGTTTCCTCCTCCTGACTCCTCCCCCGCTGTTTTCCCCAGTTCTCCGCCTTTGTCCTCTCCTCCTCCGTCTCGTACTTGGGCTACTCGTCGCTCTCCTCGTGCTCGTCCCTCGTCCCCTGTCCCTTTTACTGACCTTCGTACTGTCTTGTTACGTTCTAGTCCGTCTCGTTCGGCTCCTCCTGTGCTTCCTTCTCCTCCTGAGTCGGCCCTCACAGCTTCTCTCTCTACCCCTGTCACTGACTACTACCGCACGTACCGTCCTGTTCTCTCTCGTGTTCTCGCCTCTCTTGTTACCCACCCTCGTGCCTCTTTGTCCTCTGTCTCCGCTCTTACTGCCGCGGTCACTGAGTTTGCCTCTACTCGCCGCCTTGACTACGCCACCACTCTTGTGGCTGCTCCTCCTACCAGTCCTCTGGCCGTCGGAGGTGTGTCTGCCCTTGGCTGTGACGTCCTAGAGGACAGGCAGTTTGAGCTAGAGTTCCTGGCAGCCGCTTCCCCTCATCTCTGTGCCATGCTCCTCACCCCTGAGGGTGACCCTGACGCCCTTGACATTCCGACTCCTCGCACTTACGCTGAGGCAGTGTCAAGGCCTTGGGCCTCTCAGTGGAGAGCTGCCATGGACGCAGAGATGGCCTCCTACAGATCCACAGGCACCTATGTCGATGAGGTTCCTCCCCCTGGGACGAACGTAGTCGATGGCATGTGGATCTACAGGGTGAAGCGGCCACCAGGATCTCCTCCAGTCTTCAAGGCGCGCTACGTTGCTAGAGGTTTCAGTCAGCGCGAGGGAGTTGACTTCTTTCAGACCTTCGCGCCGACCCCGAAGATGACCACTCTTCGGGTGTTACTGCACGTAGCAGCACAGAGAGACTACGAGTTACACTCTCTTGACTTCTCCACTGCTTTTCTTCAGGGCAGCCTACACGAGGAGGTCTGGCTGCGTCGTCCCTCTGCCTTCACTGGCACTTTCCCTCCTGGGACCTAGTGGAGGCTGAGGCGATCTATCTACGGTCTTCGCCAGGCCCCTCGTGAGTGGCACGACACTCTCCGCTCTACCCTGTCTGACCTCGGTTTCCAACCGTCTTCTGCCGACCCGTCGCTGTTCGTTCGCCGTGGCTCCACACCGTTCTTCGTTCTGGTTTACGTCGACGACCTAGTTTTCGCCACTGCTGACAGGGTTGCTTTGGCAGACGTGAAGTCCGAACTGCAGAAGAGACACACCTGCACTGACCTTGGTGAGCTGCGCCATTACCTTGGGCTGCAGATCACCAGGGACAGAGCTGCTCGCACCATTACACTCTCACAGTCACACATGGTGCAGCAGGTCCTTCAGCGGTTCGAGCTTCAGCACTCCACAGTACAGCGCACACCTCTTGCTGTTGACCACAGACTCACTGGCCCCTTTCCTGACGAGCCGTTTGAGCCTAGTGGTCCCTACGCAGAGCTTGTGGGTTGCCTCATGTACCTGATGACTTGTACTCGCCCGGACCTCGCTTTCCCTCTCAGCATCCTTGCGCGCTTTGTTGCGCCAGGGAGACACCGTCCTGTTCACTGGACAGCAGCTGTGAGGGTGGCAAAGTACCTAGCGACGACATCAGGCGTGGGGCTAGTTCTTGGAGGGCAGCAGTCTGTTGTACTTACTGGTCACTGTGACTCTTCTTACGCTGACGACGCTGAGACTCACAGGTCTACTCAGGGGTACTGTTTCAGTCTGGGTTCTGGAGCTGTTTCCTGGCGGTCCACGCGCTCCTCTTCGGTCTCGACCTCTACAGCTGAGGCTGAGATCTACGCTGGTGCCATGGCGGCACAGGAGCTGCGTTGGTTGACGTTCTTGCTCGCCGACCTAAGTGAGCGGCCGAGCTCTGCACCGACCTTGTTCACTGACAACAAGGCATCCATTCTCCTTTGTCGAGAGCTGCGACTGAAGAGCAGAGTGAAGCACATTAACGTCAGGTACTTCCTTCTGCGAGAGTTGCAGAGGCGTGGACAGGCTCGCTTCGAGTTTGTGGAGTCTGAGGCCAACACTGCAGACATCTTCACCAAGGCGCTTCCGCCTTGTGACCACCACAGGTGTTGTGTGCAGTTTGGCTTTGTTGACACTGGTTTTCGGCTTACTTAGTCTTGAGTTCACTGTTTGCTTTGCTTGTACCCTTTCTATATATCTCTGTTATTGCTTGGACTGGCCTTGTGGCCATTGTTGCTTGTGCTCAGAGTTTGTGGTGACGTTGTGATCCACCCTGAGCTTTGTTTCTTTGTGACTGGTCTTATGACCGTACTCTTTTGGTTTTGCTAGACACCCCTCACTTAGGCTATGGGGGTGTGTCAAATGTTGGTAGCCTGTAGTGAGGTTTGTCTTAGGGGGTACGTATGTTAGGGTTTGCTACTTGTACCCCAACCACCATCAATGAAACAACACTTGTGATTTTGACACTTGACACCCATGCAAGCAAGCTCCATTCCACACTCACACTCTCCGTGCCATCTTCACCCTTTCCGCACCTCTCATACTTTCGTAACTATTATTGCTGCCTCTTATGACATCCCCGCTTGTCCCCTGTTATATTCCTGTTGCCCTAAGCTTGCCAGAGTGGAGGGAGAGGGGGAAGGGAAAGGTGGCAGGCACATCTGAGTCGCTGCGCACAACACGAGATTTCATTACCGCATGTCTGGTTACGACCCATGGCCTCTCAGATCCATGACCCTAGGATCGTGCCACGAGGCACCATCTGGCGTGACCCTTCTGAAACGAGCTGTGGGGTTGGAGCCTGCCCCGAAGCAGATTGTTGAGGTGCCTCAAAGCGCCTCAAAAATGGTCTCTCGGATCCACAACCCTAGGAGCCTGCCTCAAAGCAGCATCCGACGCTTCTGAAATAAACTGCGAGAACGGAAGCTCCGGCCTGCCTTCTGCAAGAGCAGACACATTTTCTAGGAGGATTCTCCTCGGCACCTTTCCCACCACGTACGCCATCTCGTTGCCCTCGCCGTCTAGGAAGGTGTAGTGCGGAATGCCGTCCACCCCAAACTCGTCCAGCTCTGCTGCCCATTTCACGTTGTCTATGTTGAGAAACACAAAATTGACATCGTTTCTGAGAGGGAGGGGAGAGGAGGAGAGAGGGGAGGGCAGGGGGGATAGGAGCGAGAGGAGGGGAGGGGAGGGGAGGGAGGGGAGGCACGGGGGATGGGAGGGAGAGGAAGATTGGCCTTGGCACCTTCCCCACCACGTACGCCAGCTCGTTGCCCTCGCCGTCCAGGAAGGTGTAGTGCGGAATGCCGTCCACCCCAAACTCGTCCAGCTCTGCTGCCCATTTCACGTTGTCTATGTTGAGAAACACGAAATTGACATCGTTTCTGGGAGGCAAAGGGGAGAGGAGGAGAGGGGAAGAAAAGGAGTGGAGGGAATTGGAGGGAGAGGAAGGGAGGGGAGGGGATGGGAAGGGCACGGGGGATGCGCCATCTCGTTGCCCTCGCTGTCCAGGAAGGTGCAGTGAAGAATGCCATCCACGCCCAACTCATCTTGTTCTGCCGCCCACTTCACGTTGTCTATGTTGAGAAACACGAAATTGACATCGTTTCTGGGAGGGGGGGAGAGAATTGGGAGGGGGGAGAGGGGAGAGGAGGAGGAGGAGGAAGAGAAGGTGGGAGAGGTGAGGGGACAGGTGGAGATGGGAGGGCAGAGGAGGGGATGGGTGGGCAAGGGAGGACAGTGGAGGGGAGGGGCGGCCATCCACCCCAAACTCGTCTTGCTCTGCTGCCCATTTCACATTGTCTATGTTGAGAAACACGAAGTTGACATCGTTTCTGAGAGGGAGGGGAGGGTAGGGGGGGGGGGGAGAGGGGAAAGGAGGAGGAGGGAGAGAAGGTGGGAGAGGTGAGGGGACGGGTGGAGATGGGACGGCAGAGGAGGGGATGGGTGGGCAGGGGAGGACAGTGGATGTGGAGGGGAGGGGAGGCCATCCACCCCAAACTTGTCTAGCTCTGCCGACTACTCAACAGGGGAGGGGAGGACACGTTGTCTATGTTGAGAAACACGAAATTGATGTCGTTTCTGGGGGAGAAGAGAAGATCGGAGGGGAGGGGAAAGGGAGGAGGGTGGGGAGGGCAGGTTAGAGGAGGGGAGGGGATGGGAGGTGGGAGAGGCGAGGGGAGGCATGTGAGGAGGAGCAGAGAGGGGAAGGGGGGAGAGGGTAGAGCAGGAAATGGGAGGTGAGGGGAGGGAAGGGGAGCGGAGAGGAGGGGAGGGGAGGGGAGGGGAGGGAAGGGGAAGGGAGGGGAGGGGGATGTGTGGGCATTGCCACACTACATGTTGGACTACTCAACAGGCACGAGGGGCAGAGAACGATTCCGAGATCTGGGCCGTGGGAGTGGAGGGGAATGATTGACTGTAGCGCAGTGGAATTCCTTCCTCACCTGAATTGCTGCTCCACCTTGAGTGTGTCCCGGGCAGTCTCACGACAGACCTGGAAGCAGGCAAAGAAATCGAAGATAGTACAGGAATTGAGAAAGTGAGGAGGAGGAGGAGGAGGAGGAGGAGGAGGAGGAGGAGGAGGAGGAGGAGGAGGAGGAGGAGGAGGAGGAGGAGGAGGAGGAGAAGGAGGAGGAGGTGGAGGAGGAGGAGGAAGGAGGGGAAAGGGGATGGAAGATGGGGGAAAAGGTGAAGGCACGAGCGGGCTTCTTTAAAAGAGGGGGGTGAATGTGGGAATCAGTCAGGGTGAAGAGTCAACGACCACAATGGATTCTGTGTGGGTGGCAAAAGTCAGCATAGGTAGATGGGAGTAACCAGCCATTAAGAAATTCGGCATGGATAATGTCATTAAGCTTAGGGCGATGGGGAGCAGCGGACTTGATCGCATTCAGCATGACAGGATGAGCGTCATCATAATACAGTAGTGGTGAAGACGCACCTGACACCAATCAGCGTAGAATTCAACCACGGTTGGCCGCCCGTTGCCCATTGCCTGGGATGAGGTGATGAGGGGAAGGTAAGACAGCAGCGATGAATGAGGCGTGGTGGAATTGCGCAAAGAGTCCTTGAATGTCCAAGAGTTGAAGAGGTGAATATCTAACCGGTGAAAATCTAACCTCCCTGCACCCCCTCCCCTTGAGATTTTCCGTCCCCGTCCCGTTCTTTCTCCTCCCCCCTCCGCGTACTTTCCGTTCCCAATCCGTCCCCCATATCGTCGGTTCCTCGCTCCTCTGCTAACCCGCAACCCAGTTCCATTCCTCCCTTCTATCTCATCGTATCCAGGCCCACCCGCAACCATCCACGTACGTCCCAAGGATTTCCACTCTAGGTACCTCATCGAAATTAGCCGATCGTGCGGCCAATGCGGAGAGGTCCGTGCCTGCGCCTGCGACCCTCGTCAGCACGAACAGGCCCACCGCGGCTGATACCGAAGCTAACGCCAAGCCTCGGTACACCTTCTCCCCAGACGCAGGAGGCTCGGGAGAAGCCGCCGAGGCAGGCTCGGGAGAAGCCGAGGCAGGCTCGGGAGCAGCCGTCGCAGAGGAGGGTTGGGGGGAATCAGTGGTGGCCTGCTCGGGAGTGGCATCGCCATCAATCGCGGCGTAAACGACAAAACTCCGATGGCGAATTCCATGTTGATGCCGCTTCAGGGGTCCAAGCTCAGCAATGGCTGCTTGATTTGAAGTAGATTTGAGCCAAAGGACTAAATTGGAGCCATATCCTTGGTGAGTTGAGTTTGGTCTAAAATGTATCGGCAGCAGAGACGCGTGTAACGGAACGGCGGCGTTATAGTGTCTCGTTGCAGTCGCAGTGACGCATTGTGTACTCGCTAGATGTCTCGTCACGGCACTGCCTCCGGCTAGGGTAGACATGGGGGATGCTACAATCCTATTCCGCTATGTAGCTCTGTTATAATGGAATGGACAGCGCCGATTGAGAACAAACTGAGAAGAAACTCTCACCGCAGATAGTCTGACCACCGGAGGAAGTGAAGGAACAGAATTTACTAGGGAAAGTACATCGCAGCTCCACAGTTTCAAAAATATCTCAATTTTGATCCCGAGTTTACCCAAAAAGTCCAGCTTTGCGGAATTCTGCTCACGCGAGGCCCAAAGTATGTTCAAAACTGGTCCTGCGGGGCAGAAATTACGACACGTGTCCATTTTGTGCAAGGTTTATTTATACGGGGCAAACCAAACATAATACCCCTGGGGAAACGGGACACAATTTTGTGTAATATATTGCACTGCCTGCGTAAGCAGGCAGTGCAATCGAGTCAGCAAGCTGATCGCGGGCAAGAAAAAAAAACTAAAACCCTCTCGGATGGGATGCCATCCGAGGGAGCCTCAACCCTAAAATTTTAGGGTTGATGCTCCCGAATGGCATGCCGTAAGCCAAGGGGTTTATTTTTTGCCCGCGGGATACATTTCGGGAGGGATCAACCCTAAACACCGGGCGGGTTCCCGTGTTTAGGGTTGATCCCTCCCGAACAAGTGTCCTGGTTTCCCCAGGGGTATTATTGTTTTTGTGCCCCGTCAAAAATTGTTGGTGTGAAATAGACACGTGTCAATATTTGAGCCCTACAGGACCAGTTTTGAACATAATTTGGGCCTCGCGTGAGCCAAATCCCAGAAAGTGGGACCTTTCGAGTAAACCTGGGGGTAAGTATGAGAGAAATCTGAAAGTAGGATCTAGGATATAGTTTTCCAATTTACTTCGACAACCTTCAGAACCAAAGGCTGTTCGGGAAAAGCTCAAGGGAATTGGGGAATGTGGTTGAAGGCTGACGTGTTGCAATGAGATGTGTCCACGCTATGTTATGCTTGTATCGGGTAATTCTGAGATATTCAGTTGGGAAGGATGTTCAACTATTGTGGCATACATACTCCATGTAAGAATGCGTGTACAGGTTGCAATCGAGCCTAGCATTTGCGAATAGTTACATTTTCACCTGGCGACTTGGCGTTTTTCTCGAGCAAATATTGGTCGCATCAGCTCAGGTTTTTTGTGCTTGTTGCGACTGTTTGAATCGCCTGCGATTTCACACGGTCGTTACCTCGCTCCGAGCTGGTTCGTTCAACTCCGCATACGATTCAGAGGCAGGTTGTCCTGTCGCAGAGTGTGTCGTCCTCATCGCCTGCCTGGTCCCTCACTTTCTGCAGGCGACCCTGCGATTCGCGCGAAAGAGTCATCTCGACTCCGCATGTGCTTACAGGCGAAGTGAGCGGTTTTGCTGGCACCCGTAGTAGCATGTCGCTTACAGTCACCCACCCATCCCAAGTCGCACTACTCCTCCTCTCCACTCCCCCCTTGCACAACCTTGCACCTAGCAAGCTCTTCAGTTGTTTTGCGGCACAGCAACTTCCGTTTCCCAGTATTCTCGTTCGCAAGGCCATACTCTGTAGAATCAAGCAGCCAGACCAAATTACAACCTTGATTTCTTCTCGCCGAAGGAGTTGCACCTTTGCATATTAATTTGGTGCCCATCATGAATTACTCGCGATTAGGTTCTCGCCAACTTCTCGTGCTCTTCGCTCTCTCGGCATTTTTGTGGCAACCAACCTATGCACGAATAAAAATCGGCTTCATTCGGCGCGCAGCACGCGCGGACGGCACGAGACAAGTCGAGGAGATTTACGCCTTAGAACCGACGGCAGCTGAAAGAGCCACGCTGCCCGTGCATGTCTTCAGAGCCAATGACGGGACACTAGTGGAAGAAGTCGAAGCGACTCCTGCTGAGGCTGTGACGATCATAGAGGGTGCTCCTGCCGTTGCAGCAACGCCTAAAGGTGGCAAGTCTGGGATTGGTGCTGATAGTAATTTGCCAACGGAATCTTCTGACAGGACGCTGACTCAGGCTGAGCTGGATGCTATTCTTGGACTGGGGCCGGAGGATTTTGAACGTACTGCTGTTCAGGCCCTCTAATTGCACGCAGCAACATCAGGGATTGTAGCATGTCGTGCTGCGAGGAGCATAGAAGCCTCTTGTATCGTGTGTGAGAGATGGGCTCATACCGTATGCCTAATCCTGCCAAGCTAGCTTCAACCAGTGTTGTAGTACATACCTAAATGTACTATAGTTATTATTTATGGTTTTCACAAGCTTGAAACATGTAATGTTGCGTACATTATTCGGATTATATTGAAGCTCAACTGATAATCAAACATGTTCAGGAGTTCAGATAGATTTGTGAAGTGTTACTCTGGAAGAACAGTTTCAACCGCGAGCCTCTGCTTCGCGACGCGGATCTCTGGGCTCGCACCAGCTACGTCATTTCTTAGGCGTCGTTAGCCAATCACAATGCGCAAAGGGTTCCCTGTCAGAATTGCAGCTCCCCGCCTGCCAGTGCGTGGCAGGGTGGAGACTTCAGGGAGCCCCAACCCAACATTCATGTCTTGAATCCTCAGCAATAGGGAACCCTTCTGTTGGCCAGAGTCTAGCTAGAGAACAGACAACACAAGAGACTGTCATTTGACAGGACCCGCCTGGAGATAGTTCAAGCTTGCTAAACTGTTTTTGCTGCTGTTGTCCGGTTTACCTATCTCCTCGAGGAGTTCAGCGTGCATCTGGTACCTCCGCAATATTCAGTTGCAGCGGCCTTAGCTTGGAGATCAGGAACAAGATTGCCCGAAATCGATTAGTGGGGACGGATTTGCCAAGTCACCATGAGTAGATTCGATCAGAATCCGTTCGATGAGGAAACGGACAATAATCCCTATTCTGTAAGTTGGAAAGTTTTACTAGTTTTCCGGTCGCATCGCTTGCCATACGAGTATAATAGTTGAGGTCTACTTGCTATCCTGCTCCGTGGATTTTAACGTCACATCCTCGTCATGCTATCGTTTCCCTGCAGCAATCGGGTCGGCAAGGCGGTGGTTCGTTCTTCGATGTGAGTATTCGGCCTTACTTATGATGTTCAGAACTGTATGTCTTCAAAGCCTAGTCCAGTCCAGCGATGCATTGCGAAAGCAATCGATAGTAGCATGTGAAGCAGCAAATCTAACAACCCTTCAACGCAAGTCTGAGCAAAGTGTGCGCGGGCAGTAAATAATCCATTTGGAACTACAGCAACACCACGCATAATATTGAATCCGCGTTTTTGTGCAGAGCCAACGGTCTGCCATCCCCATGACCAGCATGAGCGACAGGCCCTCACCTCTGCCTCCAGAAAGCCGCAGCGGATCCACTTTCGACGTGACCTCTGATGTTCAGTTCAGCCCGCGGGTATGTTTGGTGGCAATGCTGCATCACACCCGCCTTTCCCGCTTATTCCCCTGAATCTGGCTGTTTGTTTCTCAAATGTGAGTGAATTCGCTTGACAATTTCGGCGTAATTTGCGTTTGAATAATTTGGCTTGGTCTAATCCAGCCACCGCCTCATTCAAGTTTTTCTTTCTCACCATGGTTGCGTTTCAGGCACTGAAGAAGAAACAGAAAGAGTTGCAAAATCGAGAAGCTATGCTGAGGAAAAAGGAGGAGGTGAGATTGTTGAACGGTGTTCTGTAAGCTACATAACAAGCAGTATCTTAGTCATTCTCTTCCCTTATTTTGCTACCACTAGATTGCCTCTTTGAAGCGTCTCATTTGTACTTACTTTCTCCCACTGCTTGCGTTGCTCTCTCTCCATTCCATCCACCTGGGGTCTTCATCCCGCGCTGACCTGTGACTGCAAATGGAAATCGGGGTGCTTGCTGTATCAACACAGGAGCTAGCGAAGAGGGCAGCATGTGAGTGAATCTATTATAATCAGGGACTTGAGTGTCATGAGCTTCAACTTTCTGTAGCTTGCGTTTGACCCGTCGATTTGCTTCTCTCTTGCTTGTCCTCCTTTTTTAAGCAAGTTTTGCTCGTGTCATCTCATATTGAATTTTGCCTCTATCTGCAGCACTCGGCATCATGACCAAGGATTTCCCACCATGCTTCCCCTTAGTCCGTAACAACATTAGGGAGGATGTGCCGGACTATCTACAAGGCTTGATGTACCTTGGCTTCTGGGTTTGGATGGGTGAGTTACTTTGTGATGGATGACTTTGTTCTTGCTGAACTGCCAGTCAGAAAGAGGCTGTTGGGTATTATGCGTGGGCGGGCTGGTCATCAAGAGTGGTGATGTAATGCACATCCATATCGTCTGGTGAATCACACACCTGTAACCTAATTGCTTTCCATGTGGATATCGGTATAGCATGCGAATCACACCAGATTTGCAAGCTAAATCTAATTTACTGTCTTCCAACGATTCCATCTTTCGCTCCTGCAGGAGCAATGGGGTCACTCTTCTACAATCTCATCCCCATTACAGCAGCATGGATTGTTGGCGCTTATGATAGCTCTTCTGGTAAGCGATTGAAGTGTACCATGTACAATGTACTCAGTGAGGAGAGTGCAATGCCAGCTCCAAAATGGCCATGGTCTATCGAACACCCTTTACATCATCTGGTAACCTTATACACTGTCTCGTTCGGACTCGTCTTTCTTTTGTTGCAGGGTTCGGAAACTTCTTCATGGCATTGCTTTACTTCATTATCGGGGTGCCGGGCTCCTATTTCTTTTGGTACTCGCGGTTATACTATGCCATGCGCAAGGACAGTGGTGTTGGCATGGCTTTCTTCTTCTGTGGCTTCATGGTATGGCCTTGAGTCCACATGTCTAACCTGCTTAGTGAGCAAGTTTTGAGTTGGCATTGTCTGGAAAGCTGGTTGTGGTTTTTATGTTTCTCTCTGTGTTTTTGCTATTTCTTGGGGTGTGGGTGTGGGGGTGTGTGTGTGTGTGTGTGTGTGTGTGCGCGCGCGTGTGTTTGTTTAAGCAGACCCACATCATCTTCTTTGTGTTCGCTGCTGTGTCACCTCCATTTACAATTGGCACTGCCTTTCAAGGAAGTTCATTTGCGTAAGTCAAACATACTCGTCATGAAGCAGAGTCAGTTAATCTTTGACGATTTCATATTGGGTGCACCTCCTTGTTCGTTTCCCTGACATTTTGACCCTGTCGCGTAATTTTCTTGGTTTTATCTCAGTGGCGTCATTTCGACCATTAATGTCTTCACACATGGATGGACCGTCGTTGGGGTGAGTAATAGAATAACACCACCTTTGCTTTTCTAGGGAGTGCACTACTTACATTATGAGGCACTGTGTACCTGCACTTGTACGTGTTGCTGCAGATATTTTATGCCGTTGGAGCTGTTCTCTTCGTGGGGGAGGCCTTTTTCAGCTTCATCCTCATCATAGTAAGTCACTATCTGACGTGATCTCGACCAGTTCAGGAGTGGTTCTCTCATAACCTTACGTCCTACACCGGAAGTCTCCTTGCAGTTGCTTCCATACCAAAAAGATACCATGTTCATCTTGTTTTGTTTGTTTGCTTGTTTGTTTTCCTCCCTGGCAGAGAACTTATGCTTACTTCCGTGGTACTGGTGCCATCGTCAAAATGAAGCAAGAAGCTGCTCGTGCTGCTGCTTCATCTGCTGTTTGAAATACCACATCTAGTGTACTTGGTTAGATTTCCACTCTTGTCTCTAGGGCTGTTAGTGGTGTGAGCATGCTTTATACAGCGTAGGGCTTAGTAGACAAGCTTCTAGGTGAGTCTTGACTGTAGCCTCATTTTGAACCAATCAAATCGAGCCAACGCATCCCACAGATGGAAGCTTATCGTCCGCAAGTCACAGCGACGGTTCCGATCCGATCTGGCACTTGTCAACTCCATCTCCCTCTACGTTCACCACATGAGTCACACGTACAGTGCAGCAAGCTAAAATATTTACTGTCATAAGCATCAGCAATAAGAATCCCAGACTGCCATTTCCCTTGCTGCTGTGAATCGTCAAGGTTCGCGCCGCGCTGGAAGAAGTAGCTCCCATTGTCATAGAAGCACAATCCAGCAGTCCTGTACTTGTCCTTGCAATCGCCTCATCCTGACAATTGCTGTTTCTTCTTTCTGGAATGCGTGGTGCTACGTCACTTTCTCAAATGACGAGCACCTTCAGGTGTCATGTTAGCCAACCCCAATGCATGGCGTCTTTGACCCTTTTACCTGCGAGACACTATGTTCCTAGTTCAAACGCTGATATGAACACTCCTGCGCAACGGTCGTGCTCCCGATTTCAAGCCGCGTCACGCCAGTGCTCGCTCCACGTCAGGTCTCCACAACCGTCGTTTCAACGCGTTCCACGTGTTAATTATAGACCCGTACGTCGCGTCAGATCGCCGAATGTACCAATCGCTTCAGCGTCGAAATCGCCTTCAGGAGCAGAAACAGCTTTAAATGATTCCAAACTTGGGCGAGACGAGCCTTCAAACGGAGCTGGTTCTAACGGAGCTGCCTCTAATGGGGCTGCTTCAAACGGAACGAGCAATCTCAACTCCGGAGCGTCAACCAATGAGTCGTTGGCTCGAGAATTGGACATTTCAGACTTGGATTGCGTGCTAACAGGAATCAACGTGGAGTGTGTGCTTCCTAATCTCGCAGAAGACAGGGACAAATGGGAACCTGCAGGGAAGCCTCTGGTGGATCAGCAGAAGGAGGAAGTAGAGGAGGAGGAGCAATGGAGAAAGGCAACTCAGCAGGAGCAGCAGAACGAGGGATCAGTAGCAGTAGCAGCAGCAGGAGACACGAAAAGTGACTCATTTCTTTCTTCATTGAATTTTGACGGGATTCTGGAGACGATGTTGCTAATATCGCCATTCTTTTTCTGGGGCTCGTCAATGGTGGCAATGAAGGTAGTTGAAACCAAGCACTCAGTTGCTGTTTCTTGTGTAGGCCAATCTTCTTCTGCTGTTTCTTGCTAGTCATTGATGAATTTTGTCCATCATCATATCATTCATTCTTGATGGTTGGGATCGCTTGCATTGTTCGTTTAGAATGATCAGAACGTGTTTTCAGATGTAGGCCCGTCCACCTCATCCTGCTCCTCGTTGTCTATCCCTTTCCTTCCCCCCCTTCGCCTTGGCTTCTCTCCTCACCTCCTCCTCTCCCTCATCAGGACGTGCTGGCAAAGGCAGCCCCTATGTTTGGCGCCTCTGTCCTCCTCATCCCAGCTGGTCTTCTCCTCGACACCTCCCCCTTCCCCCTCCCTCCATTCTCCCCTTTGTCCCTCCCTCCCCTCTGTCTCTCCCTCCCTCTTCCCCTTTCTCCCTCTCTCTGTCTCTCTCTTCCCCCATCCTTCTCCCCCGTCAGGACGTGCTACCAAAGGCAGGCCCCATGTTCGTCGCCTCTGTCCGCCTCATCCCAGCCGGTCTGCTCCTCATCACCTCCCCATTCCCCACTTCCCCTTCCCCTGCTCTGTCCGTCTGCGCCCCCTTCTCCCCCATCAGGACGTGCTACCAAAGGCAGGCCCCATGTTCGTCGCCTCTGTCCGCCTCATCCCAGCCGGTCTGCTCCTCATCACCTCCCCATTCCCCACTTCCCCTTCCCCTGCTCTGTCCGTCTGCGCCCCCTTCTCCCCCACCAGGACGTGCTACCAAAGGCAGGCCCCATGTTCGTTGCCTCTGTCCGCCTCATCCCAGCCGGTCTGCTCCTCATCACCTCCCCATTCCCCACTTCCCCTTCCCCTGCTCTGTCCGTCTGCGCCCCCTTCTCCCCCATCAGGACGTGCTACCAAAGGCAGGCCCCATGTTCGTCGCCTCTGTCCGCCTCATCCCAGCCGGTCTGCTCCTCATCACCTCCCCATTCCCCACTTCCCCTTCCCCTGCTCTGTCCGTCTGCGCCCCCTTCTCCCCCACCAGGACGTGCTACCAAAGGCAGGCCCCATGTTCGTTGCCTCTGTCCGCCTCATCCCAGCCGGTCTGCTCCTCATCACCTCCCCATTCCCCACTTCCCCTTCCCCTGCTCTGTCCGTCTGCGCCCCCTTCCCCCCCACCAGGACGTGCTACCAAAGGCAGGCCCCATGTTCGTCGCCTCTGTCCGCCTCATCCCAGCCGGTCTGCTCCTCATCACCTCCCCATTCCCCACTTCCCCTTCCCCTGCTCTGTCCGTCTGCGCCCCCTTCCCCCCCATCAGGACGTGCTGCCAAAAGCAGGCCCCATGTTCGTTGCCTCTGTCCGCCTCATCCCAGCCGGTCTGCTCCTCATCACCTCCCCATTCCCCACTTCCCCTTCCCCTGCTCTGTCCGTCTGCGCCCCCTTCCCCCCCACCAGGACGTGCTACCAAAGGCAGGCCCCATGTTCGTCGCCTCTGTCCGCCTCATCCCAGCCGGTCTGCTCCTCATCACCTCCCCATTCCCCACTTCCCCTTCCCCTGCTCTGTTCGTCTGCGCCCCCTTCTCCCCCATCAGGACGTGCTACCAAAGGCAGGCCCCATGTTCGTCGCCTCTGTCCGCCTCATCCCAGCCGGTCTGCTCCTCATCACCTCCCCATTCCCCACTTCCCCTTCCCCTGCTCTGTCCGTCTGCGCCCCCTTCCCCCCCACCAGGACGTGCTACCAAAGGCAGGCCCCATGTTCGTCGCCTCTGTCCGCCTCATCCCAGCCGGTCTGCTCCTCATCACCTCCCCATTCCCCACTTCCCCTTCCCCTGCTCTGTCCGTCTGCGCCCCCTTCTCCCCCACCAGGACGTGCTACCAAAGGCAGGCCCCATGTTCGTCGCCTCTGTCCGCCTCATCCCAGCCGGTCTGCTCCTCATCACCTCCCCATTCCCCACTTCCCCTTCCCCTGCTCTGTCCGTCTGCGCCCCCTTCCCCCCCATCAGGACGTGCTGCCAAAAGCAGGCCCCATGTTCGTTGCCTCTGTCCGCCTCATCCCAGCCGGTCTGCTCCTCATCACCTCCCCATTCCCCACTTCCCCTTCCCCTGCTCTGTCCGTCTGCGCCCCCTTCCCCCCCACCAGGACGTGCTACCAAAGGCAGGCCCCATGTTCGTCGCCTCTGTCCGCCTCATCCCAGCCGGTCTGCTCCTCATCACCTCCCCATTCCCCACTTCCCCTTCCCCTGCTCTGTCCGTCTGCGCCCCCTTCCCCCCCACCAGGACGTGCTACCAAAGGCAGGCCCCATGTTCGTCGCCTCTGTCCGCCTCATCCCAGCCGGTCTGCTCCTCATCACCTCCCCATTCCCCACTTCCCCTTCCCCTGCTCTGTCCGTCTGCGCCCCCTTCTCCCCCATCAGGACGTGCTGCCAAAAGCAGGTCCCATGTTCGTTGCCTCTGTCCGCCTCATCCCAGCCGGTCTGCTCCTCATCACCTCCCCATTCCCCACTTCCCCTTCCCCTGCTCTGTCCGTCTGCGCCCCCTTCCCCCCCACCAGGACGTGCTACCAAAGGCAGGCCCCATGTTCGTCGCCTCTGTCCGCCTCATCCCAGCCGGTCTGCTCCTCATCACCTCCCCATTCCCCACTTCCCCTTCCCCTGCTCTGTCCGTCTGCGCCCCCTTCCCCCCCATCAGGACGTGCTGCCAAAAGCAGGCCCCATGTTCGTTGCCTCTGTCCGCCTCATCCCAGCCGGTCTGCTCCTCATCACCTCCCCATTCCCCACTTCCCCTTCCCCTGCTCTGTCCGTCTGCGCCCCCTTCCCCCCCACCAGGACGTGCTACCAAAGGCAGGCCCCATGTTCGTCGCCTCTGTCCGCCTCATCCCAGCCGGTCTGCTCCTCATCACCTCCCCATTCCCCACTTCCCCTTCCCCTGCTCTGTTCGTCTGCGCCCCCTTCTCCCCCATCAGGACGTGCTACCAAAGGCAGGCCCCATGTTCGTCGCCTCTGTCCGCCTCATCCCAGCCGGTCTGCTCCTCATCACCTCCCCATTCCCCACTTCCCCTTCCCCTGCTCTGTCCGTCTGCGCCCCCTTCTCCCCCACCAGGACGTGCTACCAAAGGCAGGCCCCATGTTCGTTGCCTCTGTCCGCCTCATCCCAGCCGGTCTGCTCCTCATCACCTCCCCATTCCCCACTTCCCCTTCCCCTGCTCTGTCCGTCTGCGCCCCCTTCCCCCCCACCAGGACGTGCTACCAAAGGCAGGCCCCATGTTCGTCGCCTCTGTCCGCCTCATCCCAGCCGGTCTGCTCCTCATCACCTCCCCATTCCCCACTTCCCCTTCCCCTGCTCTGTCCGTCTGCGCCCCCTTCTCCCCCATCAGGACGTGCTACCAAAGGCAGGCCCCATGTTCGTCGCCTCTGTCCGCCTCATCCCAGCCGGTCTGCTCCTCATCACCTCCCCATTCCCCACTTCCCCTTCCCCTGCTCTGTCCGTCTGCGCCCCCTTCTCCCCCACCAGGACGTGCTACCAAAGGCAGGCCCCATGTTCGTTGCCTCTGTCCGCCTCATCCCAGCCGGTCTGCTCCTCATCACCTCCCCATTCCCCACTTCCCCTTCCCCTGCTCTGTCCGTCTGCGCCCCCTTCTCCCCCATCAGGACGTGCTACCAAAGGCAGGCCCCATGTTCGTCGCCTCTGTCCGCCTCATCCCAGCCGGTCTGCTCCTCATCACCTCCCCATTCCCCACTTCCCCTTCCCCTGCTCTGTCCGTCTGCGCCCCCTTCTCCCCCACCAGGACGTGCTACCAAAGGCAGGCCCCATGTTCGTTGCCTCTGTCCGCCTCATCCCAGCCGGTCTGCTCCTCATCACCTCCCCATTCCCCACTTCCCCTTCCCCTGCTCTGTCCGTCTGCGCCCCCTTCCCCCCCACCAGGACGTGCTACCAAAGGCAGGCCCCATGTTCGTCGCCTCTGTCCGCCTCATCCCAGCCGGTCTGCTCCTCATCACCTCCCCATTCCCCACTTCCCCTTCCCCTGCTCTGTCCGTCTGCGCCCCCTTCCCCCCCATCAGGACGTGCTGCCAAAAGCAGGCCCCATGTTCGTTGCCTCTGTCCGCCTCATCCCAGCCGGTCTGCTCCTCATCACCTCCCCATTCCCCACTTCCCCTTCCCCTGCTCTGTCCGTCTGCGCCCCCTTCCCCCCCACCAGGACGTGCTACCAAAGGCAGGCCCCATGTTCGTCGCCTCTGTCCGCCTCATCCCAGCCGGTCTGCTCCTCATCACCTCCCCATTCCCCACTTCCCCTTCCCCTGCTCTGTTCGTCTGCGCCCCCTTCTCCCCCATCAGGACGTGCTACCAAAGGCAGGCCCCATGTTCGTCGCCTCTGTCCGCCTCATCCCAGCCGGTCTGCTCCTCATCACCTCCCCATTCCCCACTTCCCCTTCCCCTGCTCTGTCCGTCTGCGCCCCCTTCCCCCCCACCAGGACGTGCTACCAAAGGCAGGCCCCATGTTCGTCGCCTCTGTCCGCCTCATCCCAGCCGGTCTGCTCCTCATCACCTCCCCATTCCCCACTTCCCCTTCCCCTGCTCTGTCCGTCTGCGCCCCCTTCTCCCCCACCAGGACGTGCTACCAAAGGCAGGCCCCATGTTCGTCGCCTCTGTCCGCCTCATCCCAGCCGGTCTGCTCCTCATCACCTCCCCATTCCCCACTTCCCCTTCCCCTGCTCTGTCCGTCTGCGCCCCCTTCCCCCCCATCAGGACGTGCTGCCAAAAGCAGGCCCCATGTTCGTTGCCTCTGTCCGCCTCATCCCAGCCGGTCTGCTCCTCATCACCTCCCCATTCCCCACTTCCCCTTCCCCTGCTCTGTCCGTCTGCGCCCCCTTCCCCCCCACCAGGACGTGCTACCAAAGGCAGGCCCCATGTTCGTCGCCTCTGTCCGCCTCATCCCAGCCGGTCTGCTCCTCATCACCTCCCCATTCCCCACTTCCCCTTCCCCTGCTCTGTCCGTCTGCGCCCCCTTCCCCCCCACCAGGACGTGCTACCAAAGGCAGGCCCCATGTTCGTCGCCTCTGTCCGCCTCATCCCAGCCGGTCTGCTCCTCATCACCTCCCCATTCCCCACTTCCCCTTCCCCTGCTCTGTCCGTCTGCGCCCCCTTCTCCCCCATCAGGACGTGCTGCCAAAAGCAGGTCCCATGTTCGTTGCCTCTGTCCGCCTCATCCCAGCCGGTCTGCTCCTCATCACCTCCCCATTCCCCACTTCCCCTTCCCCTGCTCTGTCCGTCTGCGCCCCCTTCCCCCCCACCAGGACGTGCTACCAAAGGCAGGCCCCATGTTCGTCGCCTCTGTCCGCCTCATCCCAGCCGGTCTGCTCCTCATCACCTCCCCATTCCCCACTTCCCCTTCCCCTTCTCTGTCCGTCTGCGCCCCCTTCTCCCCCATCAGGACGTGCTGCCAAAAGCAGGTCCCATGTTCGTTGCCTCTGTCCGCCTCATCCCAGCCGGTCTGCTCCTCGTTGCCTTTGCTGCCAGCCGAGGCCGTCCCATGCCCAAGTCCGCCCTTGCATGGTTCTCCATCCTCCTCTTCGCCCTCGTGGACGCCACAGCCTTCCAGGTACGAGGGCAGAAAGAAGAGTGTCTAGTTATCACTTTGCTCCAAGCTGCCTTGTTACTGGCTATCCTGTTAAATCACATCACGCCCAAGTCCGCTCTTGTGTTGCCTTGCTGTTCACTACTTCTCTCCCTTCCCTTCTCTGCCTGTGCACTGCACAGGGCTGTCTCACGGAGGGCTTGCGCAGAACATCAGCCGGCCTTGCGCAGAACATCAGCCGGCCTTGGATCAGGATTGTCCCTATCTCCTCTCTCTACCCCTTTCCCTTCCCCCCCCCCTCATACCCCCCCTTCGGGCTGTGCACTGCACAGGGCTGTCTGACAGAGGGCTTGCGCAGAACATCAGCCGGCCTCGGATCAGTAAGCAATGTCCCCTTCCCTTCCAGTGGCTGTTATTGCGGTCTTTCTTTTAGCAATACTCGTGAGCCGGCTCAAAACACCTACGCCTCACACCCTCCCTCCGTGCCCTAATTTCCAATCAGGTTTTTATTAACTCTCAGCCGCCTCCCAATCCCTCTTTCCTCCCGGTCAGGTCATCATCGACTCTCAGCCGCTCACAGTGGCTGTGCTCGCAGCCCTTCTGTTCGGAGAGACCATTTCCAAAAAAGGGGCGCTGGGGCTTGTGCTAGGGGTTGTGGGCTTGCTGCTGCTTGAGGTGAGAAACATCTAAAATGTAGCTGTTTTTGTACACATCACATGGAAGTTGTGTGTAGGATGACACTCAGATTCTGCGCTCTGTTCAGCAATACTCTTTAGCTAGCATACAAGCATTGTGCTTTTGCCAATCGTTGGTGCTCTTGCTTGAAAATGTACGAGTTGCAGCTGCATGAGATGAGGGCAGCGACTACAGGTGGGGAGTGTCTTGCTGCCTCTCCCTTCTCGTCCTCTCTCTATTACCCTCACTACCCTGTTTCTGTTTCCCCGCTCTGATTCTCCTCTCACCACCCCTCACCACCCCTCAGGTTCCCCTGGATGCGCTTCTCTCTTTCGCCTCCTCTCTCACTGCATCTTCCAGCCAATCAGTGCTTGCCACGTTGCCTCTAGACAGCGCTCTCTCTCTGGCAGACATCACCCCTTCCCTCACTGATTCTTCTGTCGCTCTATCAGCAGCAGCAGCAGCAGCTGATGCTACAGCAGTAGCACCAGCAGCTATTGCACTGACATCATCAGCAGCGGCTGCAGTGGGTGTGGGGGACTGGCAATTGTGGGAAAGTGGGGAGTGGTGGATGCTGCTCGCTGCTCAAAGCATGGGTAAGGAGGGGTTGCATACTCGAAAAGATCTGTTTACTATTTAAAGCATGGTTTTGGAGAAGTTGGATGCTCAAAGGATGGAGAGCTTCAACTGGAACTGCAAGGACTATCAAGGAAATCTGTGTTTTCTAAGCCAGAAGTGCCCTTGCCCTATTCCACAGGCTGCCTCTCGATCCAATTGTTTTCTCTCTTTCCTGTCATATTCTCAGTCCTCTCATTCCTCTCACTTTTCCCACTCCTCATCTCACTCCTACTCCTCTCACTCCGCTCACTCCTCCCACTCCTCAAGCCTCTCACTCCTCTCATTCCTCTCGCCCTGCTCGTTCCTCTCTCGCTTTTCCCACTCCTCATCTCACTCCTACTCCTCTCACTCCGCTCACTCCTCCCACTCCTCAAGCCTCTCACTCCTCTCATTCCTCTCGCCCTGCTCGTTCCTCTCTCACTTTTCCCACTCCTCATCTCACTCCTACTCCTCTCACTCCGCTCACTCCTCCCACTCCTCAAGCCTCTCACTCCTCTCACATCTTACTTGCCTCTCTTTGCTCCCCTCCTCTCATTCCCCCCATTCCTCTCACTCCCACTCTTCTCATCCCCCTCCTCTAATTCCTCTCATCCCTCTTCCATGTCTCCCCTCTGACCAGCAGTTGGCACGGTCATGGTGCGGTGGGTCTGCAGGCACTGCGACCCTATCAAGACCACTCCGCTCACTTCGCTCACTCCGCTCACTTCGCTCACTCTGCTCACTGTGCTCACTGCTCTCCCTCTCCGTACTCCTCTCACCCCTCTCATGCCTCTGCCGTATGTCTCCCCTCTGACCAGCTGTTGGCACAGTCATGGTGCGCTGGGTCTGCAGGCACTGCGACCCCATCATGGCCACTGGATGGGTATGATTGGGTCTGGATGGGTTAAGACCGGGTTGTGAGCTGGCTGAATTGGGGGATTGGGGAGATTTGAGGTTCTGGTAAGAACTGTGGATACGGTAAGCACTGTATGGTACGGTTGAGTTTCAGGGGGGCAGGATGGACAGGCTCTTAACCATGGTTGCTGACATGGCCTGACACGTAGGGATCGTCTTCAGCCTTGCACTTATTCCAGATGTCTCAAGCTGTTTTTCTAAGCTCGGTCTTTCTTCTGCCTGTGCTCTTGCTTGGTTCTCTTTTGACCCTCTGTCACCCCATCCCCCATGCCCCGGCAACAGCACATGGTGCTGGGAGGCATTCCTCTCCTCTACCTCTCCTTCCAGCAGCACGATCCAGCGGTCTCTGGTGGTCTTGCTGACCTTTCCTTGCTCGATTGGTCCTCCTTGATGTACACATCAGTCTTCGGAAGCGCAATTAGCTATGGAGTGTTCTTCTACAATGCAAATAAAGGTGAGAGTGTGACTCATGTCACCCAGCTTGTTTTGTTTCAGCCCTGTACCACCACATCAGGGTTGACGTATATCCTCCCATTATACATCTTTCATAGTCTAGTTGGCTGTCATTGTGATTTTCACTTCCCTGTCAGTTGCATCTGTATTTTATTCGTTCCATTACAGGAAGCCTCACAAGGCTGAGCTCATTGACTTTCCTCACTCCTGCATTTGCTGCATTCTTTGGGTATGTGCCATCATGGGTACTACAGTTGCTCCCCCAACTTTCTCTTCCCAGCTAGTGTCACTTCATGCTCAGTGCCTGGTCTCCCTTTACTTGGTCCCTGTGTTGATTGCATGGGCTGCACGTTTCTTGATGTTTCTTGTCACTTTCCTTGCAGGTTCATATTCCTAGGCGAAACACTGTCCCCTCTTCAGTTCTTTGGTGCTGGAGTCACACTGGTTGCTATCTACCTTGTAAATGCTCGTTCTCAGCAAAAAGCCTAGGCAACTCTAGTTAATAGTATTACATGAAACATACCATGTCATTCAGATCTGTAGCCGATCAGGGGCTAGTGATATAAGCTCCCTTATAACAAGGGCAATCAAACAGCCCTTCACAAAACTGAGCATAAATATTCCACTGTTTTGACAGCCCTATAAATCTGGTATGTGTACAGCTAGCTGCAGAGTGGGTACCCAGATGTTGGCGGACACCTCGACTTAGTGCATGTCTTTTTAAGATTAGTACAGGAGGGTTAGTGCATGTATGGCAGGATGGAAGGTATGGGTGAGAGGTATCAAGAGCAAATTTCTGTGTCACGCCTTGACGGATACAGCCCTGTCCCTCTCTGAACGAAGATAGGCTTCAAACTTTTCAAGTTGCCTCATGAAGCCATAATTAGGTTGTGCAATCGGTCGGCACCTCTTGACGTGGGCAAAGGCTTCTTGAAAACTGATCCCTTTCCTTGCCATCAAGTACGCTATGACCACTGTTGCACTTCTGGACATGCCTGTAAAACATCGAAGATGTACCACACAGAGGAAAACGGTAAGTGGAGGGGAAAACATTCTAAAACAGACCAGGCCAGGAAAATTCAAGAAGAACAATGGGTACCGTACCTGCTACACAATGAACAAGGATGCCGCCTGATCTGATCCCTTCGTCAATAGCTTTGAAGCACAGCTCGAAGTGTGCAGCTATGTTTACATGAGACGAGTCGATGATCGACACCTCAGTGTACTTGAATGCGCCAGGGAATTTAGGAGGGCCTACGTTGGACGCTATCGTCAGAATGCTCTTAATGCCAAGGCCATCCAATAATTCCCTGCACGAATGACGTCAGGCAGCTCAGATCACAAGGCAGACTGAAGGGCGGAATAGCAGGACTTCGAAAACCCAGGGAGAACCAGCAGAACTACGAAGTAGTTCCTCGTACCACCTTACTTGTCGGAAGCTGAATTCAGATTTCCCAAGTAGAGCTTGTCGAGAATCAAATCAGGAGGCGAGTGGAACAGTGATGACGTGGTAACTGGAGTATAAGGCAATCTCCACGGGGTCGACATATCCAAATCAAAATTGTGCCGAACGCGTCGATAACGCCGTATTCTCAGTCCTCGGTGACGGAGCGAATCCTCAATCAACACATGGGGATGGAACACCTAAAGAGCGACACATCCATCCATTCTTCGCCGTTTGTGGACACTAAAACTCTCACGTGATATCGGAGTCAACAACGAACAAGAGGAATGAACGCCACCGCATGTGCCGTCACTGAATCCAAGTTGTAATCTGGGAGGTAGGCAGGAAAACGTTGAAGGCAACAAAAACCAGGAAGGGAACTGGAACCCAAGGATAACGCTGGAAGTACATCCAGTGATCCATGGCCATCCCATCAACCCATCTCACCATGATTGTCACACACCACACCCACCCAACCATCCATCATCGGCGAGGTTGCAAGAGGATGCAGAGCGGTGGAAAGGTCTAACGTGCCTACGCTAGCCAATGCGAAAGCTTCTGGCCAGTGCGCCACGGCGTTCCCATTGGAACGCGGCAAAGTCAGCTCAGAAATCTCCCGCCAGTGTACGCATGAAGGAAAGCATTGCCATATTGTTAATAGGAAGCGTACGGTATGTGCTGCATATTGCTAAGAAGTATAATCATCAGTACGATGCCTTGGTCCAATTAAGATTGCTACATAAATTATGTCAAAAAGGGAAAATATGACCGCCTAACCTACGAAAGAGAACCTAGAACACCGCCAGAACAATATGAATTAATATATACGATTTGCTGGGTACTGGTACATAGTCAGCAATGGTTAGGTATGGTTAGCGCGACGAATGCATGCGTATCCATGGATGCCCTGCAAAACAAGCAAGCAAGCAGCAGAGGAGAACTTTAAGCTATATGAGATCAGGAAAGAAACGAGGAACACTGTGTTTGAACACGCCATACATCTCTCGATCGCCACGAACTGACAAAATCACCACCAGTAAACAGCACATACCAAGAATCTGAAGGCACGTGATTCGCTCCTGCGGCTTCTTCGCAAGCATTCGGCCAATCAGATGCTTGCACTCGTCCGAAACATGCGCCCACTTCGCCGACCGGAAGCTCGCCTCGCGGGTGGCAACAGCCTCCTGCACGGACTGCTTGGATGCTGCCCAGAAGGGCGGCACTCCCGACATGGCAATGTACATGACGACTCCCGTGCTCCACACGTCCACTGCAGGGCCATAGCTCCCGTCCCACACCTCTGGCGCCATGTACTCAGGCGTGCCGATGGTGTCGTGGAGCAAAACGCCTGGTGGGTGGTGTGGGGAAGGAGGGGAGATAAGTGGGATGAGCAGGGCAAGAAAAGGACCCGTCCCACACCTCTGGCGCCATATACTCGGGTGTGCTGATGGTGTCGCGCAGCAAAACGCCTGGTGTGTTGGGAGTGTGTGGGAGATATGGGAGGATATGGGTGAGTGTGTGAGCAGGGGAAGAAAAACTTCCTCCCTTCCCACACCTCCGGTGCCGCGTACTTGGGCGTGCCAATGGTGACGTGGAGGAGAACACCTGGTGTGTTGGGAATGTATGGTGTGTTGGGAATGTAGAGGATTTGGGAAGGCAGGGCGAATGGTGAGGGAGAGCGGGTGTATGTAGGGAGTGGGAGATGGGAAGTGCAGGGCACTGCAGTGCACATTATAGACAAGCAAGGACATACGTTCCTGGAAGAATGTTGCAACACCAAAATCAACGAGTTTGATGCGCGTGTCGCTCCCAGGCTCGACAAGTAGAATGTTCTCGGGCTTGATGTCCCGGTGAATCACCTCGTGGCGGTGGCAGTGCAGCCTCAAGGTGCAGTGCAGTGCAGTGCAGTGCATTGCGGTGCATTGCATCCTGATGAGCATCAAGCAAGGACATACCTTCCTGGAAGAAGGTCGCTACTCCAAAGTCAACGAGTTTGATGCGAGTATCGCTCCCAGGTTCCACAAGTAAGATGTTCTCGGGCTTGATGTCCCGGTGAATCACCCCGTGGCGGTGGCAGTGCAGCAGTGCCTCTGTGATTGCTCGGCATAGGTGGGCACCGAGCGTCTCCGAATACACTCCGCCCTTGGTGATTCTGTCGAATAGATCGCCCCCACGACAGAACTCCATCACTAAATGCACGTACTGAGGGGGAGAAGGGCGGGCAGGGAGGGACGAGATAAGGGATTTGGGAAAGGTCTTGAGGAGGACTATGAAGATTGAACTCGGAGTATGAGTGTGCACGGCGGCGGTGGCAGTGCAGCAGTGCCTCTGTGATGGCGCGGCACGGGTGGGCGCCGAGCAGCTCCGAATACACTCCACCCCTGGTGATGCGATCGAACAGATCGCCCCCGTGACAGAACTCCATGACTAAATGCACGTACTGGATGAGGGGGGGGAGAGGAATGGGGAAGGGGGGAGGGGGCGAGAGGAGGGAGCTGAGACTCGAGTACACTTCGCCCTTGGTGATGCGGTCAAACAGATCGCCGCTCCACCATCATCAGGTGCACATACATTATCAGTAAAGGTGGGAAGGGTTTGAGAAGGGCTTTGGGAAGGGAGTTGGAAGAGGGTACATGTGAGTGGGTCAAAACTCAGGTAAAAAAAAGCAAGTGGCGCGCACACTGAGAATGGCGGCAAATGGCAGTGATTGAATAAAACAGTGAAACATGTAAAAAAAAGCAATTGCGAAACATGTAGTGGTGAAATTGCCACCGTTAAGCATGCACCTATGCACCTTCACAGCACAGCAGCATACCTTTGAATCTTCGACTGCATCGTGGAGTGTGACTATATAGGGGTGCCCCTTCAGTACAAGCATGCTAGCGACCTCCATTCTAATGTCGTCTGCTGCCTCTTGGCTCTGATGTGGGGGGGGGGGGGGGGGGGGGGCGGGCGGACGGATGAAGTGCGGTGCAGGATGGTGAGTTGAGGTGGCAGGGGAAGAAGAGGGTGGGTGTGCATGCTACAGGTCTTTCTTTCTTTCTTTCTTTCTTTCTTTCTTTTTTTTTTTTTTTCTTTCTTTCCTTCTACCGGTCAGTGCCGGTCCACTTAAACACCTCAATCTCAACCGTCCCTTCAGCTACTCACCTTGACGCGGGCCTTTTTGATAGTCTTGCAGGCGAGCACATGCCCTGCCGTGGAGATCTCCAGGCACTTGCGAATCACCCAGTACTCGCCACTGACCAGCTCCTCTTTATGAAGCACGTACCGCGCTGCCAGGTCCTTGTATGGCTTGTAGAGTGCGGTGCAGTGTGGTGCATTGAGGTGAGAGGGGAGGGGAGGGTGGCCCAGCTCCTTGTGAAGCACGTACCGCGCCGCCAGGCCCTTGTATGGCTTCCTCACCACTCACCACTTGCCCTAGCTGCCCCCTGTAGGGTTTCTTCTACCAGCCACCTTGATCCTGACCATTCCTTCAACCACCATACCTCAATCCTGATCGTCCCTCACCCACTCACCTTAGTGCGGGCCTTCTTAATAGTCTTGCACGAGAGCACATGCCCTGCGGAGATCTCCAAGCACTTCTGAATCACACCGTACTCGCCTCTGCCCAGCTCCTCCTTATGCAGCACATACCGCGCAGCCAGGTCCTTGTATGGCTTCGATAGTATGTAGTCTGACGGGCGGATGCTGCCATACTGCCTCATTGCACATGGTACCTCAATCCTGACCGTCCAACCATCCACTCACCTTGATGCGGGCCTTCTTGATGGTCTTGCAGGCGAGCACATGGCCGGTCGAAATCTCCAAGCACTTCCGTATCACACCGTACTCGCCTCTGCCCAGCTCCTCCTTGTGCAGCACGTAGCGCGCCGCCAGGTCCTTGTATGGCTTCTTCAATATGTAGTCTGACGGGCGGATGCTGCCGTATTGCCTCATCACTGGTAACCCAGAGCTGCTGGCAGCAGCAATGGCATGCTTCGTAGCACCAGCAGCAGCACCGGCGGCAGTAGCACCAGAAGCAGCAGCAGCGGCGGAAGCAGCAGCGGCACCAGAGCCACCAGCACCAGCAAGCCTCCCTTCTGCTTCCCTTCCTCCTCCGCCTCTGTCTCTTCGCCCAGACCCCACTCCCACCGCTCCTCCGCTGCCCTGACTTGCCAGCTGCGCCAGAATGCTATCAGCCTGCTGCTTCTTACCCGCTCCCGCCGCCTTCTTTTTCTTGTCCACTTCCGAGTGCGTGGAGACCTTTTCAAGCATGAGAACCGACCCCAGAGGGCCCTTCTTCTTCTGATGCTGCGTCATAAGCTGGGTTTGGAGGGCCAGGGAGGAGTGCAGCAGCTGCTGCTGCATCTGCCGCTGGCTTGGCATCCTGCCGCTGCTGCTGCCGCCGCCACCGCCGCCGCTGCTGCTAATGCTGTAGCTGCTGCTGTCCATGCTGGTGCAGCCAGGAACAATCTTCCTGCCATCACCGCGACTGCTGTCACCCCTGCCGCTGCCGCTGCTGCTCCCTATATCTCCCTCCAAAACCTTGCCCTGTTCCTTGCCCTTCCCTTTCCCTTCATACTCCCCAGCATGTTCCTCTCCTCGCCTTCCCTTACTCGCTCCCACCACACCTACCCCTTTGATCCCCCTCTCTTCACCATCGTGCTTATGACTCAGCAACTCAGCTAACTTTCCGTGAGGGATCGATTCGACATCATAATCAGACAAAATTACCCGCCCAGGAGCACCGCCCTTGCTCTGCAGCCCTGTGGAGCCCACTGTGTCTCCTCTTGGGGCAACTACCCCCGAAATAATTACTGACCTCCGTGCTCCACCCCCTGCAGCAGCCTCCCTGCGTGCCCTGTCTCTGTGAGCCAAACGCTCGTGAAGTGCTGCTGCTGACACTGCTGCAGCAGATGCTGCTGCTGCCGCCGCCGCTGCAGCTGCTGCCTCTCCTCCTCCTCCTGCCCCCGATCCTTCTGCATGCACTGACTGGTTAGGGGGCGACACAGGGGGGGTAACCAGCAGTGACGTGGGCACTCGCGGAATCTCGTCAGCGCTGCGCTGGCGGCGGCGCATGTGATGCCGACTCTTGCCATCCCCAACCCCACCCCCCGCACCACCACCAATACCACCTCCCCCAGCCCCACCTTCCCTTGCTCCACTCCCGAAGGGACTCCCAACTCGGCTATCCACCCCTTCCTCCTCCTCCCCTTCCTCCTCCTCCCCCCCATGCCTCTGCTTCCGCCTCCCAAACTTCCCCCGAATCCCCGCCACCCGTCCTCCTGCCTCACTTTTTGGCCTCCTGTCATTCTCCCCACCACCTGCAGCGTCTGAAGACTTGAGGGAGAAGGACGCGAGAGCAGCAGGAGCCTCTTGGGAGGCCGGCCTACTGCTGCTGCCACTGCCCCCCACAACGCTGATGCTGCTGCTGCTGTTCCCCCCCGGAATGCCAACCCGGTTGCTGCTGCCGCTGGGGACGGTACTGGGAGGGGCAGCAGCGGCGGCCGTGGTGCTGGTGCCGGTGGGAGAGGTGGAGTCTGGGAGGAGGGAGCGCAGGCGGGAGGATGCAGCGTGCAGTATTCCCTTGATTCCCAAACTACCCTTCGGACTTTTCAGCTTCCCCTGCTGCTGCTGTTGCTGCTGCTGCTGCTGTTGCTGCTGCTCGTCGTGCTCTTGCTCCCCCTTTACCGCCTCATCTTCTACCCCTTTCCCCTCCGCTCGCCTCTCCCCCGTCCTCTCCCTCATCCCCATCTCCCTCTCTCCTGTTCTCTCTTTCGACCGAGGTTTAGACCTCTCCTTCCCTCGGCTTATCCTTGATCCCAGCAATTCGCTTATATCAGCCGAACCTTGATACGGCCTATGCAGCCTTCCTTTGGGTAACTCCTCTTTTTCTCTAAACGACCCCACATCCGTATCTTCGCTGCCCCAATACCCGTCAAACTGCCCGGAAACGTCTCTGGCAGTGACCGGCCTGGCGTTGACTGGGGCGTAAAGGTCCCCAGAACGATCCGCTTCTTTTTCAGCTGCCCGTTGGACCGAGTCAAAAATAGATTCGCTACTTGTGGTATCAAGTGGGGGAAAGGCGTGGAGGGAGGATCCTCGCCTGTGCCTTGGCTTGGGACAAGCAGAACCAGAACCGGCACCAGCACCAGCAGCGGCAGAAGCACCACCACCAGCAGCAGATAGCCTACTGCTGCCACTGGCACCAGCAGCACTGCCATAGAGATCCGCGTTACGAGCTGTCCCGGTAGCAGCCTGCTGCTGCAGAGAGCTAAAGGGCGTGTCGCTGCTGGAGAAGTCGACGGGAGAAAAGGAATGGACTGATGCGCCTCGCCGGTGCCTAGGCTTCGGGCGAGCACTAACCGCTGCTACCTCCATGCCACCACCAGCACCAGCAGCAGCAGCACCACCATCACCACCACCAATACCACCACGGGTGCTACTACCCTCCCTACTGCCCCTGCGATCTCGTTCCTCCCGGTCACTCCCCTCCTCCCTCTCCCCCCCCTCCTTCTCCTCCTTCAGTTGCGCCACCAGCTGACGCCAGCTCACGCTCCCCGCGTCCCCCTCCGCGCCTGCTTCCCCCTCCGCGGGCCTAGAGGGGCGGTCCAGAGAGGAATAGGACATGAGCTTGTTCCCCAGGGGGGAGCTACGGGGGCGCGCGGGGAAAGGGAAGCCTGCGCCGCCCCCCATGCCATGCGCGCTAGCGCCCCTCGCACCAGAGCCCGCTCCCCCGAACCCTCCGCCTCCCCCCCCGCCTCCCCCGATTCTTCCGAAGCTACCACCACCGCCAGCGCCGCCACTTATGGAGGCAAACGCAACCCGCCTGCTCTCCGCCCCAGCCTCTCCCCCGTCCGCCCGCATCTCCCCTCCCCTGCCTCCCCCACTGCCCCTACTGCTCCCTCCGCCACCTCCGCCAGTTCCGCCACTTCCGCCATCACCGCCCCCTTCCCCCTCTCCCTTCTTAATCTCCTCCAACCAGTCTAGACCGTCCTTACCTCCTCGGCTCCTAAAAGAGCCAGGCGGATCCAGCGACGCATAAGACACGAGCCGCTTCTCTGGTCGCAGCGGCGAGCCGAGCGGCGAGCCGCGCGGGGAGCCGCGCGGGGAGACGGAGAAGGCAAGAGGAACCCCCCCCGCGCTCCCCCCTCCGCCCCTGCTTCCGCTTCCCCCGCGCGGCGGCCCCCAGAGATCGCGCTCCGCCTGCTTCACCCCCCCGCTGGGAAGCCAAGCGGGAATTTCTCCGCCTATTGGCTTTCTGTCGGTTGCGGATGCGCTATCCGCGCGCTCGCCTGCTACCTGTTGGCTGCGTCTGGTAACCCTATGCTCGGAAGGGGTTACACCCTCCCTCTTCGCGCCATCGGACGAAAATTTCACGGCAGAGTAATTAAATACGTTTTTCCGACCCGGGGAGCTGGTTACTGGCGATGCTGTGCCCGAGGATCCCGCCGGAGATAGCGCCGGGGATCGCGCCGGAGATCGCGCTGGCGATACCGCCGAAGATTCCGCAGGGCTGTGGAAGGTAACGGAAGTGCTGGCGTCACCGCCGGCGGCGGAAATTTCGCGGAGAGAGATGGGCGCGTCGCGCGAGTCGACTGACTGCGTGTCTTTTTCAACAAGATTTTCAAAGGACGGCGGATGCGGTAGTAGTTCAGCCGAGCGAGTACCGGATTGGCTTGGATCGAAGTCATCGGTCACGTGATTAGTCCGCCTTCGCCCTCCTGATTCGCCGGCGAAATTGACGAAATCCGACGCGTCGACAGACGCGCGGCGATGTGGGCTGACCGAACTTTTCGGAAATTCACGACGAGACTTTGCCACGTAAGCCTCCGCGCCTTCCTCGAAAGACGCCCGCCGTCCGCTGCTCTCCTTCCCGAGCCCAAAAACGGAATCCATTACAGGGCTTGACGCGGCTGACCTAGAATGGCAGGAGCTCGGATAATCCCGCCCGTTGCGCCGGCTGCTGCTGCCAATACCGCTGCTGCTGTGATCTCCGCCAAGCGTGTCTCCGCCCATTATTTCTCCGCCGTTCCCCCCTCCGCCAATTCCCCCCGAATCCTCCCCTCCGCTGGGAATGGACCAGCTCGCGGGGGGAGTCATTGGGTGAAAGTTGCGCGTAACCCCGCTGGGTGGGGAGTGATACGGGGAGTGGAGCGGCGAGCGAGGGGGCTTGCTGGAATAATCATGGTGATGCTGCTGCTGGTGCTGATGCGAAGGGTGACAATCCTGATGGGTGTCGTCATGATGGTGAGAAGAACGAGCGGACGCCGGCCGTACATGCGTGACTACAGCGAGGGGTCGATACTGCCGGCGCTCGAGCAGTGTCGAGCCGCTGACTGCCGTTTTTAACGGGCTGGCGGCCCTCCCGTCCCCGTTATGGATGGACTCGTCGGAAGTTGCATTGTGCGATGGAAGTGAGGGAGAAGCGGATCTTGGCCGCATTGTGCTTAATTGATTTCGTTAGATATAAGTACGACTGAAAAAAAACGGCTGTTCATGTTCTAAAGCCTGAAGTCCGACCAAAGCTGGGAGACTGGGAGTGCAGGAAGATTAGCGTTCGTATAAAGTGAGACGTCTACCGACTAGAGGAGCGGACATTGCGGCATAACAACAATCACAGAAATAATGATGGGCCTATTGAGGATCAGGATAACGCTGAGCTGAAACCAAGATTTTGTATTCTCAAGATTGTGTTGTCAGGGAGGAAAGGGAAGGCGTGCTGCTGTGCTGTGTGCCGTTGAGCTCAATTTACCGTTGAGGGATTAATGTTGGTGGTTCCGTATGCAGTGAATCGATGGACCTAGACAAATTGCAACGCATCGTACTCAACCGTTGATTTATTGAACGAAACTTGTGGCTCCTCTTCCCCCCAGGGGGCAGCGTGCCAGCGTGGAACGCAGGGAAGGTTGCGGGGAAAAGGAACCAATCAACGAAAAAGGGAATCCAGTTACTGTGTACTGTAGCAACGCACCTGTCCTGCAACGAGACATTCCAGTGTGGTGGACCCATTGACTCCGATGACGTGACTCTCGTTCGCAACGTCATGGCTGGCATTTCAGTGCGGTTATAGGTGTACCAGGCTCCAGCTTTGCGACATCCGAACCGAATAGACTGCGATCACAACTGGTCTTGTCGCACCAACTGTGCGACATTGCTGAGCGAAGACTCCAAAATTCAAGCCCGACGCGGTCGGCGGGGGGGTGATGGATGGAGGGACCAAGCTGATGTGGCGACTCGCTGTGAGTGTCGTGCGACACACTCGCATAAGAACAAAGGGCCTATATAATCTGGATTCCTCAATGAGAGAATGTGAGGAACACCTGAATGTGAGGAACCTGGGGAGCTAGGGAGTAATTTAGGTTGTCAATGTGTTCATGTGAGTCTTAGGGCCCTTGGGACACCAGGCGGTGATTTGCATGGCTTGCATTCTTGTATTTCAAAAACTGCTGGCTAGCCACACCTGACAAATGCAATACAAGCAATAACACATGTTTAGGGAATTGCTCCTACAATGTCACTTTGTACCAACACTGCTTATATCAGACTACATTTCCCTGAGCTGCTCTGACACAAACAGCCATTGATTAAAGTAATTGGCGAAGCCAAACTGTCATCATCAGCCAAGAATGTACCCCTCAGAAATGAGCCCTCTGACATCAACCCGAACGACATCTGTGCCTCACAATGCTGCCCTTTTCCGCTCAATCACAGCAGAGCAGCAAGAACTGCAGCAGTCACAGTCACCACTACAGATGCAGCCACACTCCCAGATCCCTTAGGGGGTGGAGGCGGGGGGGACGGGGTCGAGGGGGGGGACGGGGTCGAGGGGGAGGACGGCGCAGAGGGGGAGGATGGGGTAGAGGGGGAGGACGGAGTGGAGGGGGCAGGTGGGGGCGCAGTAGAGGGGGGAGATCCCCCATCCACGGTACCTCCGGACGACGGTGCCATTGCCGAGCCTGGAGAAGCATCCGAGCCTGGCGCTGGTGCAGGTGCGGAGGACGGAGCCGACGGGGGCTTCGGGAGGGTAGGCTTGTCGTAGGCGGTTGGGGGCAGGGGGGGGCGCTTGTAGGGGGTGGTTCCGGGCTTGTAAGGGTACTTGGCACAGATCTTCGCGTCAGGTTTCCGGCCCGGGATCTTCTCTGCTCCGGTGGTGTTTACCGAACCAGCAGGGCAGGTTTTGGGGACGGTGAGAGGGTCGCAGCAGAAGGGGGTCGCAGGAATGACCTGGGGACCGCCATAGCAACCCACGTCCTGTGACGAGGTAAGGGGGGAGAAGAGTAGAGGGGGGGGGGGGGGGGGGGGGGGGGGAAGGGGGTGAAGTGAACAGGAGGTATTGGTAAGCAGTAACAAGGCTGGAGTTTTATTTACGGGTTTAGAGCGATCCACATCTCTATACAAAAAGGTGAGGAGCTGGAAAGCACTCAAAAGGTTACTCATACACGGTACGCTTTTGCAGTTACTGTTATGGTCACCTCGTTACTGTTACATACGGATTGGCTTTTTCACTCGCGGAATTGCATAGAATAGTGCATTGTACTACAGGACGCGTGGTACTCACACTGACTCCAGCAGTGAAGCCTGGAACAGCTTTTGCAAGAAGGGGGACGATGGCTTGCTTGATAAGATCCTCCGGGGTGTAGATTAGCGCATCCAGTGAAAGATCACCAACTGCAGCAGAAGCGAGAGGGTTTTGAAGGCAAACAAAAGCAGAAAATGGAAAGAGGGAACAGAAAAGGGAAAGCAATTTGTTGCTGAAAGAGTGAGAGCAGCAGCAGCGTGGAAGAATTTTGAGACAACTTAAAAATGGTCTCATCACACGACAGAGTGGTATCAAGCATATGAACCAACGGTACCTATTATTGAAAAAGAAATTTTATTTGCATTGCAAGGCATCAAAGTACTCACTCTTAAGTCCGGAGCACTTGTCGTAAACCACCTGTGCAAAGGCCGTGCAAACTTGAATGTAGGGTCCCGTGGGCGTGTCAATGAAATAATACCCAGAATCTGCAGGGAGGTAAAGCCAAATTAAAGTACATACCAATTGAAAATAGTGCTCCAATAAATGTACATTACGAAGGCAAAAGTCGCTCCTTCATGAATGCCTCGCATAACCAGGCACGATCCGGTATAGTAAAACGGGTAGGGCGATGCTCTAATATTTCGCGACAAGTGTGCGACATTACTAGTAAAATTTACAATCGCGACTCATTCGCGACAAGAAAAGCTCACCTGGGTTACACGTGACGGCGCACACGAGTTGCTCGACGAGCTGCTCGCACTCCTCGAGGCCCTGAAACAGTTTGCACACCTGCGCGCGGAGGGGGAAAAATACGCGATAAGAGGAGCAGACAAGCAAGGGTTGGATCGAAACCAGCCAGCAATGGAACGGTAGCCGGGAACGGGGAACGGGGGAGGGCAGTAGTGGGAGATGCGATGTACTACCAGCATTGTGGGAAGATATAAAAAAATGAATAATATTCAGGCTCCGAGGCTCGGAACGGTCTTCGAGAACTCTCCAAAAAAAGAAAAAGAAAAAAAAGAAAGCAATGCGTGGCATTTGCTGAAAAAGAAGTGTGAAGAGGAATCGCGTTGCGAATAGCACACACATTACGCGCAGACCATTCATGCCGCGAGCTGCATTTGCACCAATGCGAGTACCATTATCACCCATCCCAGCACCATTAGCACCCAAGCGAGTACCACCTACATCTGGCGAGACTTTCGACAGATCAAGAATTCCCTGTGACACCGTCTCCAAGGCAGCAGTAACATTAACCGCGAGCACTTGTATCGGGAACGTGAGATCCGAGCAGTCCTTGCAGCACGATAGCTGCTGCGCCTCGACGCAGCGCGAGTGCGGAATCGTCGGCTTCGTCGCGGGCTTCCCCGTGAGCGGGCACGCGGGGAGGGTCTTCGGCGGAGTTACCGGCGGAACGGGCGCGGGCGCTTTTGCGGCTGCGGAGGAAAGCTTCTCCGCGGGGGCTGCGGTAGGGTAGGTTGCTGCTGCGAAGGGCAGCAGCAGCAGGAGGAGGAGCGGGGCCATGCGCGCACGTTCCATGACAGGCGCGTCTCGAGGAGCCTCGCTATTCCCAATGCTGGCTGTCAGGCGGTAGAAGCCACTTACCAACCAGACAATGCGCCTCAAACTACCAAGACCACCAGGTTTCAATCAACAAATGAGTTTTGGTAGGGAACAGAGTCCAGGCTATGCCGCACTGCACCGCACAGAAATTCCTCAACAATCACGACGGCTGGCAACAGAATCTCCTTGAGGTGCTGAAGGTTCGGGTGTGAGGGGGATGAGTTTGGCTGATGAGAGCTTCGCACGGTTTCGCAGGTTCTTATCGTGGATCTACTCTGAGCTTGTTGATAGGGGAAACGAAGTGAGGCGATGACGCGGCTTTGTCGCGAGCGGGTCGTTTCCCCACCGACACAGTTCGGCGGCTGGCGAAAAAACTTGTCCGCAGGAAGCTGCGATTATGTCGGTTTGCTGCTGGTTCGGCGAACGGAGAACACGACTACGTGTACTCGTGCGATCAAAGAAGACCGCGTGTATCGCAAAGATGCAATAACACCTTGACATTTTCCTTATGTAACGGAATCAACGGTAATATTAGCAATAATAATAAGTCATAATGGACATGATATGTCATGCGAAGTGGAAGTGGTGCGTACTGGACATGATAAGTCATAATGGACATTCATATCATCAACATCAAACTAGCATAATTACTCTATGGAAAGACAACAGACACATAATCTTTACAAAGAAAAGCATCGCACAAGAGGAGAGGAACGGGAAAGAAAGACACCAGAAACAACTCAAACGCAACACCCATAAAAAGCCCCATAAAAATACTCTATAAAGAAAAAACCCAACCAGGATCCCCTACCAGACGTCCCATCTCGCACCCCATTCCCCCTCCCCCCCCCCCCCCCCCCCCTCCCCCCCAAGTCACATCTGCACATCCACCATGTAGGGGGCCTCCACCCAAAGAGGCCCGCCCTCCACCTCGACATCGTCCCTCTCCCGATCCACCAAGTCCACATTCAACCCCCCCATGGAAGACGCCGCCCGAAGCAGGATGACACGAGCTTGCGCCCGTTGTAACGCCACTCCGATGAGCGCCTTCAGAGACCCCAAAAGGTAAGCCGAGAACGAAGTGTCATCCTCCCGACAAGCCCCCCGTGACACAGCTAGCCCCACGTGCGCGTCCCCCTGCTGTCGAAGCCACCGCCGGAAGCGACCGCCGAGACACCCCCACGTCTCCACTATCAAAGGGGTGAACTGCACGCCTCGGTTCCGTGCAAGAAGAGGCGCGTAATCCCCCGTTTTGCGACGCTCCCACTCCTTTGCCGCCACGCCTATAGACCGCCCGCACTGCCCTAGCAGAGATGGAGACAGTGATAGCGGGTCCGCGACACTAATCTCTAAAGCATGAGCCTCCCCAGCCATTGGTCGTCGCACCGCTACGTCAACCCGCTTCCCCGGCAGCACCGCACTATCCTCCATCGTCACCACCCCCCCTGACGCCTTAGCGATCTTTGCCACCGCAAACTTCACCTCATCATGCACCCGAGATGGACCGTGTTGGTGCTTGCATCTCAGCGCATGATGCGGGTCTGCTGGGTCATCATACGCTGCGCCACAAACACACTTCCCCGCCACTTGCAGCTGCTGGATTGGGAGACCAAGCCGTATAGCAGCAGCAATGCCCCACTCCGCTGCAGTGAATGTGAGATCTGAATGAGCCGGAACTGCCGAAACCCATGCACCAGCCCCCGGGCCCTGAAGGGATGTGAAACGGGCTAGGGTGGCATCGTCACGAGCCAAGCGGCGGAGTGCCTGGAGCTCCTCAACAGCCAACTGCCGCTGCCGCGCCTGGAAAAGCCGAAGAGGAGGGGCCGCCACACACAGGGGTAAGTCCGGCAGCTCCTGGCGTATAGTCGCGGGCAACTGCTCAATGGCGATGGCAAACCACGGGTCAAGAAGCTCCGCCCCCGCCGAAGTGGTGAGGTACTCTGCGAACATCGCCTCCTCGCCCGCCACCCCCAAATGTGCAATATCCCGTGCGGCCTGCGCCCACCCACAAACATAGGAGAGCGGACTCAAAGAGGCCGCCGCCCGGATCCCAAACCCTCCGAGGCGCACAGGGAGATGCAGCTGCATGCGTGCGCGCCTAGACCTGCCGGGATCCTGCTCCCAAGTGCCAGGGGGGAAAAGCTGCTCAAAGCAATCCTCCAGACAGCTGTCCCACTCTCTAAAGGCCTCCACCACCTCCGGCCGCGGCGGCATAGTCCGGGCCAGGTACATCGGCCGTGCTGAAACTGCAATAGCGAGGAGATGCGAGGCCATCTGGGGGTGGTCGACATAATGGACATGATATGTCAATGTCATTTATATTCCATTCAATCCCGTAGTACTGGAATTCGTGCTGTTTTGATGTGCAGAAACGACTGCAGATAATGTTAAGCTGCTCAGTACACTTTACCATGGAAGTCTATGTTTACCCTCAAAGCGTGATTGATTGAGAAAAAGGCAAAAAGAGGGACCACGTGAAGGCTTTCCTATTGGCAGATATTACAGCCACGTGGAGATACCAATCCTGTTTCTCAAGCAAGCAGAGCAGCAGGCCAGTCGCACCCTCTTTCGCGACTTCCGGACTTCTTTCTCGGTTTGCTGATTGCACAGTACGGTTCAGTAGGCATTCATATGTTATAATACGGTTAAAATGGATAAATGTGCTCCGTTCCTTTGAAGTTGATGCCATTCTATCATCCATGTTTCCTATCGGCTCGGCGCTGGTGCTTGAAATCATCATTGTCTTCTGCCTGCCTTCACCAGAACCTACGCGTTCTAGGCATTCGATGTATTCTCATTTCAGCTCTTCATATACCGCATCGCTCGTTCAATCCCTGTTCCGTGGCTGACTGAGCTCCCTGAATCCACGCCGTTAGATCAGCTGCGCAGCTCATGCGTTGACCTTTTCAAGCGTTCATGCCTCTGCTCGCCGCTTTTCCGATTCCCTCTAGTCCACCGTCGCTGCAAAACCTCCAGCATTTCCCGCCTCTTCCGAGCTGGACAGCAGCATCAGTGTCCACGTGTCACTCGAATTCCACGTCACTCCCGCAGTTCACGGCTCAAAATCCAGTGCAAAGTCAAATCTTTACTGGTACTAGCTCCGACATTCCGAATTCCCCTGCGTCTGGTCGTCTCATTCCGTCAGCTACATCCTCCACTCCGTCTCGTCGCGTGCTTTCTCTGCGACTCGGACTCACCCCATTGTCACCAATCGTCGCTACAGTCACCCTCCCTGATATTACGTTCACCGGTGCTCCTCTCCTCATCCACGTCTCCTCGCCTCTCGCCTCCTCCGCCTCCGTTTTTCCCCCACTTCTCTCTTCAGATCCTTCTTCTCAGTCTCCGTTTCCGTCACCGTCTCCGTCTCCGTCTCAATCGGAAGCGTACTTCAACAGTAGTCCAACATACGCATCGGTCCTCGCGATTCCTGCGCCTAGGCGGAACTTGAAGCGCGGCGGGAGACCGACAAAGCTTGGTCAGTCCAAGGCGTCCGATCAGTCGCGTCACTGGCGCTTATCCCGCTCCGACCCGCGCCTCACGCCGCGCAGTTCAGCCATAGCGAAGAAGCGTATAACGAGTACAAAAGCGGTTTACAGGACTGCGCTAAACGAGCTGGTCTTCCCACAGCCTGCCGTCGCCTCTGCCAGTGCCTCAAGGAGGTTCCGCGGAACAAGCAGCCGTTCCGTCGGGAGCAGTTCCTTTTCGGAAACAGGAGGTCGGAGTTCGAACCTTGCAGTCGGCGGTTGGAACTGCCTAGTCGGGTCTGGCCGCGGCAAGAGGGTGGCATTGCTTGTCGTTTCCGACTTCTGAGTGGAATCAGATCTCAGAGAGGCGGCTCAGGCTGCCCAACAGTAGCAGGTAGGTGGGAGCCTCTTGCACCTTCCTGGCATTTTCCCACTCTTTACCTCTCCTAGACACCTTCAGTGTTCGTCCTCCTCTGTTCTTCTCCTCTGCTCTTCGATCTTTCCTCCGTCTTTATTCCTCACCTCTGCACTTTGCTACCCACTCCTTTACTCCGCGTCGCTGCACTCTACCTTTTCTTTCTTCCGCCCCTATTTCCTCCCCCCCCCCCCCACCCCCCCCATATTTTTTCCCTTGAAGCAGAGGCTGAACGTGCGCGAGGGGGACAAGCTGCGCCTGCATGTAGCAGGCGCGCTCACAGCCTTTGACGTACTCTTCCATTCTCTCCGCCAATCCCCCCCAACCCCCCATCACCAGCCATGAGGCTGAGTGTGCGCGAGGGGGACAAGCTGCGCCTGCATGCAGCAGGCGCGCGCACAGACGTATCCTCCCCTTCTCTCCCTCACCAGCACCTTCCCCCCTCTTCCCTCTTCCTCTCCCCCTTACAGCCATGAGGCTGAGCGTGCGCGAGGGGGACAAGCTGCGCCTGCATGCAGCAGGCGCGCTGGCGCAGAAGCGCCTGGCGCGCGGATTGAAGCTCAACTACCCCGAGGCGGTGGCTTTAATCGCCACGCAGGTGCTGGAGTTTATCCGAGATGGCAGGAGCGTTGCAGAGCTCATGGACCTCGGCAAGCAGCTTCTGGGAAGGTTCGTTTTCCTCCTGGTGTTGTGGGGGGGGAGATGGGGGAGGGGTGGGGGGATGCAGGGGCACACGGCGTGATGAGGGTTTGCATCGATGTTTGCCGGTGGGGGGATGCATGAACATTCACCGAATCATCAGCCCAAACCCCCCTGGTTCCCCCTCCCCCTCTTCTCCCCCACCAGGCGCAACGTGCTGCCAGCAGTGCCAGTGCTTCTCGACGTGGCAAGCTCCAACAGGAAGGAAATTTTAGAGTCGAATCATATGCCCCCTCCTTGCCCTGTTTCCTACCCCCGCCATCCGTCCCCTGTCTGCCCCTTCTCTGCTCCCGCCCATCCCCTCTTCCCCCCTCCCCCCACCAGGCGCAACGTGCTGCCAGCGGTGCCAGTGCTGCTGGACGTGGTGCAGGTGGAGGGAACCTTCGCGGATGGCACCAAGCTGGTGACGGTGCACCACCCCATCAGCCGTGAGGACGGTGATCTCTCCCTCGCTCTCCATGGTTCCTTCCTGCCAGGTCAGTGCTTGTCATGGCTCTATGGAGATGGGCATTGGGCATGGGGATGGGGAATGAGCATGGCACCAAGCTGGTGACGGTGCACCACCCCATCAGCCGTGAGGACGGTGATCTCTCCCTCGCTCTCCATGGTTCCTTCCTGCCAGGTCAGTGCTTGTCATGGCTCTATGGAGATGGGCATTGGGCATGGGGATGGGGAATGAGCATGGCACCAAGCTGGTGACGGTGCATCACCCCATCAGCCGCGAGGACGGAGACCTCTTCCTCGCCCCAGTCCCACCAGTCCCCTTGCCTGATCCCTTTGCCGCGCCTGCCACCACCACGCCTTTCAGTGGCTCTGCTGCACCATAGCGGACCACAGCGGCTTCGCATCAAATTATTCCAGGCGTAACAGCATGATATTCCCCTCCTCCTCTCCCCTGCCTGTCCCACCAGTCCCCTTGCCTGACCTCTTCGCCACGCCAGTCACCACCATTGCTCTCAGTGGCTCTGCTGCACCGGGGCAGATCATAGTGGCAGAGTCAGGCCCGCTGCTGCTCAACGCTGGCAGGGCGGCCGTGCGGCTCAGCGTCAGCAGCCGCTGCGACAGGCCCATTCAGGTGAGGGAGTTGGGCTTGGGGCATCGTATTATTTTCACATCATATCATACCATATCATATCATATCATGTCATATCATCTCTCCTCCTTGATCCCATCTTCATAACCGATAAGTTCCAACTTTCAAGTCTCAACTTTCAACTCTCAACCCTAAATCCCTCATTTGCAGGTGGGCAGCCACTACCACTTCGTGGAGACAAATCCGCTGCTCTTCTTCGATCGCCAGCTGGCGTATGGTTACCACCTCAACATCCTCCCCGGCACTGCCGTGCGCTTCGAGGTGAGTGAATCACCTCATACGGAACGCCTGGTGCTCCTTTCTATTGGTTTTTTCTCCATTCTGCCGCTCCTCCTCCACTGCCAGCTGGCGTATGGTTACCACGTCAACATCCTCCCCGGCAATGCCATGCGCTTTGAGGTGAGTCACCTCATAGGGAACAGAACACCCATGTGAATGCGTGGCGCTCCTCCTTACTATCATGTTCTTTTGATGCATTGCTCCTCTTTGACCACCAGCTGGCGTATGTACGGTTACCACCTCAACATCCTCCCTGGCACTGCTGTGTGTTTCGAGGCGAGTGAGTCACCTTCTAGGGAACAGAACACCCATGTGAATGCGTGGCGCTCCTCCTTCCGAGGTGATCTCACACCCTCCCTCCCGCCTTTCCTCTCCATCCCTCCTTCTCCGCCTCTCTCTATGGAGTCTGGTAAAACCAAGTCGACCCAACCTCCGCCCTCTCCAATCTTCCCTCCATCTCCGTGTCTCCTTTTCCCTCCCTCCTGTTGACAGCCTGGCGAGACAAAGCAGGTGGTGCTGGTGGTGATGGGGGGCAGAAGGGTGATACGAGGTGGCAACGGGATAGCGAGTGGAGCAGTGGACGAGAGCAGGACGGCTGAGGTGGCTGCTAAGGCTGTGGCCATGGGCTTCGGACATGTGCCAGAACCCAACGCACTGTGAGTCCGTTACTGGTGCGCCGCTGCAGTACGGCTTATGGCATAGCTGCTACGGCTGTGGTGCGACAATGGGATTCGGATTTTGCCTGAACTTATTGCACTGTGAAAGGGAGAGGGAGTGGTGTGCAGACGTGTTTGGCTCCACAGTAGGGGACAGAGCGTGACAGCAAGTCGTAATTCCTCACTCCCCCTCCACCCTCCTCCCTCCCTCCTCTTCCCAGCAAGGGTATCGTGGGGACGGACGAGGCCCTGACTGTGCGAGTGGAGCGAGAGCGGTACGCAGATGTGTTTGGCCCCACGGTGGGGGACAGAGTGCGGCTGGGAGACACGGGGTTGATTCTGGCCCCACAGGGGTCTCGGCTCGTCACCCTCTCCCCTACCCACTTCCCTCTCTCCCTCCTTCATCCATGCAGCAAGGGTGTTGTGGGGACTGACGAGGCCCTGACTGTGCGAGTGGAGAGGGAGCGGTATGCAGATGTGTTTGGCCCTACAGTGGGCGACAGAGTGCGGCTGGGAGACACAGCGCTGGTGGTGGAGGTGGAGAGGGATTTTACGGTGCTGGGAGATGAGTGCAAGTTCGGAGGGGGGAAGGTGCTGCGCGAAGGCATGGGGCAGGTGAGACCTGGGGTCGGGTAGGAGAGGGGGTGTGCGTGGGTCCCTGGCAGGGCTTGAGGCGAGCAAGAGAGCGGTATGTGGGTGTGTTTGGCCCCACCCCACGGAGGGGGATAGAGAGAGGGTGGGAGACACGGCGCTGGTGGTGGAGGTGGAGAGGGAGTTCACAGTGCTGGGCGATGAATGCAAGTTCGGAGGGGGGAAGGTGCTCAGAGAAGGCATGGGGCAGGTGAGAGAGACCTGGGGGCAGGGTAGGGGGGAAGATATCAAATACCTGACCCAGATCTCAACTACCCCAGCCCCCAGGTCTCAGGCTGGGAGGCCTGAAATTTGGCCTGAGCACGGGGTGGGTGACACTTGTCATACTGTCAAGCTCTGCACCTTTCCTTGCTTTTACCACATGTCCTTGCTCTTTGATGCATTTTCTGCGCCCCGCTCTTGCCTCTCCCTTCACCTATCCTACTCCCTTCACCCCTCCTCTCCCCTCCACGTTTTCTCCATATCCTTGTCTTCTCCTTGCTTCCAGGCGACTGGGGTGAAGGCAGAGGACGCCCTGGACGTGATAATAACGAATGCGCTTATAGTGGACCACTGGGGCATAGTGAAGGCTGACGTGGGCATCAAAGGCACGCGCATCTCTGGCATTGGGAAGGGAGGCAACCCTGATGTGATGGATGGGGTGGACGAGAACATGGTGGTGGGGGTGAGTACACTGGTGTAAAGGCTGCATGTGGAGGGCATTGTGGGCATCAAGGACACCGGCAAGGGTAACAACCCTGATGTGATGGAGGGTGTGGATGAGAACATGGTGGTGGGGGCGAGTGTAACTTGTGAAGGGTGGTGTGGGCTGTATGTGCATCAAGGGCACTCGCATCGCTGGCATTGGCAAGGGTGGCAACCCGGATGTGATGGATGGGGTGGATGAAGATATGGAGGTGGGGGTGAGTGTATTGGCGTACAAGACACACATGTCATGAATGGGTCGCTGGTACTTGCATTGTGGCTATTGCTGGCATTGGCAAGGGTGGCAACCCGGATGTGATGGATGGGGTGGATGAGAACATGGTGGTGGGGTTGAGTATACTGGCATGCAAGCCGGATATCATGGGAGCCGGAATTTAGGAACATTCTCAACACGTGATTCCAACTTTAAAACGTTCTCAACCCAAAGCTGTCAACTTCTTACTTCTGCCCCTTCCTCGTTCCTCATGCAGGTGACAACAGAGGTGATAGCAGGCGAAGGGCTGACATTGAAAGCAGGGGGGGGATTTTCTGAGTCAGCTTCACGAATCTCCACAGCAAAACCAAGCACCACCTCCTTTTCCTCCCTGCCCTTGTGCCTTTAATCGTGCCCCGTGCAGGTGACGACCGAGGTGATCGCAGGCGAGGGGCTGATTCTCACTGCAGGAGGCATTGACACGCACGTGCACTTCATCTGTCCCCAGCTAGCGGACGAGGCAATCTGCAGCGGTGAGTGGTGAATGGTGTGCTGAGGGTGCATGGTGAATCAGCTGGGGTGAGTGGTGGGGGTCAGGGCATCGACACCCACGTGCATTTCATCTGTCCCCAACTGGCGGACCATTTACAGCGGTGAGTGATGGGTTGTGGGTGATGGGTGGGTGGTGAGTGATGAGAGGTGGGTGGCGTGGTGGAGAGCAACTGCAGGCCGTGTGAAGTGCATACGAGGGCAGTTGCTCTCATACCAGTGTAGCTGCGCCGTCAATTCCAATCCAAAGTGCGCTTCGTTGGCCCGCAGTGGGCGGGTGATGCCGTTTGCAGTGGTGAGTGGTGGGTGATGCATGCATGCATGGTGATTCAGCAACACACAGCACTCCACATGCATACTGTTGTTCACTCATGTTGCTGCCACAACCACCATCAACCATGCCGTTCTCTCCCCATCTGTTGTTTCCAAATTCCGTGCATGCGCGCAGGTCTGACCACACTGGTGGGAGGCGGCACAGGCCCGGCACATGGCACTCTAGCCACCACGTGCGCGCCATCACCTGATGCTATGGCGCTCATGCTGCACTGCTGCCACTGCCGCCATCCATGCCTTCCGCTCCCCAACATCAACCTGTTTCCATTTTATCCCCATGCGCACAGGTCTGACCACACTGGTGGGAGGCGGCACAGGCCCGGCACACGGCACGCTGGCCACCACGTGCACGCCATCCCCCGATGCCATGGCTCTCATGCTGCAGGCCATGCTTCCCTTTCTTTTCCCCTGTGCTGATCTCTCCCCACCTGTGCATGCGCGCAGGTCTGACCACACTGGTGGGGGGAGGCACAGGGCCAACACATGGCACTCTGGCCACCACATGCACGCCATCACCCGACGCCATGGCGCTCATGCTGCTGTGCTGTCACAACCACCATCGATTATGAATCTCCCTCCCCATATTTTCCTTTGCTTCCATGTTCTGTACATGCAGGTCTGACCACGCTAGTAGGAGGAGGCACGGGGCCAGCACATGGCACTCTTGCCACCACATGCACGCCATCCCCCGATGCCATGGCTCTCATGCTGCAAGCTACGGACAACATGCCTCTCAACTTTGGGTTCACTGGGAAGGTGGGTGTATGAGTATGTGTGCCTGTGAGTGCGGGGTGTGCGTGGTGTGTGTGAGTGTGTGAATCAAGGATTCAAACTTCAAGTCACTGCCCGATGCCATGTCTCTATCATCCCCTCCAGGGCAACACGTCCAGTCCTGAGGGCCTGGTAGACATCATTAAAGCCGGTGCTATCGGGCTGAAACTGCACGAGGACTGGGGCACCACCCCTGCTGCCATTGACACGTGCCTGGGCGTGGCAGAGCAGCATGATGTGTGTGTGTGTCTGTCTGATGCCAACTCCCACCTCTATCGCCCCACTCTCCTCAGGGCAACACGTCTAGCCCTGAGGGCCTGGTAGACGTTATTAAAGCTGGGGCCATTGGGTTGAAGCTGCACGAGGACTGGGGCACCACCCCTGCAGTACACATGTATCAATCCGCCTCCTCTCTCTACCACTCTCTCCAGGGCAACACATCTAGTCCCGAGGGTCTGATAGACATCATAAAAGCGGGAGCAATCGGGCTGAAACTCCACGAGGACTGGGGCACCACGCCTGCGGCCATTGACACGTGCCTGGGCGTGGCGGAGGAGCATGATGTGCAGGTGACGATTCACACGGACACTCTCAACGAGTCGGCGTGTGTGGAGCAGACCATTGCTGCCTTCAAGAACCGCACCATCCACACCTACCACAGGTGAAGAGTGAGGAGGGAAGGGGGTGGGGGAAGAGAAGAGAGGGGGGGAGTGGGCCTGGTTTGGAGGGAGGGAGGGGTTGCTTGTGTGGAGCAGACCATCGCTGCCTTCAAGAACCGCACCATCCACACCTACCACAGGTGAAGAGTGAGGGGGGGTGGGGGTGCTGCTTCCATGCGCTCCCTCACTTCAATACGCTGTCCTCTGTATCTTCTCTCCCTTTGAGCTGCCTTCACCTTGCAGTGAGGGAGCGGGGGGTGGGCATTCGCCGGACATCATCAGCATCTGCGGGGAGAGCAACGTGTGTAGCTTACCTCCCTCCTCCTCCTCCTCCTCCTACCTTCCTTCCCTCAACCTTCTTCCCTCCCATTTTGCTGCGTTTGCCCATCCACTGCAGTGAGGGAGCAGGGGGCGGGCATGCGCCGGACATCATCAGCATCTGTGGGGAGAGCAACGTGCTGCCCTCCTCCACCAACCCCACTCGCCCCTTCACCACCAACACCATCGACGAACACCTCGATATGCTGGTGGGTGCCTTGTCTTTTATCGAGGATATACTGTAGTACCTCAGGATTACCTGCCTTTCTTCACCAATCCCGCTCGCCCCTTCACCACCAGCACCATTGACGAACACCTCGATATGCTGTCATCTCACCTTTCCCCCCATTCTCCTTCTCCGTCTCCCCCCCGGATGGTGTGTCATCATCTCGACAGCAACAACAGGGAGGATGTTGCCTTTGCCGAGTCGCGCATTCGAGCCGAGACCATCGCAGCAGAGGATATACTGCACGACATGGGGGGCATCAGCATCATGTCATCCGACTGTCCCACCTTATTCCTTATCATTCTCCCCCCGTCTTTCTGCCCTAAGTTTGCCCCTGCTTCTTCCCCTGCTCTCCCCTTTTTCCCTCTGCTTTCTCCCTCCCCCCCAGATGGTGTGTCACCACCTGGACAGCAACAACAGGGAGGACGTGGCATTCGCCGAATCCCGCATTCGGGCCGAAACAATTGAAGCAGAGGACATACTGCATGACATGGGGGCTATTAGCATGATGTCATCTGATTCCCAAGCCATGGGGCGGATAGGCGAGGTCATCACCCGCACCTGGCAAACCGCACTCTCCCCTGCTTCCCCTTCTCCTCCCCCCCGTCCTCCCCAGATGGTGTGTCACCACCTGGACAGCAACAACAGGGAGGACGTGGCATTTGCCGAGTCCCGAATCCGAGCCGAAACCATCGCAGCAGAGGACATACTGCATGACATGGGGGCAATCAGCATGATGTCATCCGATTCCCAAGCCATGGGTCGCATAGGGGAGGTCATCACACGCACCTGGCAGACCGCACACAAGATGAAAGTGCAGCGGGGCCCTCTTACCGAGGATAAAGGTTCTGATGGGTTTGGGTTTGGCACCGCTCCGAATGATAACTTCCGGGTGAAGCGATATGTGGCGAAGTATACGATTAATCCCGCGATCGCGCACGGGTTTTCGCACGTGGTGGGGTCGGTGGAGGTGGGGAAGATGGCGGATGTGGTGCTGTGGCGGCCGGCGTTCTTTGGAGCGAAGCCGGAGATTGTCGTGAAGGGCGGCGCGATCGCGTGGGCTCAGATGGGTGATGCCAATGCCAGCATCCCCACTCCAGAGCCAGTGAGTTGTAGCAGCAGATGGTCGATACAAAGTGCAGCACTCAGTATTGTGTTCCAGAACGTCTCACAACATGGATTCGACCTTGGATACAGCACTCATTATCGCTTTCCGTTCAATTCAGCATCCACCTCCCCTCAGCACCCATTACGTTGATTCGCAATCATGTTTTTCCCCCACGTCCCACCTCCCTCCCCCAGGTCATCATGCGGCCACAGTTTGCAGCGAGCGGCAAGGCAGATATTGAGTCAGCGCAAGAGTTACCCCAAGTTACAATCGCGCTCTCCCCTCCCCACTTCCCATCCTACCTGCCCCACGTCCCACCTCCCTCCCCCAGGTCATCATGCGACCACAGTTTGCAGCGAGCGGCAAGGCAGTGGGGGGACGCTGCATGGCTTTCATCAGCCAGGTGAGCTGTTCGGGTGTGACTCTAACAGGCGGTGGTGAGGGTGTGCTTACAGCAGGTGGGAAGGGTGATGGTTATGGTGATGCTGGTAAGTGATATGCAGGGTTACCTTATTCGCACATTCATTCTCTTCCCACTCCTCTCCATCCCACCTCACGTCCTCCTCCTTCTCCTCCCTCCCTCTTCCCATCTCCCATCTCCCCCTCTCCCCACCAACCCACCCGCACCAGCTATGCCACGAGTCAGGGGCAGCAGCCAATCTCGGTCTCACCAAGGCCCTCACTCCCGTGTACAACTGTCGCAACCTCTGCAAGGAGGACATGATCCACAACAGCGCCCTCTCCTTCCCTCCCCATTCCCCCTCTCCACCTCCCCTCTCCCCACCCACCACAGCTATGCCACGAGTCAGGGACAGCAGCGAATCTAGGTCTAACCAAGACTCTCACTCCCGTGTACAACTGTCGCAACCTCTGCAAGGAGGATTTGATCCACAACGGCGCCCTCCCATTCCCCCCCTCCCCATTCCTCCTCTTTGTTATCCCTCTCCATTTCCCCCCCCCTCTCCCCTCCACACCAGCTGTGCCACGAGTCAGGCTCGGCAGCCAATCTGGGTCTCACCAAGACCCTCACTCCCGTCTACAACTGTCGCAACCTCTGCAAGGAGGATATGATCCATAACGGAGCCCTCCCAGCCATCCACGTGGACCCTGAGACCTACCAGGTCACCGCTGACGGGGCGCCGCTGACGTGTCAGCCAGCTGGCGAGCTGCCACTGGCCCAGAGCTACTTCCTGTTCTAAGAGGGTAGGGGGTGGGGCCGGGGGTGGGAAGGGGGAAGAGATAGAGGATTAAGACAGGGTAGTAGAGATAGTGGTATGGGGATATATGCAGAAGTTATCAGATACTGAAACACTGAGGGTCAGGTAGCAAGAAAGCAGGAGGGTAGCTGCTGTTGGTGAGTACTTCACCTTTGTCTCGCTTTGTAGGACAAGGGAGGGGAAATTGGGAAAGGGAAGTTATTAGATCGATCCTCAAGAGCAGTATGCGAAAGGCCAAGAGCAGCTGGAGACGCAGCGGAGAAGGGGGGGCATCACACGCAAGCGTCGTTATTGGGTGAGGTAGCCAAGGAGCTAAGTCAGGGAACGAGCAGCACGGAGCGCCAAGGGAAAGAGGACAAGGGGGAGCATCGCCAGGCCCTTCCCCCCCTGCCATCTGAGTGGGCGGTGTGGCAGCTGCTGGACTTGCTGCTGCCTGCCGGTGGCTTTGCTCACTCGCTAAAAAAACACCAGTGAGTAGTAGAGTGTTTCGTCACAGAAGGGCAGCATGGCGGGTCAAGAGCAGCTGGGCAAGGGAGCAGCAGCCTCGTCCCCTCCGCCTCTCCCACCCGACTGGGCGGTGTGGCAGCTGCTGGACTCGCTGCTGCCTGCTGGTGGCTTCGCACACTCGCTGGGGCTGGAGGCAGCAGCGCGAGCAGGCTTTCTTGCTGCTGGGGGCAGAGGGGGAGGTGCACCAGTTGGCGCGGGGCGAGGGGCAGGTGGAGGGGCAGGTGGAGGAGTAGGTGGCGGGGCAGGTGGTGGAAGGAGTGACATGGTGGCGTCGCTGCGGGTGTTTGTGCTCTCGGCCGTGCATGCCAACGCTGCTCTGCTGCTGCCCTTTGTTGCCACGGCTCATGGGATCGCTAGTGCTAGCATGAATGCTTCGGATAGTGGGAATGCTGCAGCAGCTGCAGTGGCAGTGTCAGCAGGAATTGCATCGGCAGGAGCTGGCAGCAGGGACACACCAGCGGAAGGTGCATCAGCAGTAGCTGCACCTGCAGGCATATCAGTGGCAGCAGCTGCAATGACAGAATCAGCAGGAGTTGCACCAGTGGGCATAGCAGAGGCTGGGACAACGGCAGCAGGATTAGGAGACGGCTTTTTTTCTTTTGAAGAGCCAGTTCTTCAGCCAATAGTGGAGCGACACGTGGCACGCGGCGCGTTCGGCGACGCCCTGGCAGCGGCCGACAGCTGTCTGAACGCCATGCTGGCGAATGACGTGGCACGCAAGGTATGGGGGGAGTGGTGGGGTGCTTATGGGGGAAACATGGTGTGACGCGGCACACAAGGTATGGGGAAAGGTTATGACAGGCGAGTCCCATCCCCCGGGATCTCCCTCTGACATGGCCCTGCAGCTCCTCTCTCATGCAAGTCGCCTCCCCTCTATTTTCCGAGGCCTCTCCCTTGCTCCCATCCCATGCCCCCCATCTTCCCACTCCCCCCATGCCCCCATCCCATGCTCCTGTGTCCCACCATATTTTCCCATCACCCCCCCAGGTCTTTCTCTCTCAGGGCTCGGCCGTTAATCCCTGATTCGAGTTGCCTCCACTGCGTTCCTTCAGCTCCTCTCCCTTGCTCCCACCTCATGCCCCCATGCTCCCATGCCCCCATGCTCCCATCCATCACCCCGTTGCACCCATTGTCCCCGTGCTCCACCGCCCCAGGTCTCCCTCTCTCAGGGCGCAGCCTTGCTTCGAGTCGCCTCCACAGTCTTCCCTGAGGCCTCTCCCTTGCTCTCAACCTATCGCACGAGGACACGTCAGCAGGGTCAACCCAGTCAACCCAGTCAACCGAGTCAATCAAGTCAACCGAGTCAACCCAGTCAACTATGTCAAATCCCATCACCTCCTCGTGCATACGGCCACCACGCGGTGATCTTCGGGGCTCTCTGCGGGTGTCTCTCCATCCCGCTGCCCTCCGCTCTCCGAGGCCTCGTCTACTGCGCTCTCAGGGACTGCCTGTCTGCCCATTCCATTGCCCCATGCCCCCCTGCTCCCCTGCTCCCATGCCCCACCACCCCAGGTCTCCCTCTCTCAGGGCTCGGCCCTGCTTCGGGTCGCCTCCACTGTCTTCCCAGAGGCCTCGCCCTTGCTCCCCACCTATCGCACGAGGACACGTCAGCAGGGTCAACCGAGTCGACCAAGTCAACCCACATCATCTCCTCGTGCATACGGCCACCACGCGGTGATCTTCGGTGCTCTCTGCGGGTGTCTCTCCATCCCCCTGCCCTCCGCCCTGCGAGGCCTCGTCTACTGCGCCCTCAGGGACTGCCTCTCTGCTGCCACGCGGCTCAACCTGATTGGCCCGCTGCAGGCTGCGGGCATGCAGAGGGAGATGGTGAGGGATGCTGAGAGGATAGTGGCGGAGGTGGGAGGAGGGGATGGGGGCGGAGGGGATGGGGGTCAAAGATATGGGAGCGGAGGGGGTGGTGGTGGGGATGTGGGAGGACCAAGCGTTCTACCCATGCCGCTATGCATGGACGCGGCATGTCAGGTGGGTCCCATGGTGGAGATCATACAGGCGGGGCATGCAGCACTCACCAGCAGACTCTTCCTCTCTTGACCAGCTTTGACTTGAGCTGACCAGCGTTGACCCACGATGACCTCGTTGTTTGAGAATGCCCTTAATCAAATATCCCCGTGTTTGATCCGAAGTTAAGGGTGTGGGAGTAGGGGGAGATGGAGGAGGAAGCAGCTCAGGAGCAGGAGGTGAGGAAGAGAGAGACACAAGGAGTTGGAAGAGGAATTGGGAGAGAAACAGAGATCGAATCAGAAAGGCACGGACAGAGAGAAGCAGGAGGAGATGCAGGGGTAGAAGCAGAGAGACGAGGAGGAGTGTATGAAAGTTGCTCTTCGCATGCTAGTGTGCAGCCAAGCGTGCACGTGGGTGGGACAGAAGCACCGGCTGGAGCAGCATCAACAGCACCTTCAGTGACAGTAGCTGCTACTGTGGGTGTGCGGGCGGGCGGCATGGATTGGACTGGAGTGCTGGTGGTGGAGCTGGTGGGCGGCCGCAGCACAGCAACAAGGAGCTTCTGTCGCTACCCGCTCAAGATTATGCTTCCCTCCAAGGTGCGTGGAGGCATGGCTGCCCAGGTGTTGGTGAGCGAAACATTGGCTGTGAACTTGTATGGCTCCGTGCAGCGCAGCACAGCAACAAGAAGCTTTTGTCGCTACCCACTCAAAAGCATGGTGCCCTCCAAGGTGCGTAACGCCATGTCTCCATGTGTACTCATGAGCAGAGCAATGTGCTTGGTGCCTTGTGCAATGTGCGCATCAGTGGCAGGAGAAGCATCAAGTATGTGTGCCCGTTTTTGTTTCTTTCTGTCTCCCTTCCTTCCTTCTTCATTCCTCCCTCACCCTCCTTCTTCCCTCATCTCCCGCCTTCCAGGTCGCGGCCTCAGGGGTGGATGCAGTGTGGGCATACATGATCACCTATGGTGGGGGCATAGTAGCAGGCGACAAGGTGACGCTCTCCTGTGCGGTGCAGTGCGGTGCCACGGCCGTGTTTGCCTCCCAGGCATCCACCAAGATTTTCCACTCTATGCCAGGCGAGTGCGTTCTGCTGTCACTTAATATTTGTCCACTCCCATTGGAGATTCAGTGAGAGGTGCCAGATTCTTTCTCTCTCCTTCTATCTCATCCTTCTGCCGCCCCTCGCTCCTTTATCCCTCCTTCCCCCTCCTTCCCCCTTTCCTGCTCTATCACTTTCCCTCTCCTGCTATGTATGACTTTCCCTCTCGCTCTCTCTCAGGCACCCCACCAGCCCGCCAGCTCATCACTGCTATCATCCAGCCTGGCGCCTTGCTGGCGGTGCTCCCCGAGCCAATCACGTGCTTCCGCGCGTCGCAGTACCAGCAGCTGCAGAGCATCCACGTGGTGCCAGGTGGCAGCCTCGTATTGGTCGACTGGCTGACGAGCGGGCGGCGGGACCGAGGGGAGGTCTGGGAGATGGAGTGTTACGAGAGTTGTAACCGCGTCTACCGGGAAGGAGAGGAGATCCCTCTAGTCTTCGACAAGGTTAGTCTCATTTCATGCTCTCAATGCATGCACTGTTCAAGAAAATTGGTCGCTGGTGTTTTTAAACTGTTGTTTCGAAGCTAATTTTATGAAGAAATCTAAGTTGGCAAATTGGTGCTGCACGTGACCTAATCTGCTTGTTTTATGTCAGACGTCCAATTGCAATGCTGCAGGTGAAGCTGTCAGCCAATGCGGTGGTGCCACCTGGACAGCAGCTGGAGGGCATCCACGTGCTCACCACCATCATTATCCTGGGGTGAGTGTTGAGTCACCCTCGATATGACGGGCTGTTACCATATTCGTCTCATCGCTGCAGATTGAGTGTGCCGCTTGCTCCTTTCACTTGTCTCATCTCCCACCACCCATACCTTCTTCCCCTCCCACCTCTCTCTCTCCCCCTAAGCCAGTCCACGGACAGAGGCGGTAAGGGCCCACTTAAGAGCAGCAGTGGCCCAGGCAGCAGCTGCAGCATTCAACCCAAGGAGGAGCAGCAGAGGCTATTCCTCCTCTGCTTCGCCTGCCCGATCTGTCACCTCTGCTTCCCCGTCCGTTGAAACTGTGTCGGGGTTAGCTGGTGCTGTGGAGAGCACAGTGTGGGGTTGTTCGTCTGACATGGGACATGTGAGTAACCATGTTGGTGCTTGTTACGGTGCAATGCGTTGCTGTTTCCTGGTTCATTATGCTGCATGTTCGTGCATTCATTATCCTGTTAGTAGCTGTGTGAGTATTTATTTTTCCTGACCGTATACAGAACCAATTCCTTTTGTCCAACTTCCATGTTCCTCTGCTTTGCAGGATGATTTGCTCGTCGTGCGCCTAGCCGCTGGAGACGCAAGTGCCATGTACCATTTTCTTGCAACCAACCTACAGCCACTGATCCCACAGATTGGTTGCAATCCTTACAAAGACTGAGCAGGTTGGTCACGAACTTTCAAAATCATTAGTGAGAAATCCTTAAAATGTCATGTTGCAAACGTCATTTACATTGGGCTGGTACGAGCTCCATTATGGCAGTATAGAATTACACGAGGTGTACATTCTGATATTGATGCAGGACAACGGAGACGAGAGTCCTATTCGCTTTCCGCAATTGATGCGATCGTGCGACCAGGTTGGCAGCAGTCATTCACTATCGCAAGTGACGCGATACCGTTTTCGACCAGTTCTAACTGCGAGCCGACAAGTTCGGCATCCAGTGGGGGGGCGAACATCATATTGGGGCCGAACATTAGCAGGGAGGTGTCCAAATTAGGGCCGGATAGCCGAACCTGGAACTTTTGGAGCTAATAACCGACACTTCCATGCTCGCGTAAGTGATTTCACTTGTCATAGGTTCTGACCATCCCGCGCGTCGAAACTGATGGAGGGTAAACTTCACATAACTCAGTATTTTCCACTCAATTGCGTACCAAAACTAGACGACGCTACCGGGAACGGTTAGGGCAGAGCAGAAAAACTATAACCCCTAGCGAACCTGGACGCATTATCGGGAGGATCAACCCTAAACACGGGAACCCGCCTGGAATTTAGGGTTGATGCCTCCCCGAGTCGCATCCATTTCCGATTGGGATTTATTTTTTTTTGTCAGCTAAAATGATGGTTTTGTTGTGGAAAACAATCATGTACTTCTGTGTCTAAATAATATAAACAAGACGAAACCACCCCCAGAGGGTACGACGTGAGCTTCGTAATAGGCGGCGATCATAATCGAAGCCAAAACATTGAACCAATAAAGTAGCAATTTAGTAATTTCCTCTAAAGCTTGGTTCGGAACCTCGGCCCAGCCACCTGGGCAGCCCCGGGGTCATATCCAACGGTTGGGATTAACCCGGCCCTAATTTGGTCAATCTCCTGCTAATGTTCGGCCCCAGTTTGATCTTTTCCCTGGGGAGCCATGAAGAATAACCGCTCAAACAATCGCCGCTGACAGGGCTTCTGGTCTGTTCGGCCCGCCATGCGGTGCAACGACGATTTCTCGACCAGCCAAGCGAAGTCGCCTGGTTGCGACGGTACATTTACGATGCGCCAGGCGAAAATGGACGCAAGTGCCCGCGCGAGCGAAGGCATTTGTTTCGTCCGTTCTCGTCCCAAAACCAACCAGACTTCTTGGCGAACCACCTCCAAACCAGGCCCGAACCGAACTGGAATCGCCAAAGCCCTAAGCGGAGGAAACCAGCGGGCTGAACCCGAGCCAGCTAATTATATTTCCCATCTACCGAACCAGAGTTGTTACGTGTCGCGTTCCGCCCCCAGCCGGGGCGCTTTGTTAATTTCTGCTTCGGAAATGTGTTTATGTCTTCCCCATGCCGATTCGATTTTTGGAATCCCCGCCCACGCCGCCCGCTTGTGGCGGCCCAGCAAATTCAGGCAAGCGAGGTCAAAGGGATCAAACAAGGCCTTGGGCAATTGCGAACATTCATATTCCCATCAAACCACTGAACTGCGTCAAATAATCTATCAGTGTCTGTTTGATCCGACCTTATTCCGACTTCGTCTGCTCTTCCAATTAGGAGACGGACATCCCTTTGAGTAACATCCCGTCCGCCATGGCCGTCTCTCGCGCTGTGCTCCTTCTCCTCGTCGTACTCCCACTAACAGTGGCCCAGACCTACCCAAAATGTCCACTCACGGGAAAACTCCCCAAGCCTGCTAAGGTCGTCCACACGCGGTGCCCCGCGGCCGCGAAAATGTCGTGCTGCCAAGACTGCTTCGACCTTAACTACGCGATTCGGGCGCTAGGGACGAACGTTACCTCTGTCGTCGACGCGAACACGGGCGGTATGGGAACGCAGCTGGGCGTGCCGGCCGATGTGTGCGGGCTGTTCAAGGGCTCGGAAACGTGCGAATTGCTCGTCGAGCAGCTCGTGTGCGCTGTCAGCTGCAACCCTGGTGAGTTTCATTCGTTGCTGCTATTCTTTAAAGAATTATATATACAAGCAAATTTGCTCGGAGACGTGTGAATTGCTCATCAAGCAACTCCTGTGCGCTGTCAGCTGCAACCCTGGTGTGTTTCAGAGACCGAGCCTGGAATGTTCGCCAGATTTGCTTCTCGTTGACCCTCTGACCCCGATTTCCTCTTCCACTGACACTGCCGTTCCCTTCCCACCCGTCTTCCCTGCACCTTCTTCCGTTTTCCTTCGAAACCCCCGCTCCCCATCTCCCCCCCTTCCTCTGCGGCAGACTCGGGCAATTACTTCAGCAAGGCGACCGGAGCGCCCATCCTCAACATTTGCACGGCCTTCGCGCAGCAGGTGTACGACGCGTGCGGCACCCTCTCCTGTAAGCTCTCATCCCCAATTAATTCCGTCTCGCAGTTCAGTAGCTTCCACGTTCGTCTCGCACCCTAACCTTCATAATACAAGCCATTGCATGATCCGCGACGTAACCGCGCTCTCACCCGAGGCCGTTTGTGACGAGTGAATGCTGACGCTCATGCCGTTGCATGCTATTTCCCCTTCAATTACCTTATTTCAGTGGGCGAGCTCAAAGTGGGTGATTTCCTCTTCACGCCCGCGGATCTGATTCAGTCCGTGCTCGTCCCCGTTATTGGCTCCGCCGTGCCCAACTTCAACGCGTCCATCAATGTAAGAAAACGTGTTTGGAACACTGTCACGAAATACACAGTGAACGTTCCGAAGATACTACATTCATTTCACCGCTGTCGCTGCAAGCCCCTCTTACCAACTCGTCACCGCTCACATCCTCTTTCTTCCATCTGAACACCGACGTTTGTCTTTCCCCTCTCTGCGCGCAAACCCTTCTCAGGACGTGGGCTGCTACGGCGGGCCCGAGCAGGTTCCCTCCACCCCCCTCTGCTGCGATCCGCTCAACGTCCCCCGCCAATGTCCCAAGGGCGCGGTCAACCTCACCGGCTCTGCGGGGATCGTCGGGCGCAAGCCCGCCGCCGCCATCTGCGCGGACTTCCCCTACTCCGCCACCACCGTCCCCTTCAAGCGCGCGCCCCTCCCCGCCACCGCTGCGCCGGAGCTTCCGCCCGCCGCGACCGGACCTCCCCGCGGAGGACAGCCCAAGCCGAACACGAATGCTGCCGGCACCCCCGCTTCACCCGCCGCCAATCCCGGCAAGCCCAGCGGTCTTCCCGCGACCGCCATGGCTCCCCCTGGCCCGAAAGGCGCTGCGTCGAATCTGGTCTCCGCTGCTCTGGTGCTGCTCGCCAGTGCCGTGGCTGCCGCTGTTGCTCTTTAAAGACACACGAGGCTGCTAATAAGGGGGGTGGATAGCGTAGAAGGTCACAGTGTTTAGAAAGGCTGATTCGGGGGGGCAGCTCAGCCCTGTTGCGGGAAAAAGGTACCGCTATAAATATACTGCAGTAACCCACACGTACAGAAGGTTTGATAGGCTGCTGTTGATCACTAACAGCGCATTTGTTTAGCGAAAGCCTTGCATATAAATAAGAAGGTTCAGCCAAGTCTGGTTCCCCGTCAACACACTCCTCCCTTCCAAACGTTCCTCCATTTCATTGGCACAAAGAGCCACAAATGCTATATGACAGAAGCCTCGTGCACATTTTGTAGTTCTGCCTAATAGGATCCAGGCCTGTACCAACAGGTAGCACCTTAGTAAGCAAACAAATCAACAGTCAGCACTCGTCTGGCACGATCTGTTTGCACAAATTACCGTATACATCATGACCATGCTGATGCAGCTGAAGTGTTATGAGGGAGCACAAAATTTTAAGGCATTTGCATGAACAAGCACCAAAGCACAAGCTGGAAGGGTTTTGCAGTGAAAGACTCACTGTTACAACAACCATGGGCTGCTAGATACCAAGACACGATAAACGATTGCCTGAATTATCTCACAAAACATGGAATAAGAGGAAAACGGACGTCGAGGCGCTGAAGAAGGCTGTACAGCAGAGAAGAGCGAGGGCTGAACAGGGAGAACAAAGACCGCTTTGGTTGACAGTAGGGGGGCGACTGGGGTGAACGGGGTTGACTGGCATGCGTGGCCAAGGGAGGAATGTGACGGTTTGTGACATGGTATGCCGGGGGACTATGTGCATGTGAGGTTGATTACGGCTGCTTTTCCGGCTGCTTCTCAAGCGTACAATGCCTTCATGAAGCATCACAGCAGCACCGCATGAAGCCTCTCAAGTGACAACCCCCCCGATGCCCCAGGGCAAGGAAAACCGCTGCAGATTGGGGCCAAGAGACACACTCTTGACAGCTGACCTCAGGGTATATAACCCTGGCCACACTCAGCGAGGGCGAATTCCCCTGGGCCCTCTCTTGCTACCCCTCTTTCCCGACGTTCCTGCGCCAGAATACCCTCCATTACCGCCCCTCCCCCCCCCCACATAGTGAAAATCCTCGTCGAAATCCGTCCAAGAGTAGGTTGTCTGGGAGGAGGACGCAGATCTGCTGCTGCTGCTGTTGATGCCGCTGTTGCTGCTGCTCCTGCTGGTGTTGTTTCGTGGAGAGCCGGCACTGGCTTCCATAAGAGCGTCCTTGTCCGGGACATAGCCTGCATGGGAAGGATAGGAACATGAGCATGGGCAAAAACTTTTGAGAAGTCTCAAATGCCGTTGCTGTTGCTGCTGCTCCTGCTGGTGTTGTTTCGTGGGGAAGCAGCACTGGCTCCATCAAAGCGTCCTTGTCAGGGACGTAACCTGCACAGGAAGGATCAAGGAAACGAACATAGGAACGTACATGAAGCTTGGAATGTTCGCAGACACACAACTGAAACATAGCGAAGACGCCTGCATTCACCAAACTTAGCGGCCCGTAAGAATGTCTGCTCCACTGCAACCTCTCGCCCCGCCCCCTTTCCACCCGCACTCTTGCTCCTCACAGCCAATGCGCATGCAACCCCCCAGCTCTGTAGCACACACAGAGAGACATAGCTCACACCCACACACTCACCAAGCTTAGCAGCCCAGGAATACGTCTGCTCCACCGCCACCTCTCGCCCCGCCCCCTTCCCACTCCCACTCGCACTCCTCACCAGCCAAAACGCATGCATTCCCAGAGCTGGGCAGCATATCGAGGGGCATGCCCAACACACAACCACTCACCAAGCTTGACTTTTGAGTCGACTCAAAAGTCACCTCTTTGAGTCGACTCAAAAGTAACTTTGAGGGGCATACCCAACACACAACCACTCACCAAGCTTGACTTTTGAGTCGACTCAAAAGTCACCTCTTTGAGTCGACTCAAAAGTAACTTTGAGGGGCATACCCAACACACAACCACTCACCAAGCTTGACTTTTGAGTCGACTCAAAAGTCACCTCTTTGAGTCGACTCAAAAGTCACCTCTTTTGAGTCGACTCAAAAGTCACTTTGAGGGGCATACCCAACACACAACCACTCACCAAGCTGTTTTTATGTCAACTCAAAAGTCACTTTGAGGGGCATACCCAACACACAACCACTCACCAAGCTGTTTTTGAGTCGACTCTAAAGTCACTTTGAGAGGCATACCCAACACACAACCACTCACCAAGCTGTTGACTTTTGAGTCGACTCAAAAGTCACTTTGAGGGGCATACCCAACACACAACCACTCACCAAGTTGTTGACTTTTGAGTCGACTCAAAAGTCACTTTGAGGGGCATACCCAACACACAACCACTCACCAAGCTTGACTTTTGAGTCGACTCAAGAGTCACTTTGAGGGGCATACCCAACACACAACCACTCACCAAGCTTGACTTTTGAGTCGACTCAAAAGTCACTTTGAGGGGCATACCCAACACACAACCACTCACCAAGCTTGACTTTTGAGTCGACTCAAAAGTCACTTTGAGGGGCATACCCAACACACAACCACTCACCAAGCTTGACTTTTGAGTCGACTCAAAAGTCACTTTGAGGGGCATACCCAACACACAACCACTCACCAAGCTTGACTTTTGAGTCGACTCAAAAGTCACTTTGAGGGGCATACCCAACACACAACCACTCACCAAGCTTGACTTTTGAGTCGACTCAAAAGTCACTTTGAGGGGCATACCCAACACACAACCACTCACCAAGCTTGACTTTTGAGTCGACTCAAAAGTCACTTTGAGGGGCATACCCAACACACAACCACTCACCAAGCTTGACTTTTGAGTCGACTCAAAAGTCACCTCTTTTGAGTCGACTCAAAAGTCACTTTGAGGGGCATACCCAACACACCACCACTCACCAAGCTTGACTTTTGAGTCGACTCAAAAGTCACCTCTTTTGAGTCGACTCAAAAGTCACTTTGAGGGGCATACCCAACACACAACCACTCACCAAGCTTAGCAGCCCAGGAATACGTCTGCTCCACCGCCACCTCTCGCCCCGCCCCCTTCCCACTCCCTCCACCGCCGTTCCTCCCATAGCTGAACTCATACCGAGTGCTCGTACCGCCTTCCATCCAGTCAAACCCCTCATCATCGCTCCCAGCCATCCAGTACAGGTCCCTCTCCCTATCCCTCCCCCCAAGCACCACGCCGGGACCCGCACTCCCCGCCCCAAACATGCTCCCGCCCATCCCCTCCCCCACAGTGCTTGATCTGCTGCTAGGATTGGTCGAGGAGGAGGAGGAAGAAGAAGAGGAAGTAGAGGAGGAGGAGGAGGTGCCATTGCGGTCGTAGAGTCGCCGGTCGATGGTGACATGAAAGGACTCGTCCCGTGTGCGGACTTCCACTTGAGGCCGCTTGCCGTGCAGCAGTGCATCGACGCTTCTGTCGGTCTGTTGTGGGGAGGGAAGGAGGTTGCAGGGAGCAAGGGAACAGGCATGACAAGCAATCGATGGTGACGTGGAAGGACTCGTCTCTTGTGCGCACCTCCACCTGCGGCCGCTTGCCGTGCAGCAGTGCATCCACACTCCTGTCGGTCTGGAAGGGAGCAAGGAAACAGGGAAGATGGGAATGGAGAATGCTGGTAAAAGTCTCAAGAACCGGCGCTCGATGGTGACGTGGAACGATTTGTCTCGAGTGCGAACCTCTACCTGGGGGCGCAAGGAAACAGGGACGATGGGCGGAGGTGTGCAATAAATATGACACATGGCCATGACCATACACCCCCCACAGCTCCGCATCACTCTGCATCAGATGCATCAACACATCTCATGTGCGGAAAAGTCCAGAGATTTTCATTATTCTGCATGCGATTCTGAATCACCACCAAAAGCTTTACCAGGTGGGCGACCCAGAAGTGCCGCTCGCGCATCTCGATCAGCACGGGGAAGGTGGGCGGCGCTGTGTCAGTGCGGTGCACTTCCTGTGGACTCAGAAGCACAGCTAGTTACAAAGCGCGAACAACGCACCTGGTGGGCCACCCAGAAGTGCCGCTCGCGCATCTCTATCAGCACAGGAAAGGTGGGCGGCGCTGTTCTCTCCAGCACGCTCTTCTGGGTGCCCCGTGACCGAGCCTCTTCATCGCCCAGAGTCACCGTTTGCACCCCTCCCACCTGGAATGAAGGAAAAAGGGGAGGGGGAAGCACGGGAATGAGGGGAAGGTGGGCGGCGCTGTTCTCTCCAACACGCTCTTCTGTGTGCCCCGTGACCGAGCCTCCTCGTCTCCCAGTGTCACTGTTTGCACTCCGCCCACCTGGAAGGGGGGAGGAAGCGAGGGAGCGACACGGAGACGGGCGGAAGGGGACAGGGAGGAAGGAGGGGAAGGTGGGGGGGTCACAGAACGTGGGAGTTCTCCAGCAATCGCCCGTGTTCCGTGCCTACCAGCATCATCCCTTAAGACAGGTCACAGGGATACCAAGTTACAGAAACACATTCCATGCTCTCATGTTCTACTCACCAGGTCACAGGGCGTGGAGTTTTTGATGAGGTTCTCCAGCAGCTGTCCGTGAGCCGTGCCCACCAGCTCCTCTCAGGACACACAGGGATACCAGGTTACAGAATCACAATTCCCAGTCTCACCAAATCACACAGAGTGGGGTTCTTGATGAGGTTCTCCAGCAGCTGCCCGTGAGCCGTGCCCACCAGCATCACGCCCCTCTCCGCTATCGTCCTGCACGCTAGCGCCTCTGCTTCCGTGCCGATCTCATCCACTATCACCACCTGCGGGGCAGTGGCAAGGGGTGAGGGGCAGAGGGAAAGGCGAGGGGGCAGAGGTGTTAAATTTGAACAAAGAACGTCTTGGTCCAGGCAGAGGCAGGGCAGAGGTGTGAGTTTGAGATGTCTCATAACGCTATCGTCCTGCATGCCAGAGCCTCTGCCTCCGTGCCAATCTCGTCCACTATCACCACCTGTAGGCAGCCAAAACCAGAAATAGGCAGCCACATGCAGGGCAGAGGGGCGTGGCAGCTAATACTTCAACAATCACCACAGGCATGTGAGTCTCAACTGGCTATACCATCAACCTGTGCTGCAGAGCAGGATCCGCATCTGCATGCGCCCACCCGCTCTGCGCTTACCCGTGCCATGCACCATCCCAGCTCTCACCTGCGGCATGTGATTCTCAACAGCCTCCACCATCACGCGGTGCTGCAGCGCGGGGTCCGGCACCTGCATGCGCCCACCCACTCTGTGATTACCCGTATCCCACGCTCACCTGCGGCATGTGGTTTTCCACGGCCCCAAGCTTCACGCGGTGCTGCAGCGCTGGGTCCGGCACCTGCATGTGCTATTGAATCAATGAATCACATCCTTGCTCAGTCTTCTCACCTGCGGCATGTGGTTTTCCACGGCTTCCACCATCACGCGGTGCTGCAGCGCTGGGTCCGGCACCTGCATGCGCCGCGCGCCGCCAATCGCAGGGTGCGGCACGTCGCCATCCCCGCCAATCTCGTTGCTCGTGTCCACAATGACCACGCGCTTCTGCATCTCGTCTGCTAACACGCGTGCTATCTCCCGGATCACGGTCGTCTTTCCTACTCCGGGCCTGGAAGGGCGTGCAAAGGGATGCAAAGGGAGGGGGTAAGAGGAGGTTATGCACGTCCCCGTCGCCCCCGATCTCGTTGCTCGTGTCCACAATGACCACGCGCTTCTGCATCTCGTTTGCTAACACGCGCGCAATCTCGCGAATGACTGTCGTTTTGCCCACGCCAGGCCTGGTGGAGAGAGAAAAAGGGAAGGACGGTTCGGAAAAGAAGGGGGTAAGAGCAGGTTATGCACGTCCCCGTCGCCCCCGATCTCGTTGCTCGTGTCCACAATGACCACGCGCTTCTGCATCTCGTTTGCTAACACGCGCGCAATCTCGCGAATGACTGTCGTTTTGCCCACGCCAGGCCTGGTGGAGAGAGAAAAAGGGAAGGACGGTTCGGAAAAGAAGGGGGTAAGAGCAGGTTATGCACGTCCCCGTCCCCTTCAATCTCGTTGCTCGTGTCCACGATGACCACGCGCTTCTGCATCTCGTCTGCCAACACTCGCGTGATTTCACGAATCACGGTCGTCTTGCCTACTCCAGGCCTTGAAGGGTGTGCATAAGGGCGATGGAGGGCGCAAGGGCAGGTTATGCACGTCCCCGGCACCCCCAACCTCGTTGCTCAAGAATTAGATTGTAGCTCAGGTACACGCTCTCGAATGAGGAGAGAATCTTGAACGAACTGAAAGGACAACAGAGTAAAGGCGTTGACGCAGCACGAACCTTCCGAGAAACAGCAGGCTCTGCCCGTGGTGCAGCAGATCGCGGACCATGTCCACGTGGCCGGTGACAGCGCGCCCCACGCGACACGTCAGCCCGACCACGTCACCCTTGCGGTTGCGGATGGCGCTGATGCGGTGGAGCGTCCCCTCCACGCCAGCGCGATTGTCGCCGCCAAACGCGCCGATGGACTCGCAGGCGGATTCGAGATCCGCGCGGGTTACCTGTGCCACGTCAGCAGAGCGAGAAACGAAGGCACGTGTCAGCAATTTTTCCAACAGAGCTACTTAAATTACCTCTTTAATCTTACTTCCCCTCCCCTCCTTTCCCATCCTACTTTCCCCTCTCACCAACCCACCACGGCGTACCACTCTCAGCATAATTACCTCCTAATATTACAGCTTACCTCTGCTTCCTGCAGGTACTCAGCCCCGCCATCGCCCAGAAAGCGCGCCTCGGGTCGACGGCCGAGATCCAACACCACCTGATACGGACGGCGGGAGAAAGGTGGGAGGGAGCAGGACGGGAGAAAGAGGGAAGTATGAAGGAGGAGGGGTAACTGGTAAGAGGTGGGAAAAGGGAAGGGAGACGGGGGAAGGGGGAAGGGGGAAGGAGGAAGTGGGACGGGGGAAGGGATGGGGAGGGGGCAGTAATTTTGGAAAGATGGTGTGCATGGGAAGGGTCGGGGAACAGGTGGGACGGGTGCCGACGGAACGGTAGGCGCGTGACTCCTGAGCGCACGTCAAGGTAATTTCTGGCAAAATTCGAATAACAAAGGACCCCGGAGCTCCTGAGCGCACGCCGAGGGGTAATTTCCGGCAATATTCAAATAACACCGGACCCGGAGCTCCTGAGCGCACCTCGAGCAGCTCGGATCTGCGAGGATGCTGCAGCAGGTTTCCGCGAAGGTTCCCCGGCAGGCAGTGCAGCAGCTCATCCAGGTCGTCGCGCACGATCACCGCGCCGTCCTCCACCAACTCGTTCGGGCCCGCTACAGCCGGCCCTGCCACAGGCGGCTCCGCTACAGCCGGCCCTGTTACAGCCGTCGTCGCTACAGCGGGCCCTTCTTGAGTCGACGGAGCAAGTTGCGAAGAATCGTCCCCAGCGGAACGCGAAACCTCCGGCTCCGAAGTTAATTTGGCTGCTGCTGTGGACTCTGCTTCGGAAGAAATATAATTACCCTCCGCATCTTCGGACATTGACGCGGAAATGGCGGCCACGTGGACTAGGCAAGGTGACCTGGGAACAGAGCCCTTGCTGTGCGACGCGCCGCGCTGCACATGCGAGGTAAGGCTAAGAGCGGGATTCACGGCGTGGGACACGCTCGAAACACTGGCGTATCGGGTGGTATTTACTAGCGTGGCAGGGATGCCAGCTGTGGAGATGCCAGCCGCAGCATGGCACGCGGCAAATTGAGCAGACATGGCAGGGAATTCTAGCAGCTGCTAAGCAGCTGAAGGTTACGTGGGATTGGTGACTGGCTGCGAAAATTGGACAATGCAAATTCCAATGGAATTGGCTAATATGTACAGATCCTTGCGTAGTGGCCGTGTCCGATCAGCATCAGCGTGAAGTAACGGCTGAATTATGCTTGGTTCCAGCGACAGTCACCCAAGCTCGACTGCTCTTAGGGGTTGCCGGAATCTAGGTGAAGCGTGCTCCTCCAATAGCCTTACGAGCGGGTGCGGGAGCTAGGGAACCCCAAGAGGCACCTAAGGAGCGCTGCGTCCTTACCCATCGCGTGTCTCCCATTTGGTTCTGGCGGAGAATACCAAGAGCTCTGGTCTGGTACCAATCACGTCACAGTTTTTGGTTCGGTTTTGAAGAAATTTGGAGGGAAACCGTCAGAGGTCAGACTTTTCGTCACTAACCTGCCCTTGTAGGTGGCCTTGTATGATTGGCTGATTAAACATGAAGGAATAAACCGAATATAATTATTCAGCGAATACCAGCGCTTGTGCGACAGAATCTGACGCTGCGAGGAGGTGGAATATGCCACGACTGAAGAATAATCGGTCCAGGTACAGATAACAAAATCTTGTCGCCAATCGTTTGCGTTCAGGGGCATCCTGTTTGAGCAGGCTGACCGAGTCATGCACAGCCACGTCACTCGCACGAAATACACTCGAGACCACCTCATTGACAAGCAAGAAAGTAGACCACGTACTACACGTACTACAGCGCATTTACTAATGTTATGTTACTAGGTTTAGTCACCACTAGGTGATCTGCTAGTGAAATCACATCACCTGCATACACAATGATGACAACACATAGTTGTGGAAAAAAGGTCAAAATATCCCGTATTAGTAAGAATGATTTGCGTTTGAAGCCATTCATGTAGTACGGGTTGGATTGGAGGACCTTGGTGGTGGTGGTTCATCTTAAATTTTATCTAACAGCCGAGGTTTTTTCTGAGATCCTGGTGACATTATGCGTGCATGCAAGTATCCGGATGGTTACAATAGTCATATGCACTCTCATTCAAGATCATGTGCTATGCCTTTATCTTCTTTATTATGGCCTGTGCTAATATCTTATCTTGACTTGCGCCAAATTCTCTTGCGGCTTGATATCATCGGGCTCTTGATCAACTCTAGGGCGACACTCGCGAAGAAACCCAACTGATGTACACGACAGTCGTACTTGTTCGCAAACTCCTGGAAGTTCTTCGCATGTCACTTCAAAGAACAACGCGCAGGACCAACACAAGCGATTGTTCAAAGGTGGTAACCTCGTATATCGAGTCAAGATGCGTTCAAGTCAGGAAACGCACGTGTGCAATTCCCCGCTCAAAAGCACATAGAATCCCGAGCCGCTCTATTGTGGCTTTGTTATCAGATCAGAGCCCGTACAAGCACACCAACCCCGAGCCGCACCGGCGGTGCTCCGTCCCGGCCGTGGAGTGCCCCCGACAACGCGCCAGGATGTTTGTATAAATGAGGGGCTTGCTGTACTTCACATCTATCACCATCCATATCCGCTCAACGTCCGGCCAATCTTTAGTTATCTTGTGCTCGACAATTCCCTCTTGAACTTCCAGATATCATGGCTCGTGGATTGCCGTTGCTCCTGCTGCTGCTCCTGGTCACCGCCGCATTGCGGACGTCGCATGCCGATGAATACGGGTCGAGCCAATTGAGCAGAGACTTTTACAGAGACTCGTGCCCGTACGTCACGTCGATCGTTCGAAATGTCGTTTTTGACGAGTTTATCAAAGATGAGACCCTCCCTGCGCCACTTCTTCGCCTCCACTTCCACGACTGCTTCGTTCAGGTACGACCAACTCCTTCCCGGCTCGTTTATTCCGCTAGGCGCGTTCGCGTTTTGGATATTGATTTTTCCCTTCGCCTATTATCGTGCCTACGCGTCGCAGGGTTGCGATGGTTCTATTCTGATCAACTCGACGGCGGACAATCAGGCGGAGAAAGACGCGCCGCCCAACCTCACGCTCCACGCCTTTGATGTCATCGACAAGATCAAGGAGACCGTTGAGGAGGAGTGCCCCGGCGTCGTCAGCTGCGCCGACATCGTCGCTCTCGCCGCCCGTGACGGCGTCGTTCTGGTAAGCGCCACCGTCAGTCGCCGCGCCGCCTCTCCGCTTTTCCGTTATGATAAAATTCTCTGGATGGTTTCTCCCGCGCTTAGCCTGTATTTATTGCAGCACCCATCATGCACGCAGGGCACGCCATCCATGCACAATGCCGTTTCACACATTGACTCTATCCCGTTTCGCACTTCATGATCTCCGTCCTTGGTTGGCTCGATCGTGTCGGACAGGCTGGCGGCCCGTACATCGATACGCAACTCGGTCGCCGCGATTCGCGCTCCTCCAGGGCGTCTCGTGCGGTGGCGGCGATGCCCGGTCACCGCATGAACGTGGACGAGCTTCTGAAAAACTTCGCCGCCGTGAACCTCACGCGCCTCGACCTCGTGACGCTCTCCGGCGCGCACACGATCGGCGACGCGCACTGCGACACCGTGCAGCACCGGATTGCGCCGAATCACGACTCCACGATGGCGAGCTCCTTGCGTGAGAAGCTTAACGACAAGTGCAGGGCTCCCGACGTGGATGTCAGCCAGGAAATCAACCTCGACTTCCGCACTAAGAACCGATTCGACAACCAGGTGAGCAACTTCAAGTTACTCAAACGTGGCCTGGAGTATAGCCTCGACCAAAGAAAGAATTCACCTCTTTTTCCAATTATCTCTTCATATCTAGCACTGCAAGTGACTGCGTATATACGAGTCTGGCGTCTCCTAACCTCCATAACACTCACTACGTCCGCTCTGCAGTACTTCCAGAACCTCCAGGAGAAGTTCGGGCTGCTTTCCAGCGTTCAGGCGCTGACGATCGACCCGCGCACTCGATAGCTGGTGGACCGTTACCAACTTTGCCCCTGATTCGCCCCTCCCTGTGCTCACCCTGCAGTACTTCAAGAACCTCCAGGATAAGTTCGGGCTGCTGTCGAGCGACCAGGTACTGGCGATCGACGAGCGCACTCGCAACATTGTGGACCGTTACGCGGCGGACCAGGAGGATTTTTTTCGTGAGTTTCGCCACTCCATGTTGCGCATGGGGGCAAACAACGTGCTCACGGGTGAGGAGGGGGAGATCCGCCGCATCTGCAGCAAGGTCAACTGATGGATGGCGGGATGGTCGATTTGGAGAGGAAGTAGGCTGTCCTATCTCAGAGCATGGTGTGATGGTGAGGAGGAGCATGGAGGGGCAAAATGATGCTCTCATGGAAAGGCAGTAGCTTAGGGAGCATGGTGTGATGGTGTTCAGTTAGGGCTAGGTTGACTTTTGGAGGGATACACTGACTCTAGGTCCTGACTGGCCTAGGTTTAGGGCATGGGATATCTTAGCTTTAGTGTATGTTTTTTATGATGTTGTTGATGAAGCAAGGTGAAATATAATACCTTCTGTTGTCGTGCGAAGCCTATCTAGTTTGTAACAAAGTTTAAAATGATGGGTCCATCTTGCTAGAATTGAAGAGCTGCTCCATTCAAAGCTTGTTATTCGATGAGCTTGTTATTGTACCGCGGATAGGACGTTGTATCTAATCCAATCACTCCCATATAAATGGGCCAAACCATAACGAAGCACCTCTGCTGAAACCTCCTGACGCACAGTTCTGCTGGAAACTTGTCGCTGGGAGTCTGGTACGAAGTCACAACCCCAGCGAGCCTTGCGACAGTCGTGAACAGCGCACTCACATACGCACGCAATCGATGTGATCCTGATATTCGCGACATTGTAACACTTCACGAATTTCTACAGTCCACAGAATTCCCACGAAATCCTTCCGAAGAAAAACGCTGAACCGAAAATGTTTGACCCCCTTGTGTTTACCCCGCCGGGCGGGATCCGAACGTGGGAAATTCCCCGCACGAGGTATCAAGCATCATTTGCACGTGGGGAATCCTTCAAACCTTATTGTACCGTACCGTACTCACAAACATGCACAATACCCGCGACGCCCAACCTCTCCTCCATTCAGTATGCGAAAGTGCCCGCGCCGCGATTCGTGTGGATAAAAGCTGGGCTCGTCATCCCATCCTCAGGCCATTCATTATCCAGCCAAGCCTCTTCTGTCACTTCTACCTCCGCGGTCACTCGCGTTTAGGTTTTTCGTCATGGCTCGTGCGTTGCCATTGCTCCTGCTGCTGGTGCTTGTCAATGCCGCATGGCTTACGTCTCATGCGCAACGCCCCCGTAGAGGTGGTGGTGGTGGAGGAAGGCAAGTTCCACCTGGAGGAGGAGGTGGAGGAGGTGGAGGCGGCCCACCGCGAGGCGGAGGTGGAGGTGGAGGGGGAGGCGGAGGCGGAGGCGGAGTCGGCCCACCGCGAGGTGGAGGGGGAGGGGGAGGCGGCCCACCGCGAGGCGGAGGGGGAGGCGGAGGCGGCCCACCGCGAGGCGGAGGGGGAGGCGGAGGCGGCCCACCGCGAGGCGGAGGCGGAGGCGGAGGCGGAGGCAGAGGTGGTCTATTGAGGAGGGACTACTACCAAAACTCGTGCCCGGGCGTCGAGGGGATTGTGCGAGATATCGTCCGCGACGAATTTATGAAGAACAGACTCATCCCCGCGCCGCTTCTGCGCCTCCACTTCCACGACTGCTTCGTTCAGGTACAACTTCGAGCTCCTTGTCGATTACATCCCCCCCAGTAACGCGCTTACGTTTCGCACGATTCTAGTATGGATCTGATCCAGTTTGTCATTGTCTTCGCCTACGCCGCGTCGCGCACAACGACCAAATGCATGCGTCCTAGGATCTTGGGCGACTGTCTTATAATGTCATTCTCGTTATCCTTTGTCGCAACGGCTTCGCAGGGTTGCGATGGGTCAGTGCTGATCGACTCGACGGCGGACAATCAGGCGGAGAAAGACGCGCCGCCCAACCTCACGCTCCACGGATTCGACATCATCGATCGCATTAAGGAGACCATCGAGGCGCAATGCCCAGGCGTCGTCAGCTGCGCTGATATCCTCACTCTCGCCTCGCGCGACGGCGTCGTTCTGGTAAGCGCTACCTCCAGCCTGACACTCCGCGGCTTCGAGATCATCGATTTTTTTCTGTTAGATGCGCTGCATTGCTGCCGCTAAACGTATCATCATTCCAGCATCTATCAAGCGCGTATCATAATCCCGCCGCGGCCCATGCTGCTTTTTACGCGTTGAATCATGCTCGCTCGTCCCTGGTTGCCTTTTGTCCCCCGCCGGCAGGCTGGCGGGCCGTTCTGGCCTGTGGACCTGGGTCGCCGCGATTCGCGCACCTCCTTGGCGTCTCTCGCGACGAGTTCCTTGCCCGGTCACAAGATGAACGTTAACGAGCTTCTGCAAAACTTCGCCGTGGCGAATCTCACGCTCGTCGACCTCGTCACGCTCGCCGGCGCGCACACGATCGGCGACGCGAGCTGCGGCTCCGTCGCGCACCGAATCGCGCCCAACAGCGACCCGACGATGGCTCCGCAACTGCGCGACTACCTCAACGGCCAGTGCAAGGCTCCCAACGTCGACGAGAAGGTTTTCGTTGACCTCGATAGCTCCAGCGGTTCTTCATTCGACAACCACGTAAGCTAAACCCCTATCGCGTTTTGACTACCTTGACGGCCAGCGCAAAGCTCCCAACATCGACGAGAAAATATCTGTTGACCTCGATAGCTCCAGCTGTTCTACCTTCGACAACCACGTGAGCTGCCCGAAATTGTGGCCGAACTTTTCCAGCCAAACCCTAATTTTTCTTTCTTGCATATACGCAGATGAATTCTGGCAGTACATCCATACATTCCTCCACCATCTCTACCCCTCCCTCTCTCCTGTCTCCCTGTATCTCCCCAACACCAGTACTTCCAGAACCTTCAGCGGAAGTTCGGGCTGCTGTCGAGCGATCAGGCGCTGACAATCGACCCGCGCACTCTGCAGCTGGTGAACCGTTACGCGTCGGACAGGCAGGCGTTCTTCCGTCAGTTCAGCCACTCCATGATCCGCATGGGGGAAGCCGGCGTGCTCACCGGTACACAGGGGGAGATTCGCCGCACCTGCAGCGCCGTCAACTGATGCATGGAAGGGGGGGATGGGGGATTGGGGGTGGGGTGGTGGGGAATTGGGGATGGGGTGGGGGGGATGGGGTGGTCATTGATTGGGGGTGGGGTGGTAGGGTGGTGGGGGTGTGGTGCTGAAATGGTGGGGTGGACCGTTACGCATCGGACAGGCAGGCGTTCTTCCGGCAGTTCAGCCACTCCATGATCCGCACGGGGGAGGCTGGTGTGCTTGCTCACTGGCACACAGGGGGATATCCGCCGCACCTGCAGCGCCGTCAACTGATGCATGGCGCGGGGGATGGGGGAGGGGGGGTGGAGGTGTGGGTGTGTCAACTGACGTGGATGGAGCGATGGTGGATTTGAGAGAGAAGGGGGGGGGGCTGGGGGAGGGTGGGGGTTGGGGGTGGGGGTCGGGGGGAGCAGGCTATTCCTTCTCAATGAGAGCAAAGTGTTGTGGTGGATTGGAGATGGTCAGCATGATTGAAAAGGTTGAACTCATGGAAAGGGATTACGAGAAGAGGATGCTCCTATTGAGATGGCAGTAGCCTGCTCCGTGAGGGTGGTAGGGTAGGGTACAAGTTTGGTGTAGCTTGTTGTGTACGATGTCGTGTATCTTGCTTACTTATGGAACCAAATGTATCTTACAAACACTGGGAGCTGGCAGCTGCTGCTCTGACTGGGAGCTGCGTACTGGTGCTGAGCAAGAGTGTATGGGGCGAGGCATGGGGATGATTCACAAGGTCAAACAAAATTACAGCAGGAAGGACCATGTGCAATACGGTACGTTAGTAGGTAGCTTGTTTGGGGGATGCCACGTCCCAGTGCAAGGCCCACAAGGTACAGACTGACAGAGGCTGGAATACTGTCAGAGTCAGAATACAACATTATCAAGACAAGTAATACGATATACATTATTTCGACCAGTAGTGCACTACCGGTCCAATACCAGCATTTAACTTATTGAGTGCAATAGCATGTTGTCATGTGCAAAACACGTTTGATTGCCTTTCTTTAGAAGACAATGGGGTGTTGTCATGTACACTCGCAGCTCGTGCATTATTGACACGCCTCAGGAGACCTCCCTAATCGCCTTCCAGTGCCTCGCGCATGGCGGAAGCAGCGGTACCACGGCTGCGCGCGAATCGTTTCTGCTGCTGCTGCTGCTGCTGCTGCTGGTACTGCTGGTACTGCTGCTGCTGCTCGTGCACTCTTGAGGCCCCTCAGAAGACCTCCCTACTCGCCTTCCAGTGCTTCGTGCACGGCGGAAGCAGCGATGCCACGGCTGCGCGCGAAGCGGTTCTGCTGCTGCTCGTGCACGCCCATGGGCAGGCGCAGCGCAAAGCGCATGTCGTGCAGCAACTGGGGGAAGCTCTCTAGCGTGTCGAATAGATCATCGAGCAGGAGAAGCAGGAGCTCACACTCCGTCTTGGCCTGGGGGAGAGAGGGTGGGGGAAAGGAGCAGTGGAGATTGGAATTGACTCTAGTCAGCAGCAGGGGGAAGCTCTCTAGCGTGTCGAATAGATCGTCCAGAAGGAGCAGGAGCAGCTCACACTCTGCCTTGGCCTGAAGTGGAGGGATAGGGGTGAGGCATGGGAGTGTGCAGTGGAGGGGGCAGGGAAGGAAGGACTCCTCTGTGGCGCCCATTCCTCCTCCCGCATCCGCGTTTCAAACGCCTCTAAGAACCCATCCATACCCATCACAAACCTTTCTCACTTCCCCCCAATCGCTCCCCTCCTTCCTCCCTAAACCCTTCAGTGTTTCCCCCCCTGCCTCACCTGAAACGCGGCCTCAAGGCATATCAAACCGACCCTCTGCTTCGGCCATTCCTCTAAATCCATGCGCGCTTCAAAAGCCTCCAACAACCCCTCCATCCCCATCACAAACCCCGTCCCCACCGCCCCCCAACCCCCTCCCCTCCTCCTTCCTTTCCCCCTGTATATTTTCCCTGTTTTCCTCACCTGAAACGTCGCCTCCACACAGATCAAGCCGAGCCGCTGTTTTGGCCATTGCTCCACGTCCATGCGCCCTTCAAACGCCTCCAGCAACCCTTCCATACCCATCACAAACCCTTCCCCACCGCCCCCCAACCCGCTCCCCTCCTCCTTCCTTTCCCCTGTAGATTTTCCCCCTTTTGCTCACCTGAAACGTAGCTTCAACGCAAATCAGACCGACCCGCTGCTTCGGCCATTCCTCCACGTCCATTCTCGTTTCAAAAGCCTCTAGCAACCCCTCCATACCCATCACAAACCCCATCCCCCTCTCCCCCAATAACTACCCTCCTTCCTCCCTCCCCCCTTGAGTGTTTCCCTGTTTTCCTCACCTGAAACGTCGCTTCCACACAGATCAAGCCGAGACGCTGTTTCGACCATTCCTCCACGTCCATCCGCGTTTCAAACGCCTCCAGCAACCCCTCCATCCCCATGACAAACCCCGTCCCCACTCCTCCCCAACCCCTCCCCTGCTCCCTCCCTTCCCCCTTTAGAATCTCCCTGTTTTCCTCACCTGAAACGTCGCCTCCACACAGATCAGCCCGACCCTCTGTTTCGGCCATTCCTCCACGTCCATGCGCCCTTCAAAAGCCTCCAACAACCCCTCCATACCCATCACAAACCCCGTCCCCACCGCCCTATGCTCTAACTCCACCTTCCCCCCCTCTTGCTCCAACACCATTTCAAGCGGATTTCTCGGCGCTTCTGCTGCTCCTGCTGCCATCGCTGCTGCCGCTGCCAGTGCCATAGGGTTAGTGTGGGAACCTGGGGCAGCTGCGGGGTTACCCGGGAAAGCGCCGGGTATTTTGAGGGCTTGCCCGGGGGTGAGACGGAGGGAGAGTTGGCGGGAGTGGGACATGGATAGTTGGCGCGAGTGCGAGAAGGAGAGCTGGTGGGAGCGGGAGTGGAGTCGATGCATCCGGCGCTGCGAGTCGGAGCGGAGGAGAGAGGCCGAGCGGCTTACAGGGACAAAGGGGTGCTGCTGATGAGGGGAGAGGGTGGGAGGGAGGGAGGGTGGGAGGGAGGAGGAAGGGAGGGAGGGAGGGAGGGAGGAGGGAGGGAGGGAGGGAGGGAGGAGGGAGGGAGGGAGGGAGGGAGGAGGGAGGGAGGGAGGGAGGGAGGAGGGAGGGAGGGAGGGAGGGAGGGAGGGAGGGAGGGAGGGAGAAAGCATTTTGACAAGGTAAAAGGATGAGTTTTTGCACTTTGTCTAGGCTTTATAAACGGAAGGAAGCAAACCTGATAGATTCTTCTTTCACATGCTTTATTCCTGGTTAGGCAGAGAGAGAGAGAGTGGTGGTCAGTAGTACCTACCTCGTCTCCGTCCGACTCTATCTCAATGCTCTCCTTCGATCAAACACCGACGCTCCCACTCCTCTGCCTCCTCCTTCTCTCCTTCGCCTCCCCATCACCCCCACTCTACCTCCTCCTCCTCTCCCTCCTCGCCCTCCCCCCCACACCCCCCCCTCCCCCCCCCCCCCTCCCCCCCTCCCTCCTCCTCTCCCCTCCCCCCCCCCCCCCTCCTCCTCTCCTCCTCCTCCTCCTCCTCCTCCACCTCCTCCTCCTCCTCCTCCTCCTCCTCCTCCTCCTCCTCCTCCTCCTCTCCTCCTCCTCCTCCTCCTCCTCCTCCTCCTCCTCCTCCTCCTCCTCCTCCTCCTCCTCCTCCTCCTCCTCCTCTTCCCCGCTCTCCTCCTTAATCTCCCACACTCCAGCCTCCTCCCGGACCTCCCCCATTGCACCCGCGCCCTCCCCCTGCTCCTCCTCGGGGGTTTTGATCCACGTGGCATCAGCAGTGCCGGCGCGCAGGATGTAGAGGTGTCGGCTCACCTCCCCCTCCGCACAGATGAACTCCCCCGCTGCTACTCGCCGCAGCACCAGCGCGTCTAGCAGCTTTGCTATGAACCCATGGCTGTGCGGGAGAATGGGGCTGGGGGCATGGGAGCGGGAGAGAGGGGGGAGAGAAGAGGAGAGAGGGAGGAAGAGAGACGAAGAGAGAGAGGGAAAGAGGGAGAGACAGAGCGGTTTTAAGGGGTGCGCAGGATGTAGAGGTGCCGGCTGACCTCCCCCTCCGCACAGATGAACTCCCCTGCTGCTACTCGCCTCAGCACCAGCGCGTCTAGCAGCTTTGCTATGAACCCATGGCTGTGCGGGAGAATGGGGCTGGGGGCATGGGAGCGGGAGAGAGGGGGGAGAGAAGAGGAGAGAGGGAGGAAGAGAGACGAAGAGAGAGAGGGAAAGAGGGAGAGACAGAGCGGTTTTAAGGGGTGCGCAGGATGTAGAGGTGCCGGCTGACCTCCCCCTCAGCACAGACGAACTCCCCCGCTGCCACTCGCCCCAGCACTAGCGCGTCTAGCAGCTTCGCTATGAATCCATGGCTGTGCGGGAGAACGGGGCTGGGGAACCGGGGCAAGGAGGGAAGGGAGGGGGGGGAAGGGAGAGAGGGATGTAGAGATGTAGAGGTGTCGGCTCACCTCCCCTTCAGCACAGATGAATTCCCCCGCTCTTACTCGTCTCAACACCAGCGCCCCCAGCAGCTTCGCTATAAACGCATGGCTGTGTGGGATAATGGGGCTGGGGGCATGGGAGGAGGAGGCACAGGGAAGAGGTGCCACGGAACAAGACTCAACACCAGCGCCCCCAGCAGCTTCGCTATAAACGCATGGCTGTGTGGGATAATGGGGCTGGGGGCATGGGAGGAGGAAGCACAGCAGGGAACGGAAGAGGCACAGGGAAGAGGTGCCTCGAAACAGGACTCAACACCAGCGCTCCCAGAAGCTTCGCTATAAACGCATGGCTGTGTGGGATAATGGGGCTGGGAGTATGGGAGGAGGAAGCACAGCAGGGAACGGAAGAGGCACAGGGAAGAGGTCCCTCGAAACAGGACTCAACACCAACGCTCCCAGAAGCTTCGCTATAAACGCATGGCTGTGTGGGATGATGGGGCTGGGAATATGCGGAGGAGTGTAGGGAACCTCAAAGAGGTGTATTGTCTATGCACGTCAACCGCACAGCAATAGCCCTCACCAAATCACCCCATGCACCTCACGGCAATGCTGCGCTTCCAACAGTGCACAGAGAGCATTGATTGACGAGCATAGAGTACTGAACCTAGAGTGCCGAGCCTAGAGTGCCGAGCCTCGAGTGCCAAACCTAGAGTGCCGAGCTCTCACCTGACGGCAATGCTGCGCTTCCACCAGTGCACAAAGAGGTGTATTGTCTATGCACCTCAACCACACTGCAATTGCCCTCACCGCACCGCACCATATCACCCCACTCACCTGACGGCAATGCTGCGCTTCCACCAGTGCACAAAGAGGTCACCCCGGAGGTCCTCCTGCCAAGCAGAGCCACCACACAAACAACCACCGTTGGAGTTGTACAACTAGTACGGATGCACGGTTGAAGCAAGAGCAGGCGGGCTGTAAGGCTCTGCATGAACGCTCGTACCATACTTCGCTTACAAGCCCTCAATCGTCTCACCGTGAGGCTGTCCATGAGCTCAAACTTCTGTGATAGCTGCGCGTGCCATTGATTGCAACCCAAGAGGCTCTACATGCCTTTCAGCCCAAGAAGATCCCACTAAAAACCCACACACTCTCTCACCGTGAGGCTCTCCATGAGCTCAAACTTCTGTGATAGCTGCGCGTGCCATTGATTGCAACCCAAGAGGCTCTACATGCCTTTCAGCACAAGAAGATCCCACTAAAAACCCACACACTCTCTCACCGTGAGGCTCTCCATGAGCTCAAACTTCTGTGATAGCTGCGCGTGCCATTGATTGCAACCCAAGAGGCTCTACATGCCTTTCAGCCCAAGAAGATCCCACTAAAAACCCACACACTCTCTCACCGTGAGGCTCTCCATGAGCTCAAACTTCTGTGATAGCTGCGCGTGCCATTGATTGCAACCCAAGAGGCTCTACATGCCTTTCAGCCCAAGAAGATCCCACTAAAAACCCACACACTCTCTCACCGTGAGGCTCTCCATGAGCTCAAACTTCTGTGATAGCTGCGCGTGCCATTGATTGCAACCCAAGAGGCTCTACATGCCTTTCAGCACAAGAAGATCCCACTAAAAACCCACACACTCTCTCACCGTGAGGCTCTCCATGAGCTCAAACTTCTGTGATAGCTGCGCGTGCCATTGATTGCAACCCAAGAGGCTCTACATGCCTTTCAGCCCAAGAAGATCCCACTAAAAACCCACACACTCTCTCACCGTGAGGCTCTCCATGAGCTCAAACTTCTGTGATAGCTGCGCGTGCCATTGATTGCAACCCAAGAGGCTCTACATGCCTTTCAGCCCAAGAAGATCCCACTAAAAACCCACACACTCTCTCACCGTGAGGCTCTCCATGAGCTCAAACTTCTGTGATAGCTGCGCGTGCCATTGATTGCTACCCAAGAGGCTCTACATGCCTTTCAGCCCAAGAAGATCCCACTAAAAACCCACACACTCTCTCACCGTGAGGCTCTCCATGAGCTCAAACTCGTCAAACTTCTGCGACAGCTGCGCGTGCCACTGGCGGGTGAGGTGCACCATCTGCATGGGGGAAGATAGGAGTGGGGGGGGGGGGGGAGCGGGGAGACAGGAGGGAAAGATGGGGGGAGTTTGCATCTGCGGAAGCTGCTCGTGCCACTGACTGGCGGGTGAGATGCACCATCTGGGGAAGGAAGGAGGAGAAAAGGGGGGGAGACAGGAGGGAAATGGAGGGCTTTTGAGGCGGCCCAAAACTCGTCAAACCTCTGTGCGAGCGGCGCCTGCCACTGACGGTGACGGGCTAAATGCACCATGTGGGGGGGAGAAACAACAGGACCACAGGTGGAGACCGTCATCTCACTGGCAGGTACAGTCAGCCAAAACAAGGTGAACAGAAAGAACTCTGTCATTTTTCAGAGTTCTAACCCAGCAGTCTTCAGGGACTTACCAAGCGGCTGGCCAGCCATTCTGGAAGCTCCTCCCTCTCGATGAACCTGCAAAGAGGTAGGCAGGCAGGCGGGCAGGTGCTTGTGGGAGATCTCAACAACACCCTCCCTGCATGCAACTTCAGTCCAGGGACTTACCAAGCGGCTGGCCAGCCATTCTGGAAGCTCCTCCCTCTCGATGAACCTGCAAAGAGGTAGGCAGGCAGGCGGGCAGGCGGGCAGGCGGACGGGCGGACAGGCAGGCAATGGTGGGAGGTGAGAAGGGAAAACGGGGGGGAAGATTTGTGGAGTGGTTGAAAGCGAGGAGTCCTCTCTTTCGGCACGAAGCGGGAAGTGAGGGATGCAGACAGGTGAAGGGAGAAGGACGTCGACGGGAGAGGGATGGGGACGGGAGGGATGGGGACGGGAGGGATGGGGACGGGAGAGGGATGGGGACGGGAGAGGGATGGGGACGGGAGAGGGATGGGGATGGGAGGGATGGGGACGGGAGGGATGGGGACGGGAGAGGGATGGGGACGGGAGGGATGGGGACGGGAGGGATGGGGACGGGAGGGATGGGGACGGGAGGGATGGGGGCGGGGAGAAGGGCGAGAAACAAAGAGGGGTTGTTTGTTCACTGTGCATACATACGGATGGTTCCAGAGAGCATAGTGAGGAAGGCAAGGAGGAGAGGGGAAGAGGAGAGGGGAAGAGGAGAGGGGAAGAGGAGAGGGGAGGTACGCACTTGTGGAGTGTTCCAAAGCGCTGCCTTGCATTCTCCTGCCGCTCCCTGTTGGGGAGGAACAGGCAGGGGCAGAGGTAGAAGCAGAGGCAGAAGCAGAGGCAGAAGAAGAGGCAAAAGAAGAGGTTAAAGAGGGGTCAGAAGCGGTCGGACGAGGCATGGTATGCGGCACTGGCTTGTGGTACCCACACTAGTGCCGCATGAGGGGTTGAGTGGTACCTCAAAAGGGTTAAGGGGTTCAAAGAGGTTAAGAAGGGTTCATCTGTTGATACATACCCACACTAGTGCCGCATGAGGGGTTATTTGGTACCTTCAAAGGGTTTAGGGGTTTTAAATGGGCTAAGAAGGAAATTACCTGCTGGTGTAGTAGATCAGAGAGGTGATTTGGCCAACAGCTTATCTAACCATTTTGTAGGCGCCTCAAATAGCACGATAGCTGCGAGCAGGAGTAGATTAAGGCGAAGACGCGGTAGATTACCTGCTGGCGTAGATTAAGGAGGTGATTTGACCAACAGCGTAACCTAGCATGATGGCTGCGAGCAAGTTGTAAATGGTGCCAAAGATGCGCTCTGGTATGGTGTCCTGCGGGTATATGTCACCATATCCCACCTGCGGTAGTGCATGGGGCATGAAGGGAGGAGGAACAGAGAGCATAGCTCTGAGCATGCATGGCAAAGATGAGAGGAGCGATGGTGCCCTGAGGGTAGATGTCTCCATAGCCCACCTGCGGTGCATTGGACATAAGGTATGGGGGATGATGGCATGGGGAATGGGGCACGGGGCATGCTTGGGTTGTGGGCAAAGCAGAAATCTCAGAGGGAGAGAGGAGAGGGATAAGCGGAGTGGGACGTGATCTCTGCCTGAAAAAGGACCAGGGAGCAATAGACCAGGGAGCAATAGACCAGGGAGCAATAGACCAGGGAGCAATAGACCAGGGAGCAATAGACCAGGGAGCAATAGACCAGGGAGCAAAAGACCAGGGAGCAAAAGACCAAGGAGCAATAGACCAGGGAGCAATAGACCAGGGAGCAATAGACCAGGGAGCAATAGACCAGGGAGCAATAGACCAGGGAGCAATAGACCAGGGAGCAATAGACCAGGGAGCAATAGACCAGGGAGCAATAGACCAGGGAGCAATAGACCAGGGAGCAATAGACCAGGGAGCAATAGACCAGGGAGCAATAGACCAGGGAGCAATAGACCAGGGAGCAATAGACCAGGGAGCAATAGACCAGGGAGCAATAGACCAGGGAGCAATAGACCAGGGAGCAATAGACCAGGGAGCAATAGACCAGGGAGCAATAGACCAGGGAGCAATAGACCAGGGAGCAATAGACCAGGGAGCAATAGACCAGGGAGCAATAGACCAGGGAGCAATAGACCAGGGAGCAATAGACCAGGGAGCAATAGACCAGGGAGCAATAGACCAGGGAGCAATAGACCAGGGAGCAATAGACCAGGGAGCAATAGACCAGGGAGCAATAGACCAGGGAGCAATAGACCAGGGAGCAATAGACCAGGGAGCAATAGACCAGGGAGCAATAGACCAGGGAGCAATAGACCAGGGAGCAATAGACCAGGGAGCAATAGACCAGGGAGCAATAGACCAGGGAGCAATAGACCAGGGAGCAATAGACCAGGGAGCAATAGACCAGGGAGCAATAGACCAGGGAGCAATAGACCAGGGAGCAATAGACCAGGGAGCAATAGACCAGGGAGCAATAGACCAGGGAGCAATAGACCAGGGAGCAATAGACCAGGGAGCAATAGACCAGGGAGCAATAGACCAGGGAGCAATAGACCAGGGAGCAATAGACCAGGGAGCAATAGACCAGGGAGCAATAGACCAGGGAGCAATAGACCAGGGAGCAATAGACCAGGGAGCAATAGACCAGGGAGCAATAGACCAGGGAGCAATAGACCAGGGAGCAATAGACCAGGGAGCAATAGACCAGGGAGCAATAGACCAGGGAGCAATAGACCAGGGAGCAATAGACCAGGGAGCAATAGACCAGGGAGCAATAGACCAGGGAGCAATAGACCAGGGAGCAATAGACCAGGGAGCAATAGACCAGGGAGCAATAGACCAGGGAGCAATAGACCAGGGAGCAATAGACCAGGGAGCAATAGACCAGGGAGCAATAGACCAGGGAGCAATAGACCAGGGAGCAATAGACCAGGGAGCAATAGACCAGGGAGCAATAGACCAGGGAGCAATAGACCAGGGAGCAATAGACCAGGGAGCAATAGACCAGGGAGCAATAGACCAGGGAGCAATAGACCAGGGAGCAATAGACCAGGGAGCAATAGACCAGGGAGCAATAGACCAGGGAGCAATAGACCAGGGAGCAATAGACCAGGGAGCAATAGACCAGGGAGCAATAGACCAGGGAGCAATAGACCAGGGAGCAATAGACCAGGGAGCAATAGACCAGGGAGCAATAGACCAGGGAGCAATAGACCAGGGAGCAATAGACCAGGGAGCAATAGACCAGGGAGCAATAGACCAGGGAGCAATAGACCAGGGAGCAATAGACCAGGGAGCAATAGACCAGGGAGCAATAGACCAGGGAGCAATAGACCAGGGAGCAATAGACCAGGGAGCAATAGACCAGGGAGCAATAGACCAGGGAGCAATAGACCAGGGAGCAATAGACCAGGGAGCAATAGACCAGGGAGCAATAGACCAGGGAGCAATAGACCAGGGAGCAATAGACCAGGGAGCAATAGACCAGGGAGCAATAGACCAGGGAGCAATAGACCAGGGAGCAATAGACCAGGGAGCAATAGACCAGGGAGCAATAGACCAGGGAGCAATAGACCAGGGAGCAATAGACCAGGGAGCAATAGACCAGGGAGCAATAGACCAGGGAGCAATAGACCAGGGAGCAATAGACCAGGGAGCAATAGACCAGGGAGCAATAGACCAGGGAGCAATAGACCAGGGAGCAATAGACCAGGGAGCAATAGACCAGGGAGCAATAGACCAGGGAGCAATAGACCAGGGAGCAATAGACCAGGGAGCAATAGACCAGGGAGCAATAGACCAGGGAGCAATAGACCAGGGAGCAATAGACCAGGGAGCAATAGACCAGGGAGCAATAGACCAGGGAGCAATAGACCAGGGAGCAATAGACCAGGGAGCAATAGACCAGGGAGCAATAGACCAGGGAGCAATAGACCAGGGAGCAATAGACCAGGGAGCAATAGACCAGGGAGCAATAGACCAGGGAGCAATAGACCAGGGAGCAATAGACCAGGGAGCAATAGACCAGGGAGCAATAGACCAGGGAGCAATAGACCAGGGAGCAATAGACCAGGGAGCAATAGACCAGGGAGCAATAGACCAGGGAGCAATAGACCAGGGAGCAATAGACCAGGGAGCAATAGACCAGGGAGCAATAGACCAGGGAGCAATAGACCAGGGAGCAATAGACCAGGGAGCAATAGACCAGGGAGCAATAGACCAGGGAGCAATAGACCAGGGAGCAATAGACCAGGGAGCAATAGACCAGGGAGCAATAGACCAGGGAGCGATAGACCAGGGAGCGATAGACCAGGGAGCGATAGATCAGGGAGCAATAGACCAGGGAGCAATAGACCAGGGAGCAATAGACCAGGGAGCAATAGACCAGGGAGCAATAGACCAGGGAGCAATAGACCAGGGAGCAATAGACCAGGGAGCAATAGACCAGGGAGCAATAGACCAGGGAGCAATAGACCAGGGAGCAATAGACCAGGGAGCAATAGACCAGGGAGCAATAGACCAGGGAGCAATAGACCAGGGAGCAATAGACCAGGGAGCAATAGACCAGGGAGCAATAGACCAGGGAGCAATAGACCAGGGAGCAATAGACCAGGGAGCAATAGACCAGGGAGCAATAGACCAGGGAGCAATAGACCAGGGAGCAATAGACCAGGGAGCAATAGACCAGGGAGCAATAGACCAGGGAGCAATAGACCAGGGAGCAATAGACCAGGGAGCAATAGACCAGGGAGCAATAGACCAGGGAGCAATAGACCAGGGAGCAATAGACCAGGGAGCAATAGACCAGGGAGCAATAGACCAGGGAGCAATAGACCAGGGAGCAATAGACCAGGGAGCAATAGACCAGGGAGCAATAGACCAGGGAGCAATAGACCAGGGAGCAATAGACCAGGGAGCAATAGACCAGGGAGCAATAGACCAGGGAGCAATAGACCAGGGAGCAATAGACCAGGGAGCAATAGACCAGGGAGCAATAGACCAGGGAGCAATAGACCAGGGAGCAATAGACCAGGGAGCAATAGACCAGGGAGCAATAGACCAGGGAGCAATAGACCAGGGAGCAATAGACCAGGGAGCAATAGACCAGGGAGCAATAGACCAGGGAGCAATAGACCAGGGAGCAATAGACCAGGGAGCAATAGACCAGGGAGCAATAGACCAGGGAGCAATAGACCAGGGAGCAATAGACCAGGGAGCAATAGACCAGGGAGCAATAGACCAGGGAGCAATAGACCAGGGAGCAATAGACCAGGGAGCAATAGACCAGGGAGCAATAGACCAGGGAGCAATAGACCAGGGAGCAATAGACCAGGGAGCAATAGACCAGGGAGCAATAGACCAGGGAGCAATAGACCAGGGAGCAATAGACCAGGGAGCAATAGACCAGGGAGCAATAGACCAGGGAGCAATAGACCAGGGAGCAATAGACCAGGGAGCAATAGACCAGGGAGCAATAGACCAGGGAGCAATAGACCAGGGAGCAATAGACCAGGGAGCAATAGACCAGGGAGCAATAGACCAGGGAGCAATAGACCAGGGAGCAATAGACCAGGGAGCAATAGACCAGGGAGCAATAGACCAGGGAGCAATAGACCAGGGAGCAATAGACCAGGGAGCAATAGACCAGGGAGCAATAGACCAGGGAGCAATAGACCAGGGAGCAATAGACCAGGGAGCAATAGACCAGGGAGCAATAGACCAGGGAGCAATAGACCAGGGAGCAATAGACCAGGGAGCAATAGACCAGGGAGCAATAGACCAGGGAGCAATAGACCAGGGAGCAATAGACCAGGGAGCAATAGACCAGGGAGCAATAGACCAGGGAGCAATAGACCAGGGAGCAATAGACCAGGGAGCAATAGACCAGGGAGCAATAGACCAGGGAGCAATAGACCAGGGAGCAATAGACCAGGGAGCAATAGACCAGGGAGCAATAGACCAGGGAGCAATAGACCAGGGAGCAATAGACCAGGGAGCAATAGACCAGGGAGCAATAGACCAGGGAGCAATAGACCAGGGAGCAATAGACCAGGGAGCAATAGACCAGGGAGCAATAGACCAGGGAGCAATAGACCAGGGAGCAATAGACCAGGGAGCAATAGACCAGGGAGCAATAGACCAGGGAGCAATAGACCAGGGAGCAATAGACCAGGGAGCAATAGACCAGGGAGCAATAGACCAGGGAGCAATAGACCAGGGAGCAATAGACCAGGGAGCAATAGACCAGGGAGCAATAGACCAGGGAGCAATAGACCAGGGAGCAATAGACCAGGGAGCAATAGACCAGGGAGCAATAGACCAGGGAGCAATAGACCAGGGAGCAATAGACCAGGGAGCAATAGACCAGGGAGCAATAGACCAGGGAGCAATAGACCAGGGAGCAATAGACCAGGGAGCAATAGACCAGGGAGCGATAGACCAGGGAGCGATAGACCAGGGAGCGATAGACCAGGGAGCGATAGACCAGGGAGCGATAGACCAGGGAGCGATAGACCAGGGAGAGATAGACCAGGGAGCGATAGATCAGGGAGCGATAGACCAGGGAGCGATAGACCAGGGAGCGATAGGCCAGGGAGCAATAGACCAGGGAGCAATAGACCAGGGAGCAATAGACCAGGGAGCAATAGACCAGGGAGCAATAGACCAGGGAGCAATAGACCAGGGAGCAATAGACCAGGGAGCAATAGACCAGGGAGCAATAGACCAGGGAGCAATAGACCAGGGAGCAATAGACCAGGGAGCAATAGACCAGGGAGCAATAGACCAGGGAGCAATAGACCAGGGAGCAATAGACCAGGGAGCAATAGACCAGGGAGCAATAGACCAGGGAGCAATAGACCAGGGAGCAATAGACCAGGGAGCAATAGACCAGGGAGCAATAGACCAGGGAGCAATAGACCAGGGAGCAATAGACCAGGGAGCAATAGACCAGGGAGCAATAGACCAGGGAGCAATAGACCAGGGAGCAATAGACCAGGGAGCAATAGACCAGGGAGCAATAGACCAGGGAGCAATAGACCAGGGAGCAATAGACCAGGGAGCAATAGACCAGGGAGCAATAGACCAGGGAGCAATAGACCAGGGAGCAATAGACCAGGGAGCAATAGACCAGGGAGCAATAGACCAGGGAGCAATAGACCAGGGAGCAATAGACCAGGGAGCAATAGACCAGGGAGCAATAGACCAGGGAGCAATAGACCAGGGAGCAATAGACCAGGGAGCAATAGACCAGGGAGCAATAGACCAGGGAGCAATAGACCAGGGAGCAATAGACCAGGGAGCAATAGACCAGGGAGCAATAGACCAGGGAGCAATAGACCAGGGAGCAATAGACCAGGGAGCAATAGACCAGGGAGCAATAGACCAGGGAGCAATAGACCAGGGAGCAATAGACCAGGGAGCAATAGACCAGGGAGCAATAGACCAGGGAGCAATAGACCAGGGAGCAATAGACCAGGGAGCAATAGACCAGGGAGCAATAGACCAGGGAGCAATAGACCAGGGAGCAATAGACCAGGGAGCAATAGACCAGGGAGCAATAGACCAGGGAGCAATAGACCAGGGAGCAATAGACCAGGGAGCAATAGACCAGGGAGCAATAGACCAGGGAGCAATAGACCAGGGAGCAATAGACCACGGAGCAATAGACCACGGAGCAATAGATGGGCCGCCATGTAGGCGATAAGCGGTGGCGCCGTTTCCAGTTTTAAACTTTTTCCAAAGGAGGAAAGTGGCTGAGAGAATATGGGTTGAAAACTCTCTGAGGCGAAGGTGACCGTGGACCAATAGATGGCCGCCACGTAGGCGACAGATGGACATGGTAATCGGCATGCAAGGGTAGGGATGAGAGGTGAGTGGCATAGACCTCACCGAGGCAAAGGTGACCATGGACCAATAGATGGCCGCCACGTAGGCGATGAACGGCGGCGCTGTTTCCAGCGGCTGCGCCTCGCCGTTGTCGTCCCAGAAGAAATTGGCGAGCCACGATTGGCCGTCTGGCTCGAGCCGGCCAATCAGAGCGAAGGTGCAGGCGCCCACGTGGCAGAACATGCAGATCTGGGAGTATTGGGGAGACAAGGACAGAGTGAGTGTGGTTTGAGTCGACCCTACACATGCACCCAGTTGCTGCCACGTAAAGAACATGCCTCCAGTCTGGGGCTCCATTGGACCCTGAACATGCCTCCATTGCCCACGTGGCAGCCGAACATGCAGATCTGAGGCGGATCAGTGAGTGAGGGAGACGGGGGAGGTGGGGGCAGAGCGAGTGAGCAGAGTGGGGCATGCGGTAGGGGTTTGTTTGAGGCGCCTCAAAAGCACGCACCCACGTGGCAGAACATGCAGATCTGGGGCGGACGGAGGGACAGAAGACGGGGCAGAAAAAGGGACAGAAGACGGGGCAGAAAAAGGGACAGAAGACGGGGCAGAAAAAGGGACAGAAGACGGGGCAGAAAAGGGACAGAAGACGGGGCAGAAAAAGGGACAGACAGAAGACGGGGCAGAAAAAGGGACAGAAGACGGGGCAGAGTGGGGAGACGGGGGGAGAACGAGTGAGCAGAAGGAAGCAATCCAGTCCTTTCTTTGTTGACTCTAAACGCGCCGGTTACGTGGGAGAAGATGCAGATCTGGGGCGGACGGAGGGACAGAAGACGGGGGAGATGGGGGAGAAGACAGGAGCAGGTGGGGGAAGCAGGGGCGGATGGGGTGAGGCGGGGTAGGCAGGGGTAGATGAAAGAATGCAGTGGAGAGGGGGACATGGACGTGCATCCATGAGAGGGTGAGTGAGTGAGTGAGGGTGATATCTTGAAAGCCTGATTACCTCAACTATCTCATGTGAAACATGTGTAGTGGTCTCACCACCCTGAGCGTCACCCGCCCACCCACCCCCTTTAGTGACTGGTGAGCACCCACACACCTGCAGGATGAGCACGGTGAGCTCCATCCATGTGGAGCGCAGGAAGGACGTTCTGAGCTGGCCCGTGGCGTTGAGCAGGCGGCGCATGCGGAAGAGCTTCAGCGCTCGGAACACCTGGAGCAGAGTAGGGTAGGGTAAGAGTGGGGCAGGGTAGGGCCAGAAAGGGCAGGAGCAGGGCAGGGTAGGGCCAGAAAGGGCAGGAGCAGGGCAGGGCAGAGTGGGTGTTGAGGGAGATGATGATGGGACTGAGCTAAGCTAGGAGCACGTAGCACTACCAACGCACTCACGCACTCAACCACCTTAAGTCCTCCCGGTGGAGATCCAGAAGCCGGAGGAGGAGGTGGTGGTGAGGGAGATGATGAGATGATGATTTGGCATTCAGTGAGAATGGCAAGTAAAACTCTCAGCAGCTCCCTTACCAGCACAGCACTCAAGCACTCACGGTGGAGATCCAGAAGCCGGAGGAGGAGGTGGTGGTGAGGGAGATGATGAGATGGTGTGTTCTATGGTCATTCAGCCACAGGAGATTAGGCGGGGAACGAGAGGAGAGGAATGAGTGGAGGAGGGCATCAGTGGTGAGAAAAGAAAGTAGCACCCCCAGCAGCACTCATCCACTCTCAATCACTCACGGTGGAGATCCAGAAGCCGGAGGAGGAGGTGGTGGTGAGGGAGATGATGAGATGGTGTGTTCTATGGTCATTCAGCCACAGGAGATTAGGCGGGGAACGAGAGGAGAGGAATGAGTGGAGGAGGGCATCAGTGGTGAGAAAAGAAAGTAGCACCCCCAGCAGCACTCATCCACTCTCAATCACTCACGGTGGAGATCCAGAAGCCGGAGGAGGAGGTGGTGGTGAGGGAGATGATGAGATGGTGTGTTCTATGGTCATTCAGCCACAGGAGATTAGGCGGGGAACGAGAGGAGAGGAATGAGTGGAGGAGGGCATCAGTGGTGAGAAAAGAAAGTAGCACCCCCAGCAGCACTCATCCACTCTCAATCACTCACGGTGGAGATCCAGAAGCCGGAGGAGGAGGTGGTGGTGAGGGAGATGATGAGATCCATGGGCAGGGAGGAGAGCAGGTCGAGTAGGAACCACGTGCGCAGGTAATGCCACACTATGCGCCGCTGATGGGGGAAGTAGGGCGGGGAAAGATGCAGGGATAAGGCAGGTGCAGGGAAAGGGGGGGCACGGGATGATGAGGTGCATTCATCCATGGGCAGGGAGGAGAGCAGGTCGAGTAGGAACCACGTGCGCAGGTAGTGCCACACTATGCGCCGCTGAGGGGGGGTAGTAGGGAGAGATGGGGCAGGGGATGAGAGGGCAAGGAGAAGGGAATGAACGAAGTGCACAGGAAAAGGGGAGAGCAGGTCGAGCCGGAACCACATGCGCAGGTGCCACTCTATGCCACTCTATGCCACTCTATGCCACTCTATGCCACTCTATGCCACTCTATGCCACTCTATGCCACTCTATGCCACTCTATGCCACTCTATGCCACTCTATGCCACTCTATGCCACTCTATGCCACTCTATGCCACTCTATGCCACTCTATGCCACTCTATGCCACTCTATGCCACTCTATGCCACTCTATGCCACTCTATGCCACTCTATGCCACTCTATGCCACTCTATGCCACTCTATGCCACTCTATGCCACTCTATGCCACTCTATGCCACTCTATGCCACTCTATGCCACTCTATGCCACTCTATGCCACTCTATGCCACTCTATGCCACTCTATGCCACTCTATGCCACTCTATGCCACTCTATGCCACTCTATGCCACTCTATGCCACTCTATGCCACTCTATGCCACTCTATGCCACTCTATGCCACTCTATGCCACTCTATGCCACTCTATGCCACTCTATGCCACTCTATGCCACTCTATGCCACTCTATGCCACTCTATGCCACTCTATGCCACTCTATGCCACTCTATGCCACTCTATGCCACTCTATGCCACTCTATGCCACTCTATGCCACTCTATGCCACTCTATGCCACTCTATGCCACTCTATGCCACTCTATGCCACTCTATGCCACTCTATGCCACTCTATGCCACTCTATGCCACTCTATGCCACTCTATGCCACTCTATGCCACTCTATGCCACTCTATGCCACTCTATGCCACTCTATGCCACTCTATGCCACTCTATGCCACTCTATGCCACTCTATGCCACTCTATGCCACTCTATGCCACTCTATGCCACTCTATGCCACTCTATGCCACTCTATGCCACTCTATGCCACTCTATGCCACTCTATGCCACTCTATGCCACTCTATGCCACTCTATGCCACTCTATGCCACTCTATGCCACTCTATGCCACTCTATGCCACTCTATGCCACTCTATGCCACTCTATGCCACTCTATGCCACTCTATGCCACTCTATGCCACTCTATGCCACTCTATGCCACTCTATGCCACTCTATGCCACTCTATGCCACTCTATGCCACTCTATGCCACTCTATGCCACTCTATGCCACTCTATGCCACTCTATGCCACTCTATGCCACTCTATGCCACTCTATGCCACTCTATGCCACTCTATGCCACTCTATGCCACTCTATGCCACTCTATGCCACTCTATGCCACTCTATGCCACTCTATGCCACTCTATGCCACTCTATGCCACTCTATGCCACTCTATGCCACTCTATGCCACTCTATGCCACTCTATGCCACTCTATGCCACTCTATGCCACTCTATGCCACTCTATGCCACTCTATGCCACTCTATGCCACTCTATGCCACTCTATGCCACTCTATGCCACTCTATGCCACTCTATGCCACTCTATGCCACTCTATGCCACTCTATGCCACTCTATGCCACTCTATGCCACTCTATGCCACTCTATGCCACTCTATGCCACTCTATGCCACTCTATGCCACTCTATGCCACTCTATGCCACTCTATGCCACTCTATGCCACTCTATGCCACTCTATGCCACTCTATGCCACTCTATGCCACTCTATGCCACTCTATGCCACTCTATGCCACTCTATGCCACTCTATGCCACTCTATGCCACTCTATGCCACTCTATGCCACTCTATGCCACTCTATGCCACTCTATGCCACTCTATGCCACTCTATGCCACTCTATGCCACTCTATGCCACTCTATGCCACTCTATGCCACTCTATGCCACTCTATGCCACTCTATGCCACTCTATGCCACTCTATGCCACTCTATGCCACTCTATGCCACTCTATGCCACTCTATGCCACTCTATGCCACTCTATGCCACTCTATGCCACTCTATGCCACTCTATGCCACTCTATGCCACTCTATGCCACTCTATGCCACTCTATGCCACTCTATGCCACTCTATGCCACTCTATGCCACTCTATGCCACTCTATGCCACTCTATGCCACTCTATGCCACTCTATGCCACTCTATGCCACTCTATGCCACTCTATGCCACTCTATGCCACTCTATGCCACTCTATGCCACTCTATGCCACTCTATGCCACTCTATGCCACTCTATGCCACTCTATGCCACTCTATGCCACTCTATGCCACTCTATGCCACTCTATGCCACTCTATGCCACTCTATGCCACTCTATGCCACTCTATGCCACTCTATGCCACTCTATGCCACTCTATGCCACTCTATGCCACTCTATGCCACTCTATGCCACTCTATGCCACTCTATGCCACTCTATGCCACTCTATGCCACTCTATGCCACTCTATGCCACTCTATGCCACTCTATGCCACTCTATGCCACTCTATGCCACTCTATGCCACTCTATGCCACTCTATGCCACTCTATGCCACTCTATGCCACTCTATGCCACTCTATGCCACTCTATGCCACTCTATGCCACTCTATGCCACTCTATGCCACTCTATGCCACTCTATGCCACTCTATGCCACTCTATGCCACTCTATGCCACTCTATGCCACTCTATGCCACTCTATGCCACTCTATGCCACTCTATGCCACTCTATGCCACTCTATGCCACTCTATGCCACTCTATGCCACTCTATGCCACTCTATGCCACTCTATGCCACTCTATGCCACTCTATGCCACTCTATGCCACTCTATGCCACTCTATGCCACTCTATGCCACTCTATGCCACTCTATGCCACTCTATGCCACTCTATGCCACTCTATGCCACTCTATGCCACTCTATGCCACTCTATGCCACTCTATGCCACTCTATGCCACTCTATGCCACTCTATGCCACTCTATGCCACTCTATGCCACTCTATGCCACTCTATGCCACTCTATGCCACTCTATGCCACTCTATGCCACTCTATGCCACTCTATGCCACTCTATGCCACTCTATGCCACTCTATGCCACTCTATGCCACTCTATGCCACTCTATGCCACTCTATGCCACTCTATGCCACTCTATGCCACTCTATGCCACTCTATGCCACTCTATGCCACTCTATGCCACTCTATGCCACTCTATGCCACTCTATGCCACTCTATGCCACTCTATGCCACTCTATGCCACTCTATGCCACTCTATGCCACTCTATGCCACTCTATGCCACTCTATGCCACTCTATGCCACTCTATGCCACTCTATGCCACTCTATGCCACTCTATGCCACTCTATGCCACTCTATGCCACTCTATGCCACTCTATGCCACTCTATGCCACTCTATGCCACTCTATGCCACTCTATGCCACTCTATGCCACTCTATGCCACTCTATGCCACTCTATGCCACTCTATGCCACTCTATGCCACTCTATGCCACTCTATGCCACTCTATGCCACTCTATGCCACTCTATGCCACTCTATGCCACTCTATGCCACTCTATGCCACTCTATGCCACTCTATGCCACTCTATGCCACTCTATGCCACTCTATGCCACTCTATGCCACTCTATGCCACTCTATGCCACTCTATGCCACTCTATGCCACTCTATGCCACTCTATGCCACTCTATGCCACTCTATGCCACTCTATGCCACTCTATGCCACTCTATGCCACTCTATGCCACTCTATGCCACTCTATGCCACTCTATGCCACTCTATGCCACTCTATGCCACTCTATGCCACTCTATGCCACTCTATGCCACTCTATGCCACTCTATGCCACTCTATGCCACTCTATGCCACTCTATGCCACTCTATGCCACTCTATGCCACTCTATGCCACTCTATGCCACTCTATGCCACTCTATGCCACTCTATGCCACTCTATGCCACTCTATGCCACTCTATGCCACTCTATGCCACTCTATGCCACTCTATGCCACTCTATGCCACTCTATGCCACTCTATGCCACTCTATGCCACTCTATGCCACTCTATGCCACTCTATGCCACTCTATGCCACTCTATGCCACTCTATGCCACTCTATGCCACTCTATGCCACTCTATGCCACTCTATGCCACTCTATGCCACTCTATGCCACTCTATGCCACTCTATGCCACTCTATGCCACTCTATGCCACTCTATGCCACTCTATGCCACTCTATGCCACTCTATGCCACTCTATGCCACTCTATGCCACTCTATGCCACTCTATGCCACTCTATGCCACTCTATGCCACTCTATGCCACTCTATGCCACTCTATGCCACTCTATGCCACTCTATGCCACTCTATGCCACTCTATGCCACTCTATGCCACTCTATGCCACTCTATGCCACTCTATGCCACTCTATGCCACTCTATGCCACTCTATGCCACTCTATGCCACTCTATGCCACTCTATGCCACTCTATGCCACTCTATGCCACTCTATGCCACTCTATGCCACTCTATGCCACTCTATGCCACTCTATGCCACTCTATGCCACTCTATGCCACTCTATGCCACTCTATGCCACTCTATGCCACTCTATGCCACTCTATGCCACTCTATGCCACTCTATGCCACTCTATGCCACTCTATGCCACTCTATGCCACTCTATGCCACTCTATGCCACTCTATGCCACTCTATGCCACTCTATGCCACTCTATGCCACTCTATGCCACTCTATGCCACTCTATGCCACTCTATGCCACTCTATGCCACTCTATGCCACTCTATGCCACTCTATGCCACTCTATGCCACTCTATGCCACTCTATGCCACTCTATGCCACTCTATGCCACTCTATGCCACTCTATGCCACTCTATGCCACTCTATGCCACTCTATGCCACTCTATGCCACTCTATGCCACTCTATGCCACTCTATGCCACTCTATGCCACTCTATGCCACTCTATGCCACTCTATGCCACTCTATGCCACTCTATGCCACTCTATGCCACTCTATGCCACTCTATGCCACTCTATGCCACTCTATGCCACTCTATGCCACTCTATGCCACTCTATGCCACTCTATGCCACTCTATGCCACTCTATGCCACTCTATGCCACTCTATGCCACTCTATGCCACTCTATGCCACTCTATGCCACTCTATGCCACTCTATGCCACTCTATGCCACTCTATGCCACTCTATGCCACTCTATGCCACTCTATGCCACTCTATGCCACTCTATGCCACTCTATGCCACTCTATGCCACTCTATGCCACTCTATGCCACTCTATGCCACTCTATGCCACTCTATGCCACTCTATGCCACTCTATGCCACTCTATGCCACTCTATGCCACTCTATGCCACTCTATGCCACTCTATGCCACTCTATGCCACTCTATGCCACTCTATGCCACTCTATGCCACTCTATGCCACTCTATGCCACTCTATGCCACTCTATGCCACTCTATGCCACTCTATGCCACTCTATGCCACTCTATGCCACTCTATGCCACTCTATGCCACTCTATGCCACTCTATGCCACTCTATGCCACTCTATGCCACTCTATGCCACTCTATGCCACTCTATGCCACTCTATGCCACTCTATGCCACTCTATGCCACTCTATGCCACTCTATGCCACTCTATGCCACTCTATGCCACACTCTATTCACCCCGCCCACCTCCTCCACCCTCCCCTCTCCCCCCTCCCCCCTCCCCCCTCCCAAGCAACGCACCTGCTCCAGGACAATATGCTGTGGCTGCAATATCTTGATGCCATCACTTGTGCGCACATGCCGCTCCCTCGTCACGTACCTGTTGTGGGGATACAGGCATTCACGGATTCAGGGACACAAGCAAGCTTTTGAGTCGACTCAAAAGCGTACCTGTTGTGGGGATACAGGCATTCAGGGAGGCAAGCAAGCGATCTGCTCAAGAAAGTGAAAGGTTCACCCCGTCTTAAAGCCCAGGAGGCCGTCTATGCGGTAGATGGCGGAGAGGGTGGAGCGGAGGGGGGGGCAAGTGAGCAGTGGTGCCTGGATAGACAGATGGGCTTACCCGGTCTTAAAGCCCAGGAGGGTGGAGAGCCCAGGAGGAGGAGGTCTTAAAGCCCAGGAGGCCGTCTATGCGGTAGATGGCGGAGAGGGTGGAGTGAGGGAGAGGAGTGGGCAGGGGTGGTTAAGGGCAGGTGGGTGATAAATAACTTGCTCCAGAAGGAAAGAGGAAGGGGTAAAGAGAAAGGCTTACCCGGTCTTAAAGCCCATGAACATGTCAGTGAGTGAGGTAGATGGTGGAGAGGGTGGGGTGGAGGGAGGGGGCAGTGGGCAATGGTGGTTGAGAGGGAGTGACCCGGTTTTGAGGCCCAGAAAGAAGTCTATGAGGTAGATGGCGGAGAGGGTGGAGGGAAGGGAGGGGAGGGGGCAGTGGTGCTCCAGAAGGAAGGAGGAAGGGGTAGAGAGGAAGCCTCACCCGGTCTTAAAGCCCAGGAAGACGTCGGTGAGGTAGATGGCGGAGAGGGTGGAGTCAACAATGAGCCATGCGCCCGTGGAGCGCAGGTCAAAGGCGATCTGGAAGAGCACCTCCCACTGCCAGGTGTGGTGCAGTGGGAAGGTGTGGTGGGAGGGGCACACATGGGGGAGTGTGTGAGGGAAGGTTTGAGGGTGCACAGGAGGGGGTTAGGGTGGAATCAACGATGAACCATGCGCCCGTGGAGCACAGGTCAAAGGCGATCTGGAAGAGCACCTCCCACTGGCGGGGCGAGGGTGCGGTAAGGGGTGGAATAGGAGAGGGTGGGTGGGTGTGAGAGCGTTGAGTTGACTTGACGATGAGCCATGCGCCCGTGGAGTGACAAGCTCCTTATCACACATTCCCTTCTCCCCTTTCCTCTTCCCTCCCCCAGACGAACAAGCTCACCATGTTGTAGAGGCTACATGCGGCCAACAAGCACGTTGATATCACGGCAGAACCTTGAGTAGGGGTGAATGATGGGAGGGGATGCGCATAACACACCTGCTCGCCCTTCCCCGACCACACCACTCACCATGTTGTAGAGAATGCAGGCGCCCACAAGCAAGTTGATATCACGGCGGAACCTTGAGTAGGGGTGGATGATGGGGATGCGCATTCGCCTCATCAGCCACAGCATCCACAGATACACCACATAGCACACCCCCTCGCCCTTCCCCACCTCCACCCACCGCCCTCCGCCGTTCCCATCCCCCCACAATCACCATGTTGTAGAGAATGCAGGCGCCCACAAGCAAGTTGATATCACGGCGGAACCTCGAGTAGGGGTGGATGATGGGAATCCGCATTCGCCTCATCAGCCACAGCATCCACCGGTACAGCACGTAGCACACCCCCTCGCCTTCCCGAGGCGGGGTGGACGGCACGGGCCCAACCTTCTCAGGTACGGGCTGGTTCAGGTACGTGGCCCATGCAGGGTTCGACCAGCACCCGCCTCCCCTCTCTCCGTCTTCCGCTCCGCTTCCTCGCCCTCCTCTCCCTTCTCTCCCTCCGCTCCCTCCTCTCCCTCCTCTCCCATCCCCCGCCCCTCGCAATCCGCGCCCCCTTCTCCTTCCCAACACCCTGCTCCCCGCGCTTCTCCCTCCGCCCTCCTCCCCGTTTCCCTCTCTCCCCCCTCCCTCTCTCTCCTCCTCCTCGAGTTCACCAGGGGGCGAGTCAGGCGAATCATGGCGCCAGGAACTCTGGAGGAAGCTAGCAACATGCCTGAAGCTCCTGCTGCTCGCGCTGACGATACCGCCCCAACCCTCTCCTGCTCCTCCCGGGGTATCCCTGTCGGGGGAATCAGGGCCCCACCTCACTTGCAGCCGTGATTTCCGCTTGCTCTGCTCTCCCGTGGTATCCCTGTCGGGCGAGTCTGGCCCCCACCTCACTCGCAGCCGTGATTTCCGCTTGAAAGAACGTTGACGATTTCCGTTAACGTCAGTCTCGTCGTCTGGTTGTCCGTCAGGCTTGGTTTCGCCCTCCTGGTCGTCGTCTTGTCGCCCGTCCGGTCTGATCTCACCGCCCTCACCATGCGATATGCTCTCCGCCGCTCGGACTAGTCTAGACGACGCGCTCCTGTCGCTCGCCGCGTCGCCAGCGACACTCCGTCGTCCAGACGACTCTTCGGATCGCCCAGACGCAACTTCCACTAGCTCTGCCTCTCCGTCGATCGTCTCAAAAACACCGTCCAGTTGGCCGAACGACGATCTCAGTCGCCCAGGCGACGCTTCCAGTCGCCCGGGCGACGCTTCCAGTCGCCAGGACGACGATTCCCGTCGCTCAACGGCAGAGCCGGAACGGGCGGAGTGCAGACTACGGCTACTATTGCCGACAGAGCGAAGACTCAGAGAATCTAGAACTGGGCTGCGAAGACCAGCAGAGTTCTGCGCCGCTATTGTCGCCGGAGATCGCGGAATCGGTTCGAGCGCCGCGGCAGATCGTGACCGTCCGTGCTGCTGACGTTGACGATGGCGCCTGCTGCCGGCCGATCCGCCGGCAGAAGCGGCGAAGCTGCGGGAGCTGAGAGAGGTGAGGAAGGAATCGGGCGTGCGGAAGGAGTCAGCGGCGCGGAAGGAGTCAGGCGCGCGGAAGGAGTCAGCCGTGCGGAGGGAATCAGGCTCGCGAAAGAAATCAGGCGCGCGGAAGGAATCAGGCGCGCGGAATAAGTTAGGCGCGTGGGAAGCGTCAGGCGTGCGGGGAGGATTAGGCGTGTGAGAGGAGTCAGGTGTATGAGAGGGCTCAGGCGCGTGAGAGGGGTTGGAGCGCATTTCGCGGGAGATGAGAGGCTGCATGCAGGGAATGCAGGAGACGCCACGATGGCCATTGCCGCAGCCATGGAACGCATCGAGCTCCGCGTCGCTGCAGAACGACACTCTCTCGCGATCGCTCGAGTCGCCACTGCTTGTCGCAAGGCCGCTGAACGACAGATTGAGATTTCGTGAAGCTGCTTGGCCTGTTCCGTCCCCTCTGGCTCTCGTCTCCCTCTCTCTCTTTTCTTCATCTCTCGTCGCTCTGCTTTCACGTGAGCTTCTACGAGCCGGTTGCGAGGCTAGGTCATCTGTGGTAAGCGACCGTGAGAGCTTCGACAGACCCCCCACACCGACCATGACCTTCGAGTCGACTCAAAAGTCAGGGTGAAGCTCCAGGAGCGGACTGCGAGGGTCGGTCATCTGTGCGAAGCGACCGTGACAGCTTCGGAAACCAGCCACCCTGACCATGTGGATGGTGGAGTTGGAAACGAGAACAATGGCGTAGGGCTGACGGAGAAAACTCGTTAAAGCATCAGTGATTGTTGCACACTACACTCCCGTCGGCTCAGCCACCTGCTAGTAACGCAGTAGAAATAACCTAACGTAAATACTACTGACACTTGAAAAAACAAGCGCTGTACCGCAATGTCAGAAGAACCTGAATCGTCCACTTATGTAGAATGAATAACTAGCTCGCGCTGCGACTACCGAAAGTGGATGTTGTTTGACAATATGTTGGGCCACGGACGAATTATTTCATTCGAAGCAGCATCTCGTAAAAAAAGTGTGAGATACTAGTTTCCTGCTTTAGATTTCTAGGTTGCAGCCTCAGAATGGATGAGCGGTAAAGACGTGCCTGCTAGGATACACATTAGGCAAAATAAAGCCTAAGGTTTGCTCTGTCATGAAGCGCGGTTCGTGTTGGGGTTGCATCATGGTCAAGTAGGGTCCTAAGTTACCACCATTTCTGACCATGGCAGACCAGACTGAACCGAGCAATTGCCGTTCCAGCCTAACAACCGCGTGTTTTTGGGATTGCGAATCAGGTTTCCAACCCCAAGTCCGCGAGGATGCAAAACATTTTCCTGACCGCAACTCTCATCCATAGTTTTCCTTCCGCAATTGGGGAGTTGACTTGCGTTGAGTAGCAAGCTGTATACCGTGGTTCTGCCAGTAAGGCTGGCCAAGCTGGAGTCAAACCTCCACTAAACAGAACGACGGTATACAGTACGGAGCTGCCCAAAACGAGCAACTGTACAGCTGTAACGAGGACTGGAACGCAACTGTTCAGTCATTCAGCCAGTCGCACAGCAGTCAGAACGGGACAACGCCGTTCCCCCACACAGTGGCCAAGGTTGGAGCTCCCAGGTAGACCACCGTACTCAGCCGCTCTCAAATTTGTTGAGAATGCTCTTAATCGCAAAATATCTTACCAACTAATCGTGCTGGACGCCATAGCCCATGGGACGGCGAGAGCCACACAAACCCGCCCCGCCACTGTCGTGGGGAGGAGTGCGCGGGACGACGTGACGTGTGTACATCCATAGTTGGAGTGCCAGATCGGATAACTACACCTCGTTACTGTATCCTCTCCACGCGGCAGTGGGTGGTCACATACATTTGTGTATTTGATGGTTGAGCCGGGTCGTAGAAACCGTACCTGTATGACAATGGAGAATGCCGTGCCGCGTACAATAGGTCAAGAGGTTGGGCTCGTTTAGCTGCTCATAAACAACGGTTGAGTATGATTTGAAGCGGTTTACCGCTTCACAACTTTGAACTTCCGCTGTGCTTTGCTCACAGCAGCCTGAACATTCATGTGTGAAGTGTGACGAACCTTCATAAACGGTAACTCTGGACCCACGCTCTGATTCTCCATGTCCATGGAGCATGTGTGATTGGTGATTTTAGTTCTGACCCGTCAGGCACATTGGCAGTCATATGTTTCAGGCCAGCCACGACTGTCTCTTAGAAAGCTTGCTTGTCAGGTTTTCAGTAGAAGTGCGCAGTCAAGATAAATAGCAAAAATTAGACTAGCTATTTAAAGTGACTAAATGACGACAGCAGCGACGCGGGACGTCGAAGAAGCCGAAACCGAAGCATTAGGACCAAGGTATGGCCTTACCGGGCTCTCGAGTTTTGTTGTCTCCACCATTGGTGTCAAGTCTGCATTATTTAACCACATTCCGTCAAGCCTGGTCATTGCCATCAGGATGTTCCCACTATGTTTGTTTGCTTATTTGTTTTTCCCCTTCTTTTTAGATATTTTTCCGAAGTGTAGCTTTCGAACCTGGCGTAATGGAGTCATTGCTAAAAAATCTTCTCTTCCTTCAATGTTTTATCATGTGTTTTCCTGCGTGTAACTACTAATCATGAACTGGGGAAGCAGAACTACTATGGCGGAAGAGCAAATGAAGGCCACGACGGACAATGCCGACCCTTCAGGAGGCTCGCTTCGCTTTACAAAAGGAAACTGGCTGCACTCTGTTTCCACCAGCAACCAACCTGAGCACCCTGAGAATTCGCCTGGACTCTGGCACCGTTTCAAGCACGTCAATTCGCGTTCCTTCCTCGCGTGGCTCCGCCCTCAGATTACCTTCTATCGAATCCACTTCCTCTCCTTCGTTATAGTTGACCTAATCGCTGCTCTGATCATGATCGCCACTCCGGCCGGCAGCCTCGGCAAAATCTCCTTCATAGACGCACTCTTTAACTGCACATCCGCACTGACCGTAACAGGTCTTGCGTCCGTCCGTATGAACGTGTTTTCCACATTCGATCAGGTGCTGCTGCTGCTGCTCATGATGGTCGGCAGTGCCATTTTCACATCCCTTGTCCCGGTCCTCATCAGAAGACACTATTTCCTGAAGCACCTGCGAGAGGAGGAAGCTAAGGGCGCGGTCCCACTGCTTTCGACGACATCAGATGTCAGGGAAAAGGCGGGCAGAAGCAACAGGATTGGGCTTGCAAGGTCAGAGAGTGTGCTGACCCGAGGCGAGAACAACGACGCGTTTATCCGGCACGCCATGGAGAAAATGGAGGCCGAGAGGCAGAGGGAAGCAGAGGAGTGGGAGAGAATGAGGGAGAGGGAAAGGGTGGCCGCCGGTGGTGGGGAGGGAGGAGAGGCGGGGGATGAGGAAAGCGGGTTTGGGAGAAACCCCCCTCTGACTCCTTTGCAGAGAAAGCTATCCAGAGCGCTGACGACTGTGTCTCGGATTTCATCGGAACCTGTGGGGTATGCTCACTCTGGCCGAGGCCACATGCAGAGCCATTTCATGCAGAGCCATAGCACGCAGAGCCATGGCACGCAGAGCCATGGCATGCAGGGTGATAGCAGCACGCGTCACAGCATGCAGCACGGCAGCATGCCGCACCATGACTCTGCTGCTGCGGCCCCGTGTCTCCCCCGCGGTGGCTCCAATGCGGTTCACAGCGTGGCGAGCGGGCGGAATCGGCCGAGCACTGGGGGGATTGCGGAGGAGCATCCGGAGGAGTATGGGGAGGAGGGGGGCGAGGGGGCAGGCCTGGCACGGGGGGATTGGGAGCAGCCTGGGCAGGAGGAGGCAGTGGCACCTTTCGAGAGACGGTTCGTTGAGCTCAGGTGAGTTTTGGGTGTGGGGGATGAAGGAGGGGGACAAAAGGGGAAGATTTATATGGGGAGGAAGGTGGCGAGGGGGCAGGGGGCGATTGGGAGCAGCCCGGGCAAGAGGAGGCAGTGGCACCTTTTGAGAGACGGTTTGTTGAGCTCAGGTGAGTTTGCGTGGGGAGGGTGTGAAAGAAGGGTGGAAAAGAAAAGGGGAAGGGGGGTATGGGGGCGAAGGGGCAGGGAGCGACTCGGAGCAGCTCGATACAGTGACGCCTTTTATAAGACGGTTCGATCAACTCAGGTGAGTGTGTGCGGGTGTGGGGGAATGGAGGGGGATGAAGTGGGATAGGAGTATCGGCAGGAGGGGATGGATGGAGGAGAGGGGGCAGGAGGAATGGGAGCAACTGTGGGGGAAAAGGAGACTGTGCTAAGCTTCGCCTCCCCTTCTCTCTTCCCACCTTGCAGGGCCCTGGAGCTGCTGAGCTGGCTGGTGCCTGTGTACTTCTTTGGCACCATCCTTGCTGCCTTCATTCTCTTCATCTTCATCACCTGGTGGTGGCCCGAATACCACGATCTCCTCACAGGCGAGTAGCTGTGCTTGACTTTTTTTTTTTTTTTTTTTTTTTTTTTTTTTTTTTTTTTTTTTTTTTTTTCCTTCTTGCTGGTCAATTCAGAACTCCTTACTGCCTTCATTCTTTATTTTTGTCGAATCGGTCTCTAGTTAACTCTCAAGTCTCCTCGGTGCACGTCCCATCTCACACCCCTCTCACACCCTTCTGCACCCGTCTGTGCTGCTTTGCACCTGATCCCCATTCCCCCCAGGCAAGGGCATCAACGTCGTTTTCAACTCGGCCTTCCAGTCCGTGTCAGCATTCGCCAACGCGGGGTTTGGCTTGATGGATGAGAACCTCATTCCCTTTCAGCGCAACATCCCCTACCTGCTGTGCTGATCCTTGTCGTACCCGTCTGCACCATACCACACCCCTACTGATCTCCATTCCCCCCAGGAAAGGGCATCAACGTTGTTTTCAACGCGGCCTTCCAGTCCGTCTCGGCCTTCGCCAATGCAGGGTTTGGGCTGATGGACGAAAACCTCATCCCCTTTCAGCGCAACATCCCCTACCTGCTGGTGGTGGCCGTGCTGATCCTGGTGGGCAACACCATGTACGCCCCCATGCTCAGAGGGATGCTGGCGCTGCTTCACAGCACCAGCAAGAAGGACAGCAGCCGGTGGTGAGCTTGCTGTGTGCTGTGTGCGTTGTGTGTGTGTGTGCGCTGTGTATGGGAAAGGGGAGATAGAAGCGTCTGCTGCTGGTCGTGGCTGTGCTCATCCTAGTGGGCAACACCATGTATGCCCCCATGCTCCGTGGCGTGCTGGCGCTGCTTCACAGGACGAGCAAGAAGGACAGCAGCCGATGGTGAGTGTGCGTTGTGTGTGTGTGCGCTGTGTATGGGGAAGGGGAGATAGAAGCGCCTGCTGCTGCTGGTCGTGGCTGTGCTCATCCTAGTGGGCAACACCATGTATGCCCCCATGCTCAGAGGGGTGCTGGCGCTGCTGCACTGCACCAGCAGGAAGGACAGCAGCCGATGGTGAGTGGGTTTGCACTGCTGTGCTGTGCCTGCTGGATGCTTTTGAGACACGATTTCCCCCTCTCCTCCCCCCTCTCTTCCCTCCTCTCTATCCCCCCACTCCCCTCCCCCCTGTCAGGCACATAACGCAGTACCTGTTGGATCATCCACGCAAGTGCTACACGCACCTGCTCACCCCCCTTCATCCCTTCATCCCTTCAATCCTGCCTCTCGCTCCCCTGCTCTCTTCCACCTTTCCCCCCTTCCCCCCGCTCCCCACAGGCACATAACGCAGTACCTGTTGGACCATCCACGCAAGTGCTACACGCACCTGTTCCCACACAAGCAGACTCTCTGGCTGCTGCTCACAATCGTCGCTTTCAACACCATCCAAGCATTTTTCATTATGGCCCTTGACTGGAACTCCCAGGCCTTTGAAGGGCTCGGAGGTAAGCCAATTGTCAGCTCTGTTGTTTTGACAGCGCACAGCTTCCCTCGTCCTTGCTTGTGCCGCTTGAATGGAACGCATCATCCCCCGCTGCACTCACTGGTGATCCATCCTTCTAGTGCCCTATTCCAGGGAAATTCTACCTTGTGGCTCACTCCTTCACCCGCATGCCCCTCTCCCACTTCCTTCCCCCCAACCACCCCCATCTTCGCCATTCCTCCCAGGCGGGTACCGTTTCTTTGACAGCTGGATGCAGTCAGTGAGCAAACAGGCAATGCTGGGTTGGGTACTCCACCGGCTTATGTACTGTGTTTCCTTTCTCCCGTGCCCCTCTAACTACAACCTCCTTCTCCCAGGCGGGTTCCGTTTCTTTGACAGCTGGATGCAGTCAATAAGCACGCGCAACGCAGGGTACTCAATCATCAACCTCTCCTACCTCACAGCCGCCACCAACTTCCTCTTTTGTGGTTTCATGTGAGTCTGGGGCAGCAGGGCCTATATTACCCCCGTGAACTCTTCCTGGCACACTTACGATGGCCAATTTAGGCCTTGTTATACTCCGTGCTGCTTGCTGCATCCTCTCCCTACCATTCCCCCCCTTCGTGCCTGCTCCACCTTCTCCTCCGTGTCCCTGCCTTCTCTCCCTACTCCTACTCTTCTCCGCTGTCCATCCCATTCCCCATTCATCGCCCTTGCATACTTCTCCCCCCTCGCACCTCCCTCGTCCCGCCTACCCCTTCCCCACTGCCCCATCACTCACCCCAGGTACGTCGCAGTCTACCCGGTGTTCCTCACGCGTCAATCCTCCCGCAAGCAGCGGCACGTGCATGACACTGACGACCATTAGGGCCACCATCCCCCTTTGTGCCTCTTCCCTCCTCGCCCCTCCCCCCACCTCCCTCCCCCATCTCACACGCCACGCGCGCGACTTGGTCCACACGCCTGAGCACGCCTTGGTCCGCGCGCGCGCCTTGGTCCGCGCGCACCAGTCCTCCCGAAAGCAGTGCGACATGCACGACTCGGACGACCTGGCAGTCTTTGCAGAGGACGTGCACGGGGCATGCTCGGCTCCTCCGTGCTGGCACCAGGCAGACATTTCGTGGGAATCCCTCTCCGCCCTCCCCTTCCACCCCACTCCTCAGTCCAATTTCCCCTCTGCCCTCTCCCCTCCTCCCCCCTTCCCCCTCCCAGGTACGTGGCGGCCTACCCAGTCTTCCTCACGCGCCAGTCCTCGCGGGAACAGCGCGACGTACATGACTCAGATGACTTGGCAGTCTTTGCAGAGGACCTGCACGGGGGCGTGCTCGATTCCTCTGTGCTCACCCCTCCTTCCCCCTCCCTACCCATCCCCCAGGTACGTGGCAGTCTACCCAGTCTTCCTCACCCGCCAATCATCGCGGGAACAGCGCGATGTGCACGACTCGGATGACTTGGCAGTCTTTGCAGAGGACCTGCATGGGGGCGTGCTCGACTCCTCCGTGCTGGCGCAGGGCCGGCACCTCGTGGCGCAGGACTCGGTGTACCTCTTTGTGTCGGTCTTTCTTGTGTGCATCATCGAGAACAGCGACTTCAATGCTGACCCCAACAACTGGACCGTCTTCAAAGTGATCTTTGAGATTATCAGGTAATGCGTCAGGTAACGAATCAGGGGGTGAATTATTTAATGATTCAGGTAGGGTATCAGGTGATGCGTCAGGTACCGAATCAGGTGAGCGAACAGGTGATTAGTTGGGTTATCATCAGGGCTGGTTCGGGGTATTGTGACTAAACTCAAGAATCATGGGGACTCCTCTGTGCTGACATACGGGCAGCACCTAGTGGCACGGGATTCAGTATACCACTTCCCCCCACCCCGTCCGTCGCCACGCAGTGCGACGAATCACAACTCTCCCCCCACTCCATTGTCCCCTTTTCGCTTCCAACCCACCCCTCCACCGCTCCCTGTGACCCGCAGTGCCTATGGCAATGTGGGTCTGTCTCTGGGAAACAGCTGCCCCACCAGCAATCCGAATTACCAATCTTTTTGGCAAATCACAACTCGCCCTCCGTTAAATCATCCTCCTCTCCCCCTCCACCCCACCCACCCCGTGACCCCCAGTGCCTACGGCAATGTGGGTCTGTCTCTGGGAAACAGCTGCCCCACCAGCAACCCCAACTGCACGGATGCGCCGCCCTACAGCTTCTCGGGTAAAGTCTCCACCCGACAGCTTTTCAGGTTTATTTTCCTTCTCCTCCTCTACTCTCATAAGCCCTGCAAGCACATGCTAGGTGCTGTTTCAAAATAGTTGGCAGTTATACCGACCTGCTCCTCCTTCCCCTTTCCTTGACCCGATTCTGCAGGCACGTGGTCAGTGCTCTCTAAGTTAATTGTCATCCTCGTGATGCTGCTGGGGCGCCACAGAGGGCTACCGGACAACATCGATGCCGCCATTGTCATCCCGCCGCCCAAACAGTTCCAGCGCCAGCCTGCCCGACCAATCACAGGTGATTTTCGAGCAGATGCCATGCAAGCGCGGTTACATGTGAGGCGGATCATACCCGGATTTGTATGTGAGCGGGGTTGAAGCGGGCATGCCAATGTTGCGAGCTCACAGCCAATGTGTAACTCCTCCTCAGAGTGCGGTATTGCTATGTAGGATCTATATGTACGGCTCAACTCATATGACTCCACTCGTACGGCTCACACTATTCTTTTCATCCTTGCCCCACGCTTGCTTGACCCTGCTTGGATGTTCCCACCGCCTTGTCTAACAGAGAATCCAGCTGTGCTGCTCACACGAGCGCTCACAATGACCAAGTCTCAGCCCAGCTCTCTCATTCTTTTCTCTGCCCGTCGCCCCCTTTCTTGCCTGGTGTATGTAACAGAGGATCCCGCTGTCTTGCTCACGCGAGCGCTCACAATGACCAAGTCTCAGCCCAGCTCTCTCATGCGCCGCATCTCCTCGTACGTAGACCTCGCACCAGAGTGTGTGTGTGTGTGTGCGCGCTCGCGTGCGTTCAAGAGCATGTGTTCCTATCCGTATATGTGTTCCCCTACGAGAGTTTTTTTTTCTATCTAAGTCCCTCCGCTCCAGAGTTCAGCCCCCCTAGGAGTACACATGCACGAGATACACTATGATTCATCCATGCAACCATGTACTGTTCGCAGGCTGCATGCTACTCGGTCAGCTGCTGGAGCCATGCCATCTTCTTCCGTGCCCTCCTCCGTCCCTTCAGAAGTGCCATTCCAGGTCCACACTTGCTAATTGTAACTCTGCAATCAGTCCACATGTCCTGTGTCGTTATCTGCCTTTGTATGCTTGTTGAGCTAGTAAGTTACAATGGTCAGCCAAGTTCTGTAGCAAGCAAGCGCACGGGCCAGCAGAATTCGTGTTGAGGCACTCTGCTATATGTGTTTCCACTTGAGGCGCTGTGTTCCATCCATCGATGTGCATCCTGAATTTTCCAGTGTGCATGTGAGTCAGATCAGATCAAGACACAGTAAGATGAACCTGCCCTCAGAAAGTTTAGATGCTTTTGCAGCATGCACCCAGTTCATAAAAATTTACACTAACCCCCACGGGAATCGCGTGCAGCCCAAAGCGAGGTTCGACCGTGTCGGAGGTGGGATGCGGTGGTTATATGTCAATGGACGTCATCCACAGATGTCGAGGTCGGTACTGATGGTAGTGAAGAGGGCGGGAGGGTTTCACAAACCTATCCGTTAATAGTAAAAAGCCCATGACGCGCCATAACCGTACCCGTTGCATGACCCGACCCAGCCAGCCCAAGGAATGCTTGCTTCCTGCGTTCATAGCCGTTTTGCTGTAGGCTCTGGGCGGCATAATCTTGCACTTCTCGAATCACAGTTCACGAACGAGTGGAGCTGTGCAACCAAGAGCGGTTCTATCGGTTCACCGCAATGCGCCATGGTGAACCTCTGCTCTGGCGCCTGAACGTTCATGTAAGAACTGTTTTCGAACTTTCAGATCCGCCATTGCTCAGCGACCACAAAACTGGATCGTGAAAGTTCGTTAACAGCTCATACATGAATGTTCGATACAGTGCTGGTTCTGATCATCCATGGAACGTGTAATGGTGATCTTATTTCCGCTCAACGCCATGAAATTCTGGATTAGCCCCAACCCTGGTTCCGATCATCCTTATTTCGATCATAACGAATCGTTGAGCGTGCTTGGAGATCCTTATCCTGTATGCCTGTCAGGCAGGCTCTTAAAAGGATACTTGCTCGTCGTATTTTCAGTACAGGCGCGACGTCAAGCTATAAAGCATATCTATAGCTCCTAAATACTCGCTGATGATAGGAACAACACGGAAAGCTGAAGAAACCGCGAAACCGAGGCCTTAGAACCGAGGTATGGTCTTACCCATGCTCTCGAGTTTGCTGTCTTCACAATCTGTCAATGTTCGCTACGGTGTCCGCATAATCCAACCACATTTCTCCGTCAAGCCTGCTCATTGTCATCAGATTATGTGCCTTCTATTTTGGCACTTGTTTTATTTATTATTCTACATATAAATAAAATTAAAGGCGAAATGAAGTCACTGCGGAGAATTCTCAAAAGTTGCTTACCAATCCTGAAGTATTTTATTATGTATATTCCTGCGTGTAACTAATGAATCTGGCGCACAGAATCTCCATGGCGGAAGAACAGATTCATGCCACGCCAGACACTGCAAACCCTTCAGGCGGTTCGCTTCACTTCAGAATCGGAAACTGGCTTCACTCTGTGTCCATCAACAGTGCCCATGACCACCCTGAGGATTCACCTGGACTCTGGCACCGTTTCAAGCACGTCAGCTGGCGTTCCTTTCCCGCGTGGCTCCGCACTCAAATGACCTTCTATCGAATCCACTTCCTCTCCTCCATTATAGTCGACCTAATAGCCACGCTAATTATGCTCGCCACTCCTGGAGGCAGCCTCGGAAAAATCTCTATTATAGACGCACTCTATAGCTGCACATCTGCACTGACCGTTGCAGGCCTCGCGTCCGTCCGTATGAACGTTTTTTCCACGCTCGATCAGGTGCTGCTGCTGCTGCTCATGGTGATCGGAAATTCCGTTTTCACATCCCTCATCCCGGTTCTGATCAGGAGGCATTATTTCCTGAAGCACCTGCGAGAGGAGGAAGCCAAGGGCGCGTTCCCATTGATGTCAACAATGTCAGATGTCGGGGAACAGGCTGGCAACAATAGGGTTGAGCTTACAAGGTCAGAGAGTGTGCTGACCCGAGGCGAGAACAACGACGCGTTTTTCATACACGCCATAGAGAAAATGGAGGCCCAGTCGCGGAGGGAAGCAGCGGAGTGGAAGAGAATGGGGGAGAGGGAAAAGGAGGCCGGCAGTGGTGGGGAGGGTAGAGAGGCGGCGGGGGGTGAGGAAGGGGGGTCAGAGACCTACCCCCCGCTGACTCATCTACAGAGGAAGCTGTCCCGAGCGCTGACCACTGTGTCTCGGATTTCGTTTGAGCCTGCAGGGCATGTCCTCACTGACAGGGCCCACATGCGTAGCCGTAGCATGCATGGCCATGGCACACGTCAGGACATGCCGCATGATGACAACATGCAAGCTCACAGCACGCAGCGCAGCAGCATGGAGCGCAGCAGCATGCACAGCAGCATGCAGCACCATGGCTCTGCAGCCACCTCTCTCACCCGGGATGCTCCCAGTGCTGCTCACAGCATGGCGGGCGGCGGAGGGTTTCTGGAGCATCCGCAGAGACACGGGGAGGAGGGGGGCGAGGGGACAGCAGGGAGCGACCGGGAGCAAACCGGGCAGGATGAGACAGTGTCACCTTTTGAGAGACGGTTCGTTGAGCTCAGGTGAGTGTGTAGGGGGGGAGGGAAGAGGGGGGGAGAGGGGGGGGGGGAAAGACTGGGAAGGGGTGTAGGAGTATTGGGAAGAGAGGGGCAAGGGGGGGGGGGGGCGCGATTGGGAGCAACCCGGGCAGGACGAGACAGTGTCTCCTTTTTGAGAGACGTTTCGTGGAGCTCAGGTGAGTGTGTGTGGGTGTGGGTGAAAGAGGCGTGTGTGGGAGGCGGTATGGGAAGGAGAGGAGTGAGAGGCTGCTGAGCTGGCTGGTGCTCGCGTATCTCTTTGGCACTATCCTCACAGCCTTCACTCACTTGAATCAGCCTCTTCACCTGGTGAAGATCGTTTCTCCATACCTGTCTCTCCCCCTTCTCCCCTCTCTGCTCTCCCCCTCTCCCCCCTCCGGGTCTCTCCCTCTCCCTTTCTCCTCTTCTCCCCTTCTCCACTCTCCCCTTCTCCACTCCACTCTCCCCTTCCCGTAACACTCCCAATCCTGCAGGGCACTGGAGCTGCTGAGCTGGCTGGTGCCGGTGATATTCTCTGAGGCGCCTCAGAATGTGTCATTTCCACCTTATCCCTCTTTTGGCACCCCTTCACCCTGCAGGGCACTGGAGCTGCTGAGCTGGCTGGTGCCGGCGTTTTACTTCGGAACCATCTTTGCTGCCTTCATCCTCTTCATCCTCATCACCTGGTGGTGGCCCGAATACCACGATCTCCTCACAAGTAAGTACCTGTGCTTGTTTGTGCCGCCTTTGAGAATTCTCTGAAGTGACACAAACATACCCGAATGTGGCTTGATCTTCCACTCAAGATGCTGCATGACTTTGAGTCCACTTGGTTCCATCTCTCAAGTCTCCTCCATGCACGTCCCGTCTCATGTACCTCTGCATTCCGTTACACCCTTCTGCACCATCCTGCACCCTTCTGCACCCTTCTGCACCATTCTACACACTGCTTTCACACACGGACTTGAGCATTGCATTCAGCTGTGGCTTCTTCATCTCTGCGTTGACCAAGTCTGGATTCCACATCACATGCACCCTTCTGCACCATCTCAGTCGCCTCTGCACCATTCTCCACACCCTTTCACTCTGCTCCGCATTCTGGCAAGGACTATAACAACACCGTCACCTCCGCCTTCCAGTCCATCTCTGCATTCGCCTACATCACACTCTGCACCCTTTTACACCACCTCACACCCTTCCCCACCACTCTGCACACTTCCCGCTCCCCGTGCTCCCCAGGCAAGGGCATCAACGTCGTCTTCAACTCGGCCTTCCAGTCTGCTTCTGCATTTTCCAATTCCGGGATTAGCTTGTTGGATGCGAACCTGATTCCGTTCCAGCAAAACATCCCGTACTTGCTGGTGGTGGGGGTGTTGATCCTAGTAGGCAACACCATGTACGCCCCCTCGCTCAGAGGGGTGCTGGCGCTGCTGCACTCCACTAGCAAGAAGGACAGCAGCCGATGGTGAGTGGGGCGGCAGCAGCAGATGGGTTGTGTCTGTGAGCAGTGAAGTGTCTGCCAGAGGGAATATAGTAGCGCCTGCTGCTGCTAATATGTATGCTCAATTGTCCCTGTAAGCAATCTCCGCTTTCCTCCCCAACGCCCCCCTCCCCCAAGCCCACAGAAGCCAGCCCAGAGTATCCTATAATCTCCGTCCCCATAATCTCCCCCTTTTCAACAACATCCGCGCAAGTGCTACACGCACCTGTTCACCCCCTGCATCCCTTCAATCCCGCCTCTCGTTCCCCCCTCAATCTCCTCCACCTTTCCCCCCTTCCCCCTCCTCCCCCTCTCCGCCAGGCACATAACCAAGTATCTATTGGACCATCCGCGCAAGTGCTACACGCAGCTCTTCCCACACAAGCAGACGCTCTGGCTGCTGCTCACAATTGTCGCATTCACCTCCATCCAGGCCTTCTTCCTCATGCTGCTCGACTGGAACTCACAGGCCTTTGCTGGGCTCGCAGGTAAGCCAAGTGGTGACCTTGTGGCACGTAACCGTAACCTGCTGACTGCAGTCGCCTTCACGTCCATCCAGGCCTTCTTCCTCATGCTGCTCGACTGGAACTCACAGGCCTTTGCTGGGCTCGCAGGTAAGCCAAGTGGTGACCTTGTGGCACGTAACCGTAACCTGCTGACTGCAGTCGCCTTCACGTCCATCCAGGCCTTCTTCCTCATGCTGCTCGACTGGAACTCACAGGCCTTTGCCGGGCTCGGAGGTGAGTGCAAGGCGTCCCTCTCCTCTCCCTCCCCTCCACAAGCGCTTAGACCTTCTGGCTGGTGCTCACCATTGTTGCCTTCACCTTCTCCTCCATCCAGGCCTTCTTCCTCATGCTGCTCGACTGGAACTCACAAGCCTTTGCCGGGCTCGGGGGTAAGCACGAGGCTTGGCCTTTCCGTTGCTTTGACAGCTGCATGCCGTGCCGTCAGAGAGCACACACAGCGGATGGAAGCTTCTCTTCTCCATCATCATCCCTCTACCACCTCTCCTTGGCCCCGTCTCTCAATCAGTACCTTACTACCATCCCTTTCCCCCCAGGCAGGTACCGTTTCTTTGACAGCTGCATGCAGTCAGTGAGCACACAGGCTATGCGGGATACTCTGTCCTCTAATGTACTGTCTTTCCTTTGTACCTCGCCCCTCCAAATACAACCTCCCTCCCCCCAGGTGGCTACCGTTTCTTTGACAGCTGCATGCAGTCAGTGAGCACGCGCAGTGCAGGCTACACCATCATCAACCTCTTCTACCTCTCTGCCGCCTCCGACTTCCTCTTTGTCGGCTTCATGTGAGTCCGGGGTGTTGGATTCATGTGAGTCCGGGGTGTTGGCTTCATGTGAGTCTGGGGTGTTGGATTCATGTGAGTCCGGGGTGTTGGCTTCATGTGAGTCCGGGGTGTTGGCTTCATGTGAGTCCGGGGTGTTGGCTTCATGTGAGTCCGGGGTGTTGGCTTCATGTGAGTCCGGGGTGTTGGCTTCATGTGAGTCCGGGGTGTTGGCTTCATGTGAGTCCGGGGTGTTGGCTTCATGTGAGTCCGGGGTGTTGGCTTCATGTGAGTCCGGGGTGTTGGCTTCATGTGAGTCCGGGGTGTTGGCTTCATGTGAGTCCGGGGTGTTGGCTTCATGTGAGTCCGGGGTGTTGGCTTCATGTGAGTCCGGGGTGTTGGATTCATGTGAGTCCGGGGTGTTGGTTTCATGTGAGTCCGGGGTGTTGGTTTCATGTGAGTCCGGGGTGTTGGTTTCATGTGAGTCCGGGGTGTTGGTTTCATTTGAGTCCGGGGTGTTGGCTTCATGTGAGTCCGGGGTGTTGGCTTCATGTGAGTCCCTCCTCCCTCCTCCCTCCTCCCTCCTCCCTCCTCCCTCCTCCCTCCCCTCCCCCACATCCCACCCCCAGGTACGTGGCAGTCTACCCGGTGTTCCTCACGCGCCAGTCATCCCGCGAGCAGCGGGACATTCAAGACACGGACGACATTGCCGTCTTTGCAGAGGACATGCACAGCGGTGTGCTTGACTCCTCCGTGCTGGCGCAGGGCCGGCACCTCGTGGCGCAGGACTCGGTGTACATATTCGTCTCCATCTTGCTCGTCTGCGCCATCCAGAATAATGACTTCAGTTCAGACCAGGCCAACTGGACCGTCTTCAAAGTCATCTTTGAGATCATCAGGTAATGCATGCGCGGATGATTCAGGTAGGCTACAAGGTAACGAAACAGGTGAGAAAACAGGTGGTCGATTGGGTGATCATCATCAGGAAACTCGGTCAGTGTACCTCTTGGTTTCCATCTTTGTCATCTGTGCCAGCCAGAGAGCAGCGACTGCATAGCGTGCCCAGGCAACTGCCCTTTCCAACCCCCTCTCTTCTCCCTCTGCTTCATCGCCCTGTTTCCCCCCTCCGCCACAACACCACGCCATCCCCCTTCCCCTCCATCCCACCCCTCCACCCCACCCCATCACCACACAGTGCCTATGGCAACGTGGGTCTGTCTCTCGGAAACAGCTGCCCCACCAGCAACCAGAATTACCAATGTTTTTTGGCGAATCACACCTCGCCCTCCACCAAATCATCCTCCTCTCCCGCTCCACTCCACCCACCCCATCACCACGCAGCGCCTATGGCAACGTGGGACTGTCTCTGGGAAACAGCTGCCCCACCAGCAACCCCAACTGCACAGATGCTCCGCCCTACAGCTTCTCAGGTAGATTTCCACCTGACAGCTTCTCAGGTGAATTGTCTACCTGATGAATCTTCGGGTACATGCTCCGCCCTACAGCTTCTCAGGTAGGTGCTCTGCCTGACATCTCCTTATGCTGCTGCTGGGTTGCCGCTACGCTGCTGCTGTTGCTGATGGTGCTGCTGCTGGTGATTCTGATAGGGGCCGCTTGTGCGCTGGGTGCTGTTCGAAAGGCAGTGACCGTTCTCCCCCTCTGCCACTCCTCAACCCAACCCTGGCAGGCACGTGGTCAGTGCTCTCTAAGTTAATAGTCATCCTCGTGATGCTGCTCGGGCGGCACAGAGGGTTACCAGACAACATCGATGCCGCAATCTTCATTCCACCGCCCAAGCAGTTCCAGCGCCGGCCCGCCCAGCCAATCAAAGGTGACGTGCAATGATTCTTCTCCCCCTTTCCTGCCTTGTGCTGCAGAGGATTCCTCTCTCTCGCTCGCATGAGCGCCTTTTGAGACGTCTCAAGATCTGTCCCAACCACGTTTTCCTGCCTTGTATCACAATGGATCTCACTGTCTTTTTCCCGACCCACTCTCACGTGACGCCTTCGAAGATGTCTCCAAATCTGTCCTGGCCCTCTTTCCTCTCCCCCCAACCCCTTCTTTCCTGCGTGCTGTCACAGAGGAACCCGCTGTGCTGCTCACACGAGCGCTCACAATGACAAAGTCTCAGCCCGGCTCTCTCATGCACCGCATCTCCTCGTACGTACCCCTCTCACTGGCCCCCTAGTTCCTGAGCTCCAGCCAGCAGCCCCCTCAGCAGTACACAACAAACACGGGATTCCCTCTAATCCATCCATGCCGCCATGCTTTGTTCGCAGGCTGCATGCTTCCCAGCCAACTGCTGGACCCATGCCATTTTCTTCAGTGCGTTCCTCCATCCCTTGAGAAGCGCAGCACCGGTTTCACACAAGATCAAGCCATGCTGCCTTCGGAACTTATCTCCTCTCACATCACCTGGATGTTGCCCATCCATGTTGAGTCGCCTTGTGCAGTTCTGTTCTTGAATACATGATGCTGAATAAACAATATGAACCGTTTGGCAATGAACGCTCTCCGAGTCACTGCAGCAGCAAATTTTACTGTTTGTGTGGAGGACTCTATACCAAGCTGTATATTTTTTTTTGTCTGAGTATCGCAACGCAATTTTATGCAAACGACAATAAAATGTCTGGGTAGAACATTATATGGTTTGGCTGCCTTGAAGGGGCTTGAAGAGCCCAAGTGTAGCTGAATTGATTGTAGTGGTTTAAATTTTACATATGGACTGCTCAGCTCATTGATTGTGAGTGTTTGAAAATGCTGGTACGGTATCGACTGTATTCTAAGAACGGTGTACTGAAAATGGGCAATTGCCTCGAAATTTGTGATCACGTGAGTGCGTAAGGTCCACCGCGTGCCAGCTAACCGCCTCACCTTCCCAGTGGATCCTTTCCAACGTGGAAAGTTGCCAACCCTTCCCACCAGCCAATCTTCAATCGTGCCCTCCCAGCTGCCCGACCCCTTAGAACCGTGAAATTTGGTTTGCTGAACCTGTACGTACATAGCGCTGCATACATCACTGCGTTTTGTGAAGCTGTTTGCCGCTGGTGTGGTCTTTCTTCCCGTTGCCCGTTTTGAGGCCTGACCACCTGGGGTTGCTTCAGATTCTCTGTTGTCTGGTGATGGCTACTGGCCTGCTTTGGCGCGCATGCTGCAGAGGTCCTTCTAGATTCTTGAAGTCTTGCGAGAGAGGACACCTGGATCAACCCCATTTGTGCTAGTGGGTGGTCGTTACTAGTCATGCAGTCGCCGTGTGTTTGTTTTCCACGGTGTGGGACCCTGCGACAGTTCGTGTTTTGAGTGTTTTATGAAACGAATTGCCCTGGTGGAAAGGAGCTCACGTTCATTAGAGGCTGAAATGTCATAATGCCCCCGTCACATTCCAGTCGAGAAAACACCGATGATATCACTGGGCCCGTACATTTTGCAGTTCGAAAAGAAAAAAAAAAAAACTTGCTCGCTCTGCGGTTGTTCTGTAGCCATCATTTTTTTGTGTCAACTGCGCACATTTATGACTCGCCGAGAGCTCCAATCAACCATTCAGGGGCGCCGCAGGCGGTTTGCTTTGCGGCACGCGGAACAAGCATAGTGCAGCGGCGGGCGCAGCAATCTTGTTTGCGCACATGCTTTGATTGGAGACGTGGATCGGGGGAAAGTCCGCCTCCAGCTGTAGAGTTCACGTGATTTGGTAGTTCATCACCGCTGTGTTTAAATCCCAGGGTACACGTATTTTCGTTGTATTTTAACCCATGTGTACTTCTGGGTGAGCCAAGTTCAGCAACAGTTATCCATGCACGACCCGCCGTGCTCAGATCAGAGTCCTGGAACTTGGTCTGTCTACAGGCTTTGGCAACTGGTATCCCGTGCAGTTCTGGGTGTCTGCTCAGCTGATCCTCCCGGTACCTAGGGGCGTTTCGAGTACCAAACCTTTCCGCTGGCTTGGGGTGTTTCGAACAGGTGCCCCCAGTACTGTACCCCAAAACCCGCCCCCGAATCCTTGAATTCCAAAATACCCCACTGCCTGCCCTGTCCTATTTATTCCCGTTGTCCTGATTTGGCTTCGTTTTCCTTTCGGAGCGCGTGCTCACAGCCCTCGCCAACCATCCACCAAACCCATCTCTCAAAGCATGTGCGGTGGTTTACAAGCAGGTGATGTAGGCGCTGCAGTGTCCTTGTGCTCACTCACAATCCCCTTGGGACCTGAGTTGTTTCACCACGTTATTGCAACCGCGTCCATACCCCCATTGAAGACTGTCACCTGCCTATTTTTCCTGTCCATTACGTGGACTGTTTGTTTGGCTCAACGCACGTTGTCACACCATTTCTTCCTACTTACTCAGCCAAGACGAAGCGTCGTGAATATTCCACTTCCAGCTAGTAATACAACACAACCACGCCGCCGAACGTGTGCAGCCTTGATGCCCGAATCAGCTCACGTAACGCCAGCCTTTCGTTGTCCACCCACGAGCTATCACATACCTCTCCGATTCCCGATCGTCTCAGTCTCCATATAACCGTATCGACGATCGCCCGCTTTCAATCTGATTTCGATTCCTCAGCTTGCCGCACCAATTACCGTACGTCGCACCTTTAGCAGAGCAATTTTATCCGTCAATGGCCGCAATGGTAGCCGTCCCGCAAGCAGCTCCTCTCCGGAGCCCCCACAGCCCTCCTCAGCCGAAACTCTCGCCAGTCTCCGGCCATGATTTTGCGGAAATTCCGCCTATGCCGCGCCGCAGTTTAACGGTCCAGATCCCCGACCCCGAAAGCGAAGGGATCGGCGCCGAGCCGCCGAGGCCGATCGAGTGGATCCCGGCGGGCGACGCCGTCTGCGACGACGACGACGATTCCGACGACGAAATCTGGGACATTGACATTTCGCGCACGAGCACTGGGGGGACCCGTTACAGTGCGCCTCCTTATTGCAACGGCGGTTACCAGGACCCGCAAGTGCTGCTGCTGGGCCTTCACGCGGGAGCGGACCGTCCGCCCAACTCCCACAGCGGCCCCCAGCCGTGCACTGGCGCAATTCACGGAAGCTCGAGGTTTTCCAAAGGGCAGGTCAGCTGCCCGTCCGTACCTGACGGGAGCGCAACTTCGCAATTTCGAAGAAATGAGAATGATGAGGGGGAAGAGGAGTGGGATGAGGACAGGGAAGGCGAGGAGCAATCCCCCGACGCGGGAATCACGGCGTCCGAGATTTCCGCTCGATTGAAGCTACTCGAGGCAGAGCTGCAGATCCTGGAAACGCACCGCCGAGTCGCGGTGCTACGCTGTCAGCGCGAAGTCAACGGCGCAGCGGAGACTAGCTCCGGTGCGGACAGGGCCTCTGCCTCCGCGGCAACCACCGCCTGCGCCAGCGGAGCCGCGGACGCCGCTGCTGCGCCTTCAGTAAGCAGAGCCGCCAGTGTCTGCGCCGCTAGCAGCGCTGGAAATTCCGGAAGCAATTCTGCGAGCTCGTCCCGCGCGTCCTCGCGGTCGGAGTCCCCGCTGCGCCTGGGCAGGTGGCGGCGCAGCCGGCGGTCGAGCAGCGGAAGCAGCAGCTTGGCGCAAAGCAGCGGAACTAGCAGCTCGGGGGGGAGCACTAGGAGCGGACTGAGTTCGGGGAGGCGGAGCCTCGACTGGGAGGTGCTGAGGGGCTCTGACAAAGAGAAGGCCGTCGCGAGAAAATCTTTGGACATTGCTAACGTGGCGGGTTTGGTGGAGGGTGATGAAGATTACGCATGTGAGGACGACTGCTTGGAGGTAGAGAGTGACTGTGAAGACGGACTGCAGCTGAGCCCGCAATTCCGGGGATGTATGATGAGAGTGGCTTGCCGAGCGCCACGCGGTGCGTGTTTTCCCGTGGCGGTGAAAGGCCACGGTGCGATTGCTGCGCTGCGGAAGCATCATCATAATTAATCGCTTATAGTGTGGTTTAGGTGTTCATAAGTTACAGGAGAAATCGTACATCACCATAGTGGAACTAATGCTTCCAACCCTGTAAAATACTGCAATGCTCATAATAAGTATTTATTGGATGTATCAATCTAGTTTTATCGCCCTCTTTGTTGAGACTTTTGCCGGGAGTGACAAAACGAGGAGAGTGCAAAATCGAGTCATCGGGTTTCCAGTGAAGCAACCAATCCGAATTTTCGCTCGAGTACTGCCACGTCAGCCACCCCCCAGCTCAAACTCCAAGATCCGCGCTATTAGCGACCACTCACAGCTCATCTCGACCGCCACGTAGAGGGCGGGAACCACAGCGGCGCACCCATCAACCCAAACACACACATCACACGAGTCGGATGCGCGGTCGAGTATGCTGGCCTTGTACTCGGGGGTGGGGGAGGCAGGCGGAACAAGGCCAGCACCAGCGCCACCATATCAACACAGATTCCCCCCTGACAAGCCGCCGAAGGTCTGGAACGGTCCGGCCTTTCTAGGTCCGCCTGCTCGCTCCCGCCAGGTGCGCCTGCCTCCACCTAAGGCACAGCAGAGCACAAGTGCAGAGGCTTGGGCCTTGAGGGGAACGGGAGGGGGAGAGTCTCCGCTCTGACTCACACATCACATTCCACCCTCGCAATCAGGAAAGAGCATTCAAGGCGCGATCAGGACGAAACACAAAAAAATGTGCAAGATATAGGCATTTCGTGGCAAAACTGGTCCATTTTGGTTTGGACGGTCGGAAATCGTGTTTGGATCGCGCACACGCCGTTAGGTAGTCTGCGTCTTGTACGCCTCTTGTGCTTGTGAAGTCTCCTCTGTTGCAGCATGGCGACAGCGGTGATCCAGCCGCCTTGCCATGCGGCCGCCGCCAGCGCGTCGCGCACGCGACTGGCGAAGTCCTCCTCGTCGCAGCCGTCTCATCTAAAATCGCCGATCTATGGCCGGCCCGTCACGGCCAGCGCATACCTCGAGTCGCACGCCGCGATCGTCGCAGCCTCGCCGATCGCAACCTCCCCTTCCGCCGCGATCCGCAACCGCCGGCAGAAGCGCCGCGCCGTCATCTCCGCAGCGGCGGGCGACGGCGGGGAAGGTGCGCCGAAGCCGGTTCCGGTTCCGGCGGCGCCCGTGGCGGCGCCATGGAAGGGCGCGAACATGAAGACCCTGGGAATATCGGTGGCGACGGGCGTCGCGATGTGGTACTGTCCGCGACCCGAAGGCGTGGCGGCTAACGCGTGGCAGCTTCTGGCGATCTTCCTCGCGACGATCATCGGCATCATCACTCAGGTGCGCGCTGTCGCCGCAATGCGCGCTATCATCACAATGTGCCCTCTCTCCTTGATGCGCGCTCACGCCGCAAAGTTTTCTTTTAGACCTCGAATGCGCGCTCACGCCGCAAAGTTTTCTTTTAGACCTCGAATGCGCGCTCACGCCGCAAAGTTTTCTTTTAGACCTCGAATGCGCGCTCTCGCCGCAAAGTTTTCTTTTAGACCTCGAATGCGCGCTCTCGCCGCAAAGTTTTCTTTTAGACCTCGAATGCGCGCTCTCGCCGCAAAGTTTTCTTTTAGACCTCGAATGCGCGCTCTCGCCGCAAAGTTTTCTTTTAGACCTCGAATGCGCGCTCTCGCCGCAAAGTTTTCTTTTAGACCTCGAATGCGCGCTCACGCCGCAAAGTTTTCTTTTAGACCTCGAATGCGCGCTCACGCCGCAAAGTTTTCTTTTAGACCTCGAATGCGCGCTCACGCCGCAAAGTTTTCTTTTAGACCTCGAATGCGCGCTCTCGCCGCAAAGTTTTCTTTTAGACCTCGAATGCGCGCTCACGCCGCAAAGTTTTCTTTTAGACCTCGAATGCGCGCTCTCGCCGCAAAGTTTTCTTTTAGACCTCGAATGCGCGCTCACGCCGCAAAGTTTTCTTTTAGACCTCGAATGCGCGCTCTCGCCGCAAAGTTTTCTTTTAGACCTCGAATGCGCGCTCACGCCGCAGCCATGCGCTTTGTCGCTGCGAATGAAAAAGCCTTGGCGGTCGTCTGTTAGTCGATAATGTGCGAAGCACCTGATAAAGCTATTTTAAACCGAACACTCAACTGCGTAATACGTGCATGCATTTCGCATCATGTACATCTTCTCCCTTCCTCCCCTTATTTCCCTCCTTTTTCCCTCCCCCTCCCCCTCCCCCTCCACTCTCTGTTCCGCGCAGCCGTTGCCGCTGGGAGCGGTTGCGCTCATGGGTCTGGGCGTGAGCGTTCTCACGAAGACGCTCACCTTCGCTGCCGCCTTCAGGTAACATTGTGTAACACTGTAACATTCGTAGAAAGTGTATAAGTGCAGCTTCTTAACTGTGTAGTCCTGTGTTGTTGTGGCCTTATAGCACTCGTCGCTTGCGCGTACTTATTTACGAAAATGTACCCCCTTACCCCCCTTTCCCCAACCACCTCCTCACTCTCTCTCTTTCCACCCTTACTCTTTTCCATCCACTCCCTCTATACCTTCCCCCACTCCTTCGGCGATCCAATCACCCGATTCGTCACACTTGCCCGTTCTACTCCCCCCTTCTACTCCCCCCTTCCTCTTCCACTCCGACATTCCGCAACTCCTTCGGCGATCCCATCCCGTTGCTCATCGCGCTCGCATTCTTCTTCCCCCCATTCTCTTCCCCCCAACCTCTCCCTTTTTCCCCCTCACCCCACCCCTCTTTCGCAGTTCCTTCGGCGATCCCATCCCATGGCTCATCGCGCTCGCGTTCTTTTTCGCCAAGGGCTTCATCAACACGGGTCTCGGCAACCGCGTTGGTTACCAGTTCGTCGCCGCTTTCGGCAGCACGTCGCTCGGCCTGGGCTACAGCCTCGTGCTCTCCGAAGCCATGCTCGCGCCCGCCATCCCCTCCGTCTCCGCGCGCGCGGGCGGGATCTTCCTTCCGCTCCTCAAGGCGCTGTGCCAGGCGTGCGGAAGCCGCACGGACGACGGCACGGAGAAGAAGCTCGGCGCGTGGCTCGTGCTCACCTGCTTCCAGGTAGGTTCCTTTATCCAGGGCGCTTCCAGGTAACTTCCTCTATCTGCGCTGGTTTCCAGGTACCTTCTTCAATCCGTTATGCTCCGAATATCAATATGTGTCCCTTTATCCCAGCATTCCCGGGTCTCTTACCACCCCCTTCCCCCTTTCCCCCTTCCCCCTTTCCCCCTTCTCCCTTCCCCCTTCCCCCCCGCCTCCCCCAGACATCCATTGTGTCCTCGGCCATGTTTCTAACCGGAATGGCGGCTAACCCGCTCGCCGTGAATCTCGCGGCGGGCGCCATAGGCCACACGATCGGCTGGACGGAGTGGGCCAAGGCGGCCTTAGTTCCCGGACTCATCTCGCTCGCCGTCGTGCCCGCGCTGCTCTACGTCATCTACCCGCCGGAGATTAAAGCCAGCCCCGACGCGCCCAAGCTCGCGCGCGAGAAGCTCGCGGCCATGGGCCCGATGAGCACTAACGAGAAAATCATGGCGGCCGTGCTCGTCGGCACGGTACGTATGCGTGTTGTTTGGTCTAGTGCGGTGTAGTCAGGTGAAATGCGTGAAGGCTCTGTTACAGTGTACAGGACAGGCTGCGTGGCATGTAGCCAGCTCGCGCGAGAGAAGCTCGCGGCCATGGGGCCGATGAGCACTAACGAGAAGATCATGGCTGCCGTGCTGGTCGGCACGGTACGTGCATGCGTGCGGTGGTGTAGTCGGATCCTTTGCTACAGAATGTGTGGCATGCAGCCGGCCAGACCAGAAGGCAATGAGTTTGACGAGGCAAAACTAAATTCCTTTTCGCCTCCTCTCCCATTCCTCTCTCCCCTTCCTCACCTCCCCTTCCCCACCCGCCAACAGGTGGGTCTGTGGGTGTTCGGCGGCGTGTTGGGCATCGACGCGGTAACCGCAGCCATCATGGGGCTCAGCGCGCTGCTCATCACAGGCGTCGTCACGTGGAAGGAGTGCCTGGGCGAGGGCGTCGCGTGGGACACGCTCACGTGGTTCGCTGCTCTCATCGCCATGGCTAACTACCTCAACAAATACGGACTCATTGCTTGGTTCAGCCAGACCGTTGTCAATGTGAGTGAGGGAGAGAGAGGGTGTGAGCGGCGTGAGCGTGTATGTGGGTAATGATCGCTCACGTGGTTTGCTGCTCTCATCGCCATGGCTAAACAAATACGGACTCATTGCTTGGTTCAGCCAGACGGTTGTGAATGTGAGTGGGAGAGCAAGTGAGAGAGCGAGACAGCGAGAGTGAGTGAGGGTGGGAGTGAGTGGAAGGGAGGGAGTACGTGTTAGTGAGTGTGAATAAGGCCCCTCAGACCAACGGGCTCGTTGTGTGGTTCAGCAAGGCCGCCGTCAATGTGAGTGAGGGTTGCTGTATGAATTTTAGTGGTGTGAGTGGGGGTGAGCGGGTGTGATGATGTGAGCGTGAGTAAGGCGCTTAATTGTCTCGCATGGTTGTCAGACTCACAGCCATAGCCAACTCCCAGAACGTCGTCAAGGTGATGAGAGACGTGAGTGAGTGAAAGAGCGAGAGAAATGGAAAGGGGTGTGAGAGTGAGAGAGACGGCGGGGAATGAAGCGAGTCTCACATTCCTTATTTGCCTTCCCAGCCACATGGCCAATTTGTACAACTGGGCATTGCAATCCCACTCTCCTCTCATCCTTCCCCCTTCCTTCCTTCCCCCTCTTTCCCACCCTTCCCCACGCCCCAACCCTCCAGCTCGTGTCCTCCATGGGTCTCGCCTGGCAGCCCGCCTTCGGTCTCCTCGTCATCCTCTACTTCTACTCGCACTACTTCTTCGCTTCCGGCGCCGCACACATCGGAGCCATGTTCGTCGCCTTCATCTCGGTCGCATCGGCCCTCGGCACGCCTCCGCTGCTCGCGGCCATGGTCCTCTCGTTCATGTCGAACCTCATGGGTGGGATCACGCACTATGGGATTGGGTCCGGACCGCCGTTCTACGGGTCGGGGTATGTGTCGCTCAATGATTGGTGGCTGTATGGGTTTATCTGCAGCGTGGTGAACCTGGTGATCTGGCTTGGTGTGGGCGGCCTGTGGTGGAAGTTCCTTGGGATCTGGTAGAGGAGGGGGGATTGGAGAGGGGAGAAGAGGGGGGAGGAGAGGAGAGGAGGGGGGATGTGTACCGTATTCAAGGAGAGTTATGGATGGATGATAGATTATGCGCAAGGCAATGACTAGTGCAGGGCTGTTCTATTTGACTAATGGAGGGTTAAAACCCATTTCCGTAGAGATTTGTTACTCATAATATCTTCTATGAGGGTGACTGGGATTGGATGACATATTGTGAGGCAAATAGAGGTCAGAGGTAAGGCCATCAAATTACGTAGAGGGATGATATGAACAAATAAATAAAATTAGCACAATGCAAACACATGTAGTAAATACTTTGTGTAAATGTATTTCTTATGATGTCCCATCAGCCTCTGTTGAGACCCCCACCTGCTCATTCCACTGCGCACGCGGCGGCATCGGCTGCGAGTAGAAATGCTTGGTCTTTCTCGGAGTGCTGCTGCCGGTCGCTCCCTCACCACCACCACCCCGCCTCCCACTCCCATCCCCACTTCCCTTAGCACTCTCTCTGCTGCTACCCCCAAGCAGCTTCGACCGTCGTCCCGAACCACCAGATTCCCCACCTGATCTCCCACTCACCCTCTCCCCACTCGCTCTCTCCCCTTTTGACCTCTCCCCCTTCTCCCTCCCAGACCTGCCTCCAGCCGTACCTGGCCTAGAGCCTCCCCCTCCCCCACCTCCCCCTCCTCTCCTCCCCCCTTCTGCCTCTGACTCACTATCCATAGCAGATGCTGCCCCGCCCCCTGTGAAACACCCCACTATCGCCCCTCCCTGCATGGCCTTGCGCAGGCGCCTCGTTTCCAGCAGCGAGGGGGAGAGCATGGAGGAGGAGAGGGAGTGATCAAACGACAGGCTCCCATCAACCCGACCAGCAGCAGCAGCAGGACTCTCAGAATCCCAATCCGTGACACCAGCAGCAAGCATGGGATCGGAATATAGGCTGCTAGGAGGAGGGGTGGAGGGACGAGGGGGCGTGGTGGGAGGAGCGGTAGTCACCCGCATGGATCTAGACTTGCCAAAACCCCACCGCTGCGACCCCCAGCCTCGAGAGGACGAGGAGGAGGACGAGGCAGAGGAGGGGATGGAGGGGATGGAGGAGGGAAGTGAGGAGAGCGCGGAAGAGAGCGCGGAGGAGGTCAGGGAGGAAGAGGAGTGCGGGTCGGTGGTGTCTGTGGAAAGGAGTGAGTCCGTGCTGACTTGCCGGGCTACAGAGGAGGCGGCGGAGGAAGAGCCGGGGATGGATGAGGAGGAGGAGGTGGAGGAAACGGCTGAGGAGGATGGTGGGACGGATTTAGGGTTTGCAGCCGCACTGCTGCTGGTGGTGCCCTGCCTGCTGCTGCCGCCGGTGACGCTTCTCCTGCTGCTGCTTCTGCTACCGCTGTTAGTGCTCCTCATGCTGCTGCTCCGCGCCTGATCGCTCCCCCCCACCTCGTCTCGTCTCTGACTGCCACTACTGCTACTGCTGCCCCTTCTCCTTGTTTTCCCTTTGCTCGAATCTAACCCTGCCTGACCCTGTGCCTCCCTCTCCTGCTCTCCTTCTCCAAGCCTACCCCCAGCAGCCCCTCTCCCGCCCAATCCATCCTCAGTCGCCTTTCTTGCCTCCCGCCCCGCCCCACTCGCCTCTCTTTCCCCCACTCCTCCCCCCACGTCCCCCCCCCTTCCCTCCCCCCGCCCCAGTCGCGACGCTCGGGGGGAGTCAGCAGGGGAGGGGGTACCAGCAGGGGAGAGAAACGGCAGGCCCTGAGGGGAGAAGCACCCAGAGGCTTGACCAGGGGAGGAGCGACCAGGGGAGGCTCGACTGGGGGAGGCGTCACTTGGGGAGAGCCGGCCAGGGGAGGGGCGGCCAGGGGAGGAGGAAGCACAGGAAGCCACTACAAGCCTGTCTGTCTGTGGGCTAGAGCTCTGGCTCTTACTCACCCCACCGCCACCACTGCTCCTCATGCTCTCCTTGCCTCTCCGCCCTCCGCCCCCCTGCTGCTGCAGGAAGGAGCTGTCGGATCGAGAGGACGGGATGCGTGGGCGAGAGTAGGTGGCGGGAGGGGGAGGCGTGGGGAGACGAGACGGGGATGAGGTGGAGGAATCAGCAGGACCACCAGCAGCAGCAGAAGCAGACACATCTGTCCCCTTGAAGCGGCTACTACTGGGTCTGGATCTCGTGGGGCGGCCAGAGGAGGGCTTGCTGGGGACTCTAGAAGGAGATTCAGTGCCGCTGGTGCCGTTGGTGCTGTTGATGCTGCTGGTGTTGTTGCCACCGCCATCACCGCCACTATCTCTTCCATCAAGTACGGCTGCCACCGCTGCTGTTTCAGCAATAGGCGCGGTGTGAGCGCGTGGAAGCTCGTTGTCCTGCTTCACCTTGGTCTTTCCTCTCACTCTACCACTACCGCTGCCACTGCCACTGCCACTGCCACTGCCACTGCTGCTGGACCCCTCGCCCTGACTGCTCTTCTTAGCCCTACTGCCTCCTGCCCTGCTCTTCCCACCCTGTTCCACTTCACCCACCCCCTCCCCGCATCCCCCATTCACCCCACCCCCTTCCTCCATGCTCTGACTCTGCTCCTCGCCTTCCCTGCCCCCTGCCCTCCCACCCCCCCTCCTCGCAGCACCCCCCCTCTTCTCCGTCCCACCACCTTCAGACCGGGACACAGGGACGGCAGAGCGCAGGGGGACGGCACTGGCGGGGGACTCAGGGGGAGTCACGAACGCAGGGCTGCCTGTGCCGTCACTGCCGCCATTCACACCGCCGCCACCACCAGCACTACCCGTGCTGCTGCTCTTGTGCATATTCATGGTCATGGCTGTGCTTGTGCCCCTGCTGCCCTCCCCTTCTGCACCAGAGCAAGCACCACCAAACTCGGCGGCAGCAGAGGCAGCAGCAGCAGCAGCAGCAGCAGCAGCAGCAGCAGCAGCGGCAGCAGCAGAGGTAGCAGTGGCGGAGACAGTAGCAGCAGTAGGCGCGGGTGTGTGCGGCCGGTTACACTGCAAAGCCTTCTCCCGCACAATACCGCTCCCCTCACTCCGCCCACCCTCCACCTCCGAAGCCGCTGCAGCCCCTGCAGCCGCTGCAGCTGCTGAAGCTGCTAAAGCCGCCTCACCACCCCTTGGCGTTTGCGCGCGTCTAGCCTGGCACGAGTCATCATGCACCTTGGTGACCTCTCCGCCGAACCAGTCCTCATCTCTCCCGTCCATGCCGCATGCCTTGCGGAACTGCCTCTCTGCCTCGGCCACCTTCTCTGCGACGAGCTGGGAGTAGTCAAGAGAGGCGGGCACCTGTGTGGAGACACAGCCTATTGGGGACTCCACCCCGCATATGCGGCACAGGCCTAAAAGGACGTCTACTAGCGTGGCGTTCACCGCTTGCAGATTCGCGAAGTAAAACGTCTGGGAGGGCGGCCGGGGAACGGAGGTTTGGGAGGGAACGCGGGGGAATGGGAGGGATGTGATTGAGGAGGGGGAGACGAACGGGCACTGCTTACTGCTCGGTGGGCAGGCGTGGACGTGCATACAGGTCACAACCAACACCAAGCCACCCACCTGCACTTGAAACACTGTTTCCGATGAATCCAAAGCAGCACCGGGCGTGTGCATGGAGTGCGAGGTGATGGTGTTGTGCGCCATGGTGGGCAGCAGCAGCAGCAGCAGGAGCAGCAGGAGGGGCAGGAGTGTGTGTGCATACAGGCAACAACCGGCACCAAAACAACCAACACACCTGCACTTGAAACACTGTCTCTGAAGAATCCAGCGCAGCCCCGGGGGTGTGCAGCGAGTGCGAGGTGATGGTGTTGTGCGCCATGGTGGGCAGCAGCAGCAGCACCGGCAGCAGCAGTGCGAGTGCATACAAGAAACAACCAGCACCGAGCCACCCACCTGCACTTGAAACACTGTCTCCGATGAATCCAGAGCAGCCCCAGGAGTGTGCAGCGAGTGCCAGGTGATGGTGTTGTGCGCCATGGTGGGCAGCAGCAGCAGCCCGCGCTTCAGGTTCGCCTCCACGCGCCCGTCCGCCTGGAAGTTGACAGCGTCCTGCAGCTGCACGCGCAGCAGGTACTGTATGTTGCGGGGAAGCATCTCGTAAAGCTCGTCCCTGTGACGAGGGAAGGTAAGAAGGAGGGTTTTGGTAACTCAAAAGTCAAACTACACGCAAGGTGGGGAGGGGGTGAAGTTCACTGCGTCCTGCAGCTGCACGCGCAGCAGGTACTGTATGTTGCGGGGGAGCATCTCGTATAGCTCGTCCCTGTGAGGTGGGAGGTGTGAAGGGGGTTCGGTAACTCAAAAGTCAAACTACACGCAGGGTGTGGAGGGGGTGAATTTGACAGTGTCCTGCAGCTGCACGCGCAGCAGGTACTGTATGTTGCGCGGCAGCATCTCATACAGCTCGTCCCTGCATCACGAGGAGGAAGGATGGGGAGGAGGGGGAGGGAGGGGGAGGGAGGGGGAGGGAGGGGGAGGGAGGGGAAGAGGGAGTGGGGAAGGGGGAAAAAGGCACCACCCTGCCACGCCACGCCACGCCATGACATGCCATAGCACAGTATGTCTCAGCATGCTCGCACCTGATAGGCCCCAGCACTTCGTCGGGCTGCTGGATGATGCGCCCCAGCAGCACCACCAAGTTGGCATAGTGCAGCGCGAGCCTCTAGAAGCTTCCATGGCATGCCACGCCCTGCCATCCCCACCCTTACCTTGTAGGCCCCAGCACTTCGTCCGGCTGCTGTATAATCCGATCCAGCAGCACCACCACGTTGGCGTAGTGCAGCGCCAGTCCTGCCTCCCCCACACACGCCTCCCGGATGCGCGGCGGGCACATGCCGTGCCCACCATTACCGTGTAGGTCCCAGCACTTCGTCCGGCTGCTGTATGATCCGCTCCAGCAGCACCACCACGCTGGCGTAGTGCAGCGCGAGCCGACAGCTATCAGCTACCATACCGTGGCATGCCATCCCATCCCATCCCCCTCTCCTACCTAGTGGGTCCCAGCACTTCATCCGGCTGCTGGATAATCCGTTCCAGCAGCACCACCACGTTGGCATAGTGCAGCGCGAGACCCGCCTCCCCCACACACGCCTCTCGGATGCGCGGCGGACACATGCCATCCCTTTCCCTTACCGTGTAGGTCCCAGCACTTCGTCCGGCTGTTGGATGATCCGCTCCAGCAGCACAACCACGTTGGCATAGTGCAGAGCGAGACCCGCCTCCCCCACACACGCCTCCCGGATGCGCGGCGGGCACATGCCGTGCCCGAACGCGGCAAATATCTTCTTGCGCACGTAGCATGCTGCTATGATGAGTAACTGATGGGTAGGTAGGGAGGCATTAAGGGAGCGGGGGTGAGGGTGAGTGGCAAGGTTAGAGGCGAGGCAGGCACATGCCGTGCCCGAACGCTGCGAATATGTTCTTGCGCACGTAGCATGCTGCTATGATGAGTAGCTGAGGGGACGGAAGGGGAGGCATTGGAGGAACGGGGGTGTGGGGATGTGGGTAGGAGTTAAGGAGAGGATGTGAGAGAGATTGAGAGGATGTGAGGCGAGGCAGGCACATGCCGTGCCCGAACGCTGCGAATATCTTCTTGCGCACGTAGCATCCTGCTATTATGAGCAGCTGAGGGGGGAGGGAAGGGGAGGATTGGCCGAGAGAGGGTGTGGATAGCGGTGATGAGCAGGTGGCGCAAGGGCAAAGGTATAAAGTGATGCTCTCCTGTTCGTGCTGATGCTCATGGGGATACGGATGGTTCCAGGCGCACCCACCTGCACGAGGAAAGGCTAGGCCCAGAGGCAGTGGCCCTGCAGCTTCTGAGGCGCCTAAGGCGCATCTTAGTGCACTTACCAATGTTTCGAGACGCACCTGCACGAGGAAGTCGAGGTGGTACGCCCAGAGGCAGTGGCCCTGCAGCTTCCGAGTTGATCTGAGGTGCCTCAAGCAGGCGCATGGGCACGGGGAACAGATGCTTGCACGCCCACCCGCACATGAGGAATCGCACCTGCACGAGGAAGTCGAGGTGGTACGCCCAGAGGCAGTGACCCTGCAGCTTCTCCACGAGCTTGCCCTGCGTCACCATCTCCTGCAGCGAGTTCCACTCGCCGTACTCCTGAATGCTGGCATCCAGGGGGACGGGCGGATGGGGACGAGGCCGGGTTGACAGGCGTGTCAACACCAGCAGCCGTGCTACCTGCTCGCCCAGCGTCACCATCTCCTCATGAGGTAGTAGGACCCAGGGGAAGGCGCAGGGAGCAAGAGGTATGAATGCGGCGGAAATGACAATATCTCTCCGCCACTTCCCCGCCATCCTTCTCCCCCCCCCCCCCCCCCCCCCCCCTCCCCCCCGGAACTTCCCCCGCTTCATCCCAACCACTTCACCCCGACCATTTCCCCATTCCCCCATTTCTCACACCCCTCTCCCCAACACTTCCCCTCTTTCCCCATCCCTCCACACCTCTTTCGCACGGCGCTTACCGGCTGTGGAGCTCCTGAATGGACTCCATCTCGCTCTTCAGCTCGCTCGTCGCCTCCGCTTGCTCGCGCATGAACCTGCCGTGCCACACCGTGCAACACCGCGCCATGTCGTGGCATACCGTGCCATGCCGTGCCATTCCGTGCCATGCCGTGACAAACCATGCCATACCGTGGCATGCCGTGACATACCGTGCCATACCGTGCCATGCCGTACCGTGCAAACACAAAAAATGTGCGAAGAGAGAATGGGAAGGGAACGCGAAGGAAACTTATGAGAAAAAGACTGTCGCAACATCGTCATCCCACCAACATTATCATATGCATCACAGCATTCACACAACCTTTGGAGAAAATCATCGAATCACATAAAACACACCTCCCCTTCAGCGTATCTAAAAAGCACCTCCCCTTCAACTCACTTAAGAAGCACCTCCCCTTCAGCGGAAGACGCCGAGAACATCTTATAATCGGCATCTATGCTGGCGAGCCTCGCAAAGAGCCGCTCGAGTTTGTGCAGCCGCGATTCCCGGCACTTGCGACCCAACACGGCGACGCGGCACGCGACGGACCGCAGTTCCTGATGCTTCTCGTACCCCGCGAGGCCCCATAGTACTCTAAGGTCGCTGGAGATTAAAGTCACCACGCCAGGCGCCTGCGCGGAGGGAACCCACAAGGAAACTTATGAAATCTATGCATTCCGTGGCGCGTCGGAAAGAGAAATGAAGTGAAAGCGGGGAGAAGTAAGGGGGCGTGGAAAGCATGCGACCTGGAGCAGAGACAGTTGACCACCTACAAGAACGCCAGAAGTCGGAGTCGAATGGAGTTTGCGTGTATCAGCTACGGAAAAAGAGCTGCAGGACCATACACACGGCGTATAACGAGGTAACTATATCGAACCTGAAGGTTGGCGCGTAGCGAGGAGAGCATTTTCTCGGACATGGAGTCGCATATTTCAAGCGTGCGACGCATGATGGCCCCTATCTCAAACGCGAGCATTTCTGTAGGAACCTCCTTTCCCGTTCCTCCCCTCCCATCGACGAGCGGCTCCACCGACGTGTCGCCATAGAACGACCGTTTAACAATTTTTTTAAGCGTCGACTCGCCTAGCGCCGCAATCGACGGTGATCCGAGTCGAATAGGGGAGTCTGGTCGCTGGTCCCCTGCGGAGGAGTTTTTTCCGCTAAGCGGAGACTTATCTCCGCTGTTCTCATGATCCCCCTTTCCCCGTCTCTTGAAGCTGGTGCTATGGGTGAAGACCCGGTTAATCGTCTGAAGCATGACTGCAAGGGTTACGAGCTGCGGGAATGTTTCTGAATCATTTGTCAAGGGGTCAGCAAGAGTTACATCAACGATAGTTGGCCTTGAGCTTAGCAGAAGAGAGCCGTTGTGCTGCTGTAATGGTAGCACAGAAAGGTTATGAAGGAATAGCTTGACCTTTGATCGAATCGAAACCCTAATGGATGATGAGGCTGGTGTGCAATCTCCATTCCTTGTCCTCACTCACAATTGCTGCTCTGTTGGGTTCATCAGGAAATTTTCCCGAGCTCTCACGAATCCCCTGACTAGCACCGCAGGGGCACGACCAGGCCTGTCGAAGTTCCTGGGGCTCGTACTTGCGCTCCCCAGCTCCTCCCAATCTAACCCTTGGTTGGGGGTAGGTGAGCGTTTTGGCGCCCCTAAGGGTCACGGGCGCACCCCAAAGTCAGAACTTGAAATCAGGGCATGTTTGAAGTTTGTACTTACACTACATTTTACTATGATACGTGCAGTTATCTACTTATATTAGAAGTCAAGAACACCTAACACTACACATGTCTTAAATAGTCATAAAACCTACCTAACCTGGAATGTTCTTCTTCTCTACTCTAACTACAGAAATGGCATGCAGAGCTCAGCTACTCTACTCTAACCAAACATGCAATGCAAGCCTAAGTTGCACGCTTCCTCCCCTTCCTCCCCTTCTCCTCAAACAAGGCATAGGCCACTGCCCAGTCCACCGGGTAGTCTAGCATCTTCACCGTCATGAGCTCCCCCAGCCTCACATCAGAAAGAGCAACACGATCCCACGACTTAATAATGTTTTGGCGGGAGAAGCCCCTCTCACACTCAACAGTGCTGAGAGGCAGCACAGAAACCGCACGCCAGAGAGATACAATGGTGGGATAGTCATCCCTCCAGTCTGCCGTGCGCAGCATGTTGGTGAGAGCCTGATGGAAGCTCTGCTTCTTGAACTTCTTCTCCATGGTGGCTACGAAGAGGCGCATCTACGGCTCTATGTCAGCAAGAGTGACTCCTGCCATGGACATATACAACAAGTAGAACTGTTAAACTGTATTATGCTTGTAGGCTGTAGTGGGGTAGCCATTATGGGGTACAACCCCAACTAGGGTTTCATATTTGTACCCAAACTTCTGCTAGTTCATCATTCTTGCCTAGCTATTCTGATATGGTATTCAGAGCAGGAGGTCCCTAGGACCTACCGACCGTTTTTTAAGGGCCCACCACCGCTCGCATGCGGTTACCACGCTACCCCGTGCCCTAGCCTCGTAGCGCCCTCGTGCGCCCTCGTTAGCGCCCTCGCGCGCCCCTCGTTAGCGCCCTCGCGCGCACCCTCGTTAGCGCCCTCGCGCGCCCCTCGTTAGCGCCCTCGCGCGCCCCTTGCTAGCGCCCTCGCGCGCCCCTCACTAGCGCCCTCGCGCGCCCCTCGCAGTGTCGCCCGCCCGCCGAGCCGCCCGCTCGCAGCCCGCTCGTCCTGCTGCCCGCTTCGCAGCCCGCTCGCCCGCTCGCTGCCCGCTTCGCGGCCCGCCCGCCACGCAGCCCGCCCGCCCGCTCGCTGCCCGCTTCGCGGCCCGCCCGCTTCGCAGCCCGCTCGCTCGCTGCCCGCTCCGCGGCCCGCCCGCTTCGCAGCCCGCTCGCCCGCTCGCTGCCCGCTTCGCGGCCCGCCCGCCCGCTCGCTGCCCGCTTCGCGGCCCGCCCGCTTCGCAGCCCGCTCGCCCCGCTGCCCGCTTCGCAGCCCGCCCGCCCGCTCGCTGCCCGCTTCGCGGCCCGCCCGCTTCGCTGCCCGCTCGCAGCGCCGCCCGCCCGCCCGCTACCTGCTTCGCAGCGCCGCCCGCTGCCTCACTGCCCGCTTGCTGCGTCCCCTCTGCTGCTGCCGCTGCTCTGCTGTGCCCTCACGCCTGAGCTATGGCCTCTATTCGCGTTCTTTCCTTCGATGCTGAGGGCAATCCCGTGCAGTTCACTTCCTGGCTCGACGACCTGCAGTTGTATCTTATGAGCAATAGCACGGACCACATCTCCCTCTATGACTACGCGTCTGGTGCTGCCGCTGCTCCTGCTGCCACAGCCGAGCTTAGTGTTCGTTCCCACTGGCAGACTCGTGACGCAGCTGCTCGCCTAGCCATTCGTAGTCACCTGCCGCTAGCTGAGCTCGAGCATTTTGGCGACTGCAAATCCGCTAAGGCCCTGTACGATGCTGTCGTTGCTCGCTACTCCTCGCCTGCCACAGCCGAGCTTAGCCGCCTCATGCTGCCGTACCTGTTCCCCGATCTGTCCACCTTTACTACAGTCGCCGATCTTATCACCCACCTTCGCACTAGTGATGCTCGCCTGCGTGCCGCCCTTCCCACCGAGTTCTGCGCTAAGAACCCCCCTCCACTGTACTGGACACTCCACTTCATAGTCACCCGTCTCCCTGACACCCTCCGCTCAGTTCGAGACCACTTCCTTGCTCGCTGTCCCACTGAGCTCACAGTCGCCCTCCTAGAGGAGCAGCTGCTCGCGGCCGAAAAGAGCATTGTAGCTGTTGGTGCTGCTCGTGGCGCTCCTCGCACCCCCATCTTTGAGGGGTGTTCTCCCTCTCCCCTCGCTCCCTCCTACGCTGCTGCTGCTGCTGTTGACTTCCTTGGTGCTGAGTCTGTTGGCGCTGCTTCTGCTCCTGGTGGGAGGCGCCGCACCGGCAAGGGCAAGGGGGGCAAGGGTGGTGGTGGTGGCGCTGGGGGGGGAGGAGGTGGGGGAGGTGGGGGGGGAGGCGGTGCTGGAGGGAGCGGTGGCGGGAGCGCTGGTGGGAGTGGGGTCGGTGGTGGAGGCGGGGGCGGCAGCGGAAGCAGTGGCGGAAGCAGTGGCAGTAGTGGCGGCGGCGGCGGTGGCGGCGGTGGCGGTGGTGGCGGTGGTGGCGGTGGCGGTCGGAGCGGTGGTAGTGGTGGCGGCGGCGGTCGGAGTGGAGGCACTGGCTCGGGCCAGAGCTCCCAGCAGCAGCAGCGTCCCCAGACGACCCAGCAGCTTCATGAGTGGCTTGCTCAGCGTGGGACGTCGGGGGGCAGTGGCCGCTGTTCTTATGTCATTCGCACAGGTGATCGCAAGGGACAGACGTGTGGGAGGTTCCACACCCCGTACCGCTGCTTCTCCCGCCTTGACGACGCTTGGCGTGAGGAGATGGGCGCGGATGTTGAGCGCCCCCGCTGGGCTGAGCTCATGAGGGCTGGTGTTGATGTCTTTGCTCTTGACTATGATGCTATTATTGCTGCCATGTATGCATTGACTGTTAGTGCCGAGGGAGACTGTTACTTGTGTGTGCCGCCTGACCCAGGTATAGAGCCCGCTGCCCTGGGTACTAGTGAGTCTGCTCTCTCTGGTATGGTGCCCCCTGTACTTGCTCCCCCCAGTGCTGTCCTGGCTGGTTTCGAGTCTGCTCTCTCAGGTACAGCACCCACAGAGACTGCTCTCTCAGGTACCGCACCGGCTGAGGCCTGTCACACCTTCACCCTTGACTCAGGTGCTTCCCGTTGCTTCTTTCGTGACAGTACTGAGCTCACACCGCTTCCTGCACCGGTCCCAGTCTCCTTGGCTGACCCCTCTGGGGGCCCAGTCCTTGCCCAGTCCACCACTGTCCTCCCTTGTCCGGCGGTTCCGTCTGGCTCGTTGTCGGGTTTCCACCTCCCCTCGTTCTCGACGAACCTGGTGAGCAACGCTGTCCTCCAGGATCAGTGGGTTGACACCTTTACCCCTGGCGGACAGCGTGTGGCGATCTGCACGTGCTCCAGGACCGGCCGTCACCTGGCTACGTTTACCCGTCGGCCGGGGTCGAGTCTCTACACACTGACCACTGCGTCTCCTCAGGTCGCTGCTGTCGGTCAGGTGTCTGCGTCAGGTCTGGTAGCCCACGCCTGTGAGTGTCGTTCCCTGTCGCACCAGACTCTTCTCTGGCACCACCGCCTGGGTCACCCCTCCTTGCCACGCCTTCGTGGCATGCACCGTCGCCACCTTGTGTCTGGTCTTCCCAGGTCCCTCCCTCCCCTCCCTGCCTCGCCTGCGCCGCCTTGCCTTCCTTGCGTCGAGGGGCGGCAGCGCGCCGCTCCTCACTCCTCCTCGTTCCCCCCGACAGAGGCTCCTCTGCAGACCCTCCACCTGGACGTGTGGGGCCCAGCCCGCGTTCGTGGTCAGGGCGGTGAGCGGTACTTTTTGCTGGTTGTCGACGACTACTCGCGTTACACCACGGTCTTCCCCTTGCACACCAAGGGTGAGGTCCCTGCTGTTCTGATCCCTTGGATCCGCACGGTTCGTCTCCAGCTCCGCCGCCGTTTCCGGACGGATCTTCCTGTCCTGCGTCTGCACTCTGACAGAGGTGGTGAGTTTTCCTCCGATCTCTTGAGGACCTTCTGTCAGGCGGAGGGCATCGAGCAGACCTTCACGCTTCCGGACTCCCCACAGCAGAATGGGGTTGCTGAGCACCGCATTGGCCTGGTCATGGAGGTCGCTCGTACCTCCTTGGTCCACGCGGCGGCTCCCCATTTTCTGTGGCCGTTTGCGGTCCGGTACACCGCGCATCAGCTCAACCTCTGGCCCCGTGTCTCCTTGCCGGAGACCTCGCCCACACTGCGTTGGACGGGGGAGGTTGGCGATGCGTCGCGCTTCCGGGTGTGGGGTGCTCGTGCCCTTGTCCGCGATACGTCCGCGGACAAGCTCTCCTCCCGCACGCTTCCCTGTGTCTTCCTTGGCTTTGTCCCTGACGCGCCTGGCTGGCAGTTTTACCACCCCACCTCGCGCCGGGTCTTCGCCTCTCAGGATGTCACCTTTGACGAGTCGGTCCCTTTTTACCGTCTCTTCCCCTACCGCACTGCCCCCCTCCCTCCCCCGCCGCTTTTCCTTGCTCCTGGTCCCCCTCCGGTAGACCCCCTTCCCCCTCAGGGTCCTGCTCCTTCAGGTGTCTCTCAGGTAGACCCTCCTCCCGTCGCTGAGCCTGTCGAGGTCACAGGTGACTCAGGTGCTGCTGCGGGTGGTGCTGCTGGGAGTGCTGAGCCTGGGGGTGCTGAGCCTGGGGGTGCTGGGCCTGGGGGTGCTGGGGCTGCGGGTGCTGGGACTGAGGGTGCTGGAGCTGAGGGTACGGTGCCTGAGCGTACGGAGTCTGGGGGTGCTGAGCCTGGGGGTGCTGAGCCTGCGGGTGCGGGGCCTGGGAGTGCTGGGACTGCGGGTGCTGGAGCTGAGGGTACTGTGCCTGAGAGTTTGCCGCCTGGGGGTGCTGAGCCTGGGGGTGCTGCGACTGGGGGTGCTGAGCCTGCGGGTACTGAGCCTGCGGGTACTGAGCCTGGGGGTGCTGCTACTGAGCCTACGGAGCCTCGGGTTACTGCGTCTGGGGGTGCTCCGGTTCGGGGTGCTGAGCAGTCTCTCACACCGCAGCAGCTTCGTGACTGGTACGTCCGGCGCTTTCGCCGTCCTAGTGGCTCGGCTGGAGTTGGGGGTGCTGGGGCTGCTCGTCCTGGGGGTGCTCGTACTGGGGGTACTGGAGCTGCCGGGACTGGTTGTTCTGGGAGCACTGCGACTGGAGCTGCTGGAGCTGGGGACTCTGGCGCTGGCGGTGCTAGCGGAGTTGGAGCTGCCGACTCTGGGGGTGGCGCTGCTGCTGGTGCTGCGGACCCGCCTGGTGGAGCTGCTGCTGGAGCTGAGGACCCGAGCGGTGGCGCTGCTGCTGGTGCTGGGGACCCGGACGTTGGAGCTCCTGCTGGTCCTGAGGACCCGGCCGCTGGAGTCTCTTCTGCTTCTGGAGACGCTGCGCGGCCGCGACCGTACTTCGTACCGCTCCTTCAGCAGGTTCTTGGGCAGGCTCCTCCTCCTTGTCCTCCTCCCTCCGTAGAGTGTCCTCCGCCTGTCCAGCCGCAGTCACAGTTACCGCCTGCCTCGCCTCTCCCTGCTCCCTCTCCTTACGCTGGTCCCACAGGAGGTCTTACAGAGCGTCGTGAGCCTGAGTCTCGTCCTGTGTCGCCTGTTCGTCCTGCTCGCACTGGTAGTCGTGTCCGTCGTGAGCGTCCTCCTCCTGTCCCAGGCACTCACTACATGACTCTGCGTCCCTCTACTGCTCCTCGGCGTGTCCCTCTACCGTCTCCTCCTGCGTCCTCTTTGCCTGCCGTTCCGGACCCTGAGTCTGACCGGTATCGCGCTGAGCACCCTACAGTCACGCGTCTCCTCGCTACTGTTGTCACTGACCCTACCTTTGAGTCCTCGGCTGCGTCTGCTCTGGTCGCTGAGTTGGTTGACTTTGCTGCTGCCTGTCGTCTAGACTACGCTGCTAGCCTTGTTGCTGAGTCAGAGTCTGCGTCTGTCTGTCCTCCGTCCGTCGGGGGTGAGTGTGCTCTTAGCACGGACGTCCTTGAGGACAGGCAGGAGGACTTTGACTCTCTTGCGGCTGCTGTACCTCATCTCGTGGCCTGGTTGCTTGCCCCTGAGGGAGACCCGGATGCACTAGACATCCCCACTCTGCGCACTTACGCAGAGGCGATCTTGGGTCCCTACTCCTCTCAGTGGCAGACAGCCATGGACGCAGAGATGGCATCCTGGAAGTCCACAGGCACCTACGTCGACGAGGTTCCCCCTCCTGGGGCGAACATCGTCGATGGCATGTGGATTTTCAGGGTGAAGCGGCCGCCAGGTTCTCCGCCTGTCTTCAAGGCTCGTTACGTTGCTAGAGGCTTCAGTCAGCGTCAGGGGGTCGACTTCTTCCAGACCTTCTCCCCCACCCCGAAGATGACCACTCTTCGGGTTTTGCTGCACGTTGCTGCTCAGCGTGACTACGAGCTTCACTCTCTTGACTTCAGCACAGCGTTCCTGCAGGGCAGCCTGCACGAGGAGATCTGGCTGCGCCGCCCACCTGGCTTTACTGGGTCGTTTCCCCCTGGTACCCAGTGGAGTCTCCGCCGGCCAGTCTACGGTCTCCGCCAGGCGCCACGTGAGTGGCACGACACACTGAGGACTACACTTGCGGCTCTTGGGTTCGCGCCGTCTACTGCTGACCCGTCGCTGTTTCTGCGCACAGACACGTCGCTGCCGCCGTTCTACATTCTCGTGTACGTCGACGACTTGGTCTTTGCTACTGCTGACACTGAGGCACTTGCTCGTGTGAAGTCGGAGCTGCAGAAGAGACACACCTGCACTGACCTGGGTGAACTGCGTAGCTACCTTGGCTTGCAGATCACCCGGGACAGAGCTCGCCGCACCATCACCCTGACTCAGTCACACATGGTGCAGCAGGTCCTTCAGCGCTTCGGCTTCCAGTTCTCCTCACCACAGGCCACACCTCTGGCTACCAGCCACTCGCTCTCAGCTCCACCTTCGGACGAGTCCGTAGAGCCGAGTGGCCCGTACCCAGAGCTTGTAGGCTGCCTCATGTACCTGATGACTTGCACGCGACCTGACCTAGCGTACCCTCTTAGCATCCTTGCTCGTTACGTTGCACCTGGGAGACACAGGCGAGAGCACTGGGAGGCTGCTAAGAGGGTGCTGCGTTACTTGTGCAGTACATCAGGCATGGGGCTGGTGCTTGGAGGACACGACAGAGTTGTCCTCACTGGTCACTCGGACGCTTCTTGGGTGGACGACCTGGCTACGCAGCGGTCGTCACAGGGTTACACCTTCAGCCTTGGCTCTGGTTCTGTCTCGTGGCGGTCCACCCGCTCTTCCTCTGTTCTCGGCTCTAGTTGTGAGGCTGAGATCTACGCCACAGCCATGGCTGCACAGGAGTTACGCTGGCTCACCTACCTGCTGACTGACTTGGGAGAGCGGCCTAGTTCTCCTCCAGTTCTGTACGGTGACAACAAGGCGGCTCTTGCCTTGTGTCAGGAGCACAGACTGGAGCACAGGACGAAGCACATTGCTCTTCGCTACTTTCTTGCTCGAGAGCTTCAGCAGCGCGGTCAGCTTCGGCTTGTGTACGTGGACTCGAAGGCCAACACTGCTGATATCTTCACCAAGGCGCTCCCGCCTAGTGATCATCAGCGGCACTGTACTTCTTTAGGCCTTGTGTCCACGTTTCCTCACTTGCTCACTGCTTGACATTCTTTGTACTGTACTTTATATATATCTTGTTGCTTGCTTGCTAGGTTTTGATCACTGTGTTGCTTGTCTTGTACTATATCTAGCACTGCATGTGAACTGGCCTTGTGGCCTTTACTTGTGCTCGGAGTGTGGTGACGTTGTGATCCACCCTGGGCTTTGCTTTGCTTTGCTGGACTGGTCTTGTGACCCTTTGTTCTCCCCCACTTTGCCTATGGGGGTGTGTTAAATTGTAATGTGTTATATGTTGGTAGGCTGTAGTGGGGTAGCCATTATGGGGTACAACCCCAACTAGGGTTTCATATTTGTACCCAAACTTCTGCTAGTTCATCATTCTTGCCTAGCTATTCTGATAAGAACATGTCATGGTTGGAGAAGAACATAAACAAGGTTAGAACATAGACAAGGTTCCTACAACAGGCCTCGCGACTTACCAGGTAGCTTGTTCTTGAACATGTCAAGGAGCTCGTTGAGATGGAGCTTCACCCACGCGTCCTGCTCTCCTGCACGGGGGGGATACTTATCAGGGGTGAAGAAACCAACACCATCAAAATGGCGCAGGTCCGCCATCCTCTTCCCCAGCGCCTTAATGAGGCGCTGAGCGAAACGCCTCGCCAGGTCCGCGCAGGCCTCCAAGTCGCATCCCCCCCCTGGGTTCTTAAGGTCGATGATGTCCTCGTGAAGCTCGATCTCGGCTGTTGCAGGCTTGCCGTTCTCATCCACTCCCTTGAGCTGCATCTTGCGCTTGTCCTTGCTTTTGTGTGTAGCAAGGAACTTGTTCAGGCGGGAGGTGTTCGGCCCGTTGGATGCGCCGGGCTCGACGTAGTACTGCGCCAGCTTGGTCTTCACCTTGTCGACATGATTCTTCACCTGTGTGATGTCGACATGAAGGCAAACAGAGCGCGAATCCATTAAAACCTTGCACATAAGTCATGAAGCGCCTGGGTCATGTTCATAACAACCTTACCGTCTGCTTCTGGAAGGAAAGATTGAGTCCGTTGAGCAGCTGCAGCACGTCAGCCAGGAGGTAATGTCAAACATTATATGTGTTGTGTTTGTGTAGGCTGTAGTGGGTTAGCCTATAGGGGGGTCACAACATTAGGGTTTCATATTTGTACTCACAATCCTTTCTAGTTCACCATTCCAGTCTGTTCATTCTGACATGGTTTCAGAGCAGGTCCTTCGCTAGGACCGTTCTTAGGGCCCACCGCTACATACCTACCTACCTACCTACCTACCTGCGCCTTAGAGCGCCTCGGTTCTTACGGCCCCTTAAGGCCTCGCGCCCTCGTGCGCCTTTCCCTCGTCCTTTTTTTTCGCGCGCGCGGCTCTGTTTCTTGCGCGCGCGGCCCGCTAGTTGCGCGCGTGGCCCGCTAGTCGCCCGCACGCGGCCTGCACATTGCCGTCTGCCCGCTGCAGCGCCCGCCCGCTCGTCGCCCGCTGCAGCTGCCGCCCGCTCGTTGCCCGCGGCCTGCACATTGCCGCCCGCCCGCTGCAGCGCCCGCCCGCTCGTCGCCCGCTGCAGCTGCCGCTCGTGCACCGCTCGCAGCCGCTGCCACCCGTGCGCTTCTGCAGCCGCCGCCCGCGAGGCGCTCGCTCCCACTGTTTTTTCTACCTACCGCGCACACTGCTGCCGCTGCAGCTGCCACCAGTGCGCCGTTGCAGCTCCTGCTGCCACGCTCCCTACTACTGCCGCTCGTGTGCCACTACGGACAGTCGACCCCGCCCGCGCCTTACCTAGCGGCCCCGCCGGCCCCGTTGACCCTACGCACACCTTTCCAGCGGCCTAGTTCCTACTCCTACTACTGTCACTATGGCTAGTCCTCCCGTTCTAGCTTTCGATGCCGAGGGCCGTCCGGTGAAGTTCGAAACCTGGCTAGATGACCTGCACCTGTTCCTACAGCTCACTGCCAAAGAAGACATCTCGCTGTACGACCACGCCCTAGGCCATGCTACTGCCCCTGACACGTCTGCTGACAGCACTCTACGCTCTCAGTGGCAGACTCGTGATGCGCACGCTCGCTTTGCTATTCGCAACTCCCTGCCGCTAGACGAGCGCGAGCACTTCGGCCAGTGCAAGACTGCTAAGGACCTCTACACCGCTGTAGTTGCCCGTTACTCCTCACCCGCTTCTGCTACGCTAGGCCGCCTCACTCTCCCCTACCTGTTCCCCGACCTAGCCTCCTTTCACACTGTCGCAGACCTCATCACCCACCTTAAGACTAGTGAGGCCCGCTTTCGCGCTGCTATGCCTGCCGAGTTTCTCACTAGCAACCCCCCCCCGCTCTGGATCACTCTCTACCACATCGTCACCCGCCTCCCTGACTCTCTGCGCGCAGTCAGGGACCACTTCCTCTCTCGCTCCCCCACTGAGCTCACTGTTGCCCTCCTCGAGAAGGAACTGCTTGCAGCTGAGGCGAGCATCGTCGCTGTAGGCACCTCTCGTGGTGACCCCCGCACCCCGTTCTTCGAGGGGTGTTCCCCTTCCCCCCTCCTCCCCTCTGTCGCCTCTGCTGCTGCTGTCGACCTCCTTGGTGCTGAGAAGGTCGGGACCGCGTCTGCTTCGAGCGGGCGCCGCAGGAGCAAGGGAGGCAGGGGTGGGGGTGGTGGCGGAGGAGGTGGGGGTGGAGGCGGTGGGAGTGGAGGCGCGACTGGGGAGGCTAGTGGCGGCAGTGGGGGAGGAGACAGCAGCGGCGGGAGCGGTGGCAGGGGTGGAGGCGGCAGCGGAGGTGGAGGTGGTCGTGGCGGCGGCAGGGGTGGAGGTGGCCGAGGCGGTGGTGGTGGCGGTGGTGGTCGTGGAGGCACTGGCGGAGGCCCGAGTCAGCAGCCCGCCCCGACGCTTCAGGCCGCCCGTGAGTGGTATGCGCAGCGTGGCTTTACCTGCACGTACGTCATTCGCACAGGTGACCGCAGCGGCCAGCAGTGTGGGAGGCCGCACCCCACGCACCGCTGCTTCGCGCGCCTTAACGACGCGTGGCGCACCCAGTTTCCTGATGCCGCTGAGCTGCCGCGCTGGGCTGATCTGGAAAAGAGGGGTATTGATATTTGGGCTCTAGACTTTGATGCTATTCTCACTGCCATGTATGCCATGTCTATTAGTGGAGAGGGTGCTCAGTACTTGCGTGTTCCGCCCGACCCGGGCATTCAGGCCAGTCCGGCTGCCGCTCTAGGTGCTAGTGCGTCTGCTCCCACAGGTCCTGGTGAGGCTGCTGCCCTAGGTGCTAGTGCGTCCGTGCCCCCTGGTACTGAGTCAACTGCAGCACTGCACACCTTCACACTGGACTCAGGTGCCTCTCGCTCTTTCTTTCGTGACCGCACTGTCCTTGAGCCACTCGCTCGGCCAGTTGCTGTCTCCCTTGCTGACCCCTCTGGGGGTCCGGTCATTGCGACCTCCTCCACTGTTCTTCCTTGTCCTGCGGTCCCGTCCGGCACGCTTTCAGGTCTCTACCTCCCCTCGTTCTCTACGAACTTGGTGGCGGGTTGTGCGCTCCAGGACTCGGGTGTTCACCAGTTCACCCCTGCCTACGAGCGCGTGACACACTGCACATGTGCTCGGACGGGTCGCCACCTGGCTACTTTCACTCGAGAGCCGGGGTCGGACCTGTACACACTGACCACTGAGTCCCCTCAGGTAGCTGCGTCTGCGTCTACGTCTGCGTCTGCGTCAGGTCAGCTGTCCGCCCCCTGCTCGTGTCGCTCTCTGGCGCATGAGACTGTCCTTTGGCACCACCGCCTTGGTCACCCGTCTGTGCAGCGCCTTCGGACCATGCACAAACGGGACCTTGTTGCTGGTCTTCCCAGGGTGCTCCCTCCCCTTCCCGACTCGCCTGCTCCTCCCTGTATTCCCTGTGTCGAGGGACGGCAGCGCGCCGCTCCTCACTCCTCCTCCTTTCCCCCGACGACTGCTCCCTTGCAGACGCTCCACTTGGACGTGTGGGGCCCAGCCCGCGTCCGTGGACAGGGTCAGGAGCGGTACTTCCTGCTCGTTGTTGACGACTTCTCGCGCTACACCACGGTCTTCCCCTTGCGAGCCAAGGGTGACGTACCTGATGTCTTGATCCCTTGGATCCGCAGATCTCGTCTCCAGCTCACCAGGCGTTTCCGCTCCGACTTTCCTGTCCTGCGTCTGCACTCTGACAGAGGTGGGGAGTTTTCCTCTGGCCTCCTGGAGGCCTTCTGTCAGCAGGAGGGCATTGAGCAGTCGTTCACGCTTCCGGCCTCTCCACAGCAGAATGGGGTTGCTGAGCGCCGCATTGGTCTAGTCATGGAGGTCGCTCGTACCTCCTTGAGTCATGCGGCTGCCCCCCATTTTCTGTGGCCATTTGCGGTCCGATACGCTGCGCATCAGCTCAACCTCTGGCCCCGTGTCTCCTTGCCCGAGACTTCTCCGACACTGCGTTGGACGGGAGAGGCTGGCGATGCGTCGCATTTTCGGGTCTGGGGATCCCGAGCTTTTGTCCGCGACACGTCCGCGGACAAGCTCTCCCGTCGCGCTGTCCCCTGCGTCTTCCTTGGCTTTGTCCCGGACGCCCCTGGTTGGCAGTTCTACCACCCCACCTCGCGTCGTGTCCTGGCCTCTCAGGACGTCACTTTTGACGAGTCCGTCCCCTACTACCGCCTCTTCCCCTACCGCACTGCCCCGCTCCCCCCCCCGCCTCTCTTCCTCGCTCCAGGTGCTGAGGTACCCGACCCCCTCCCCCCTCAGGGTGCCGCTCCCTCAGGTGTGTCCCAGGTAGACCCGGGTGAGCCGGTCGAGGTAGCTGTTGACTCTCGTCCTGCGTCTGGGGGTGCTGAGCCTGGGGGTGCTGAGTCTGGGGGTGCGGAGCCTGGGGGTGTTGAGCCTGGGGGTGCTGAGCCGGCGTGTGCGGAGTCTGGGGGTGCTGAGTCTGGGGGTGCTGAGACTGAGCGTGCTACACCTGGAGGAGCCCTCTCCTCCCAGCAGCTGCAGGAGAGGTACCTCGAGTACTGCCGCCTCCGGAGAGGTGCTGCTGGAGCTCGTCCCGGTACTTCCCCTCCTACCCAGGAGCTCCCCCCCATTCAGCAGATCCGAGAGTGGTACACACGCCGCTGCAGTCTTCGGAGTGGTCCTCCGGGTGCTGCGGACCTTGGGGGTGGCGCTGCTACTGGTGCTGAGGACCCGGGCGTTGGGGCTGCTGCTGGTGCTGAGGACCCGGGCGTTGGAGTGGCTGCTGGTACTGCGGACCCGAGCGGTGGCGCTGCTGCTGGTGCTGAGGACCCGGGCGTTGGAGCTACTGCTGGAGCTGAGGACCCGGACGGTGGAGCTGCTGCTGGTGCTGAGGACCCGGGCGCTGGAGCTGCTGCTGGTGCTGAGGACCCGGGCGGTGGAGCTGCTGCTGGAGCTGAGGACCCGAGCGGTGGTGCTGCTGCTGGTGCTGAGGACCCGGCCGGTGGAGCTGCTGCTGGTGTTGAGGACCCGGACGTTGGAGCTGCTGCTGGTACTGAGGACCCTGCCGCTGGTGTCTCTGCTGGTTCTGGAGACGCTACGCGGCCGCGACCGTACTTCGTACCACTTCTTCAGCAGGTTCTTGGTCAGGCTCCTCCTCCCTGTCCTCCTCCCTCAGTAGAGTGTCCTCCGCCTGTCCAGTCACCGTCACAGTTACCGCCTGCCTCGCCTCTCCCTGCTCCCTCTCCTTACACTGGTCCCACAGGAGGTCTTGCAGAGCGTCGTGAGCCTGAGTCTCGTCCTGCGTCGCCTGTTCGTACTACTCGCACTGGTCGTCGTGTCCCACGTGAGCGTCCTCCTCCTGTCCCTGGCACTCACTACATGACTCTGCGTCCCTCCACTGCTCCTCAGCGTGTCCCGCTACCGTCTCCTCCTGCTTCCTCTCTGCCTACTCTTCCTGACCCGGAGTCTGACTCCCGTCGTGCTGCCAGTCCCACTGTCACCCGTCTCCTCGCTACTGTTGTCACTGACCCTGCCTTTGAGTCCTCTGCTGCGTCTGCTCTAGTCGCTGAGTTGATCGACTTTGCTGCCCGGTGTCGTCTAGACTACGCCACTAGCCTTGTTGCTGAGTCTGAGTCTGAGTCTGTCTGTCCTCCGTCCGTCGGGGGTGAGTGTGCTCTTGGCACGGACGTCCTTGAGGACAGACAGGAGGAGTTCCAGTGCTTTGCTGCTGCTTTACCCCACCTCGTGTCCATGCTAGTTGCCCCTGAGGGAGACCCGGATGCACCAGACATCCCGACCCCGCGCACTTACGCTGAGGCGATGGCGGGTCCCTACTCCTCTCAGTGGCAGACAGCCATGGACGCAGAGATGGCTTCCTGGAAGTCCACACGCACCTACGTTGACGAGGTTCCCCCACCTGGGGCGAACATCGTCAGTGGCATGTGGATTTTCAGGGTGAAGCGGCCACCGGGTTCTCCTCCTGTCTTCAAGGCGCGCTACGTGGCTCGAGGCTTCAGTCAGCGAGAGGGAGTTGACTTCTTTCAGACCTTCTCCCCCACCCCGAAGATGACCACTCTTCGGGTGCTGCTGCACATAGCCGCTCAGCGCGACTACGAGCTTCACTCACTTGACTTCAGCACTGCTTTCTTGCAGGGCAGTCTGCACGAGGAGATCTGGCTGCGCCGCCCTCCTGGCTTCACTGGGTCAGTTCCTCCTGGTACCCAGTGGAGGCTTCAGCGGCCGGTCTACGGTCTCCGCCAGGCACCGCGTGAGTGGCACGACACACTGAGGACGACACTTACGGCTCTTGGGTTCGCTCCCTCTACTGCTGACCCGTCACTGTTTCTACGCACAGACACCTCACTGCCGCCGTTCTACATCCTCGTGTACGTCGACGACTTGGTCTTTGCCACTGCTGACACCGCGGCACTTGCCCACGTGAAGTCGGAGCTGCAGAGGAGACACACGTGTACAGACCTGGGTGAACTGACAAGCTATCTTGGCTTGCGGATCACCCGGGACAAAGCACGGCGCACCATCACCTTGACTCAGTCACACATGGTGCAGCAGATCCTTCAGCGCTTCCGCTTCACGTACTCCTCGCCTCAGTCCACTCCTCTGCCTACCGGTCACTCGCTCTCAGCTCTGCCTTCGGATGAGTCCGTAGAGCCGAGTGGCCCGTATCCAGAGCTTGTGGGCTGCCTCATGTACCTGATGACCTGCACTCGACCTGACCTTGCATACCCTCTTAGCATCCTTGCACGCTATGTCGCTCCTGGCCGTCACAGGAAGGAGCACATGGATGCCGCTAAGAGGGTGTTGCGCTACTTGTGCAGTACGTCGGGCATGGGGCTAGTGCTTGGAGGGCGAGACCGAGTTGTACTTACTGGACACTCAGACGCTTCTTGGGCGGACGACCAGGCTACTCAGCGGTCGTCTCAGGGTTACACCTTCAGCCTTGGCTCCGGCTCAGTTTCTTGGCGTTCTACACGCTCTTCTTCTGTTCTCAGCTCCAGTTGTGAGGCTGAGATCTACGCCACAGCCATGGCTGCCCAGGAGCTTCGCTGGCTGACCTACCTGCTGACCGACTTGGGTGAGCGGCCTCGTTCTCCTCCAGTGCTGTACGTCGACAACCAGGCTGCCATTGCCTTGTGTGAGGAGCACAGACTGGAGCACAGAACGAAGCACATCGCCCTGCGGTACTTCCTTGCTCGAGAGCTGCAGCAGCGCGGTCAGCTTTGTCTGCGTTACGTGGCCACTGAGGCCAACCTTGCTGATGTGTTCACCAAGGCGCTTCCGCCTTGTGACCATCAGCGCTTCTGCACTCTGCTAGGCCTTGTGCCTACTGGACCTCACTTACTTACCTCTTGACCTTGCTTGTACTGTGATCACTATATATATATCTACCTGCATGTTTACTCTTGCTAGGTTGTGATCACTGTATCTCATGCTCTGTTATGAACCTGCATGTGAACTGGTCTTGTGACCACTAGCTTGTGCTCGGAATTTGTGTGGTATCCTTGAGATCCACCCTGAGCTTGTTTGCCTTACTTTGCCTTGACTGGTCTTGTGACCCCTAGGTCTCCCCCACGTTGCCTATGGGGGTGTGTCAAACATTATATGTGTTGTGTTTGTGTAGGCTGTAGTGGGTTAGCCTATAGGGGGGTCACAACATTAGGGTTTCATATTTGTACTCACAATCCTTTCTAGTTCACTATTCCAGTCTGTTCATTCTGACAGGTAAAGCATGTAGTGGAACTTGAAGCTGGTTGCGAGCTTCTCCGTCCCGTCCTTCTCCTTCGTCCACATCCACATCAGAACCGGCAGCACGTCGCAGAACCGATTCACAGCATCCCCGCGAGACAACCAACGGACGGTGCAGAAGCCTTGCACCTCCAGGTGCGTCTTCAGAATGACGTCCTGGAGCTGCATGTAGGTCTTGTGATCCGTAGATGAACGCCCGAGACGCTCAGCAGTCTGGCGTATCATCTGATCCACGACGTTGAACTCCTTGAAGCTCTTAGCGGCATCCTTTGCAGCCAATGCCTCGCTGCACAAGCACGAAATGTGGGTAAGTATGGTTGGCGACGAAAATAACATCACATAACAGTGCGGTGCAACCTTACCGATGCGCCACGCAGTGAATCGCCACCAGCCACGGGCAACGTTTCCGAAGCAGGGCGACAACCCCGTTCTGCTTGCCAGTCATGACGGATGCACCATCCGTTGAAACCCCAACCAGCTTGTCCATCGACATGTCCTTCGACCACAGACAATTCACGATCGCGTCGTACAGTGCTGCAGCGTCGCATCGCTCGAGCGACAGGAGAGCAAGAAACTGGCACACCACGGCCTCGCCTCTCTCGAACATGCAATACACGATGAGATGCTTTCCACGGGCGCGATCCGTGGATTCGTCGAAGGAGAGGCTGTACCAGGCCGACTCTTTGACGTCCACGAGCTGCCTGGCCACCAGATGCTCCGACATAGCCTCTACGAACTCGCCGAAAGCGTATCTGCAATTAGTACCGACTGAAAATGTAAGTTAGTTACTCACAAAAGAACAGCAATAGAAGTACGTAACAAGCAGAAACCTCAGACCAGAATCAGAAGCAGGATAGAAGGAGCAAAAACATAGGCTAACAACCACGTACCGCGAGTAATAACGACCGTATGCTTCGCTGTTCCGCATGTCGGGGCATCCTTGCTCCGCCATGAACCGCACCAGCAAGGGGTAGAGAGCGATAGGTGCATCGTGCTGCGCGATCCAATGAGCTCCCTGCATGCATTTCACGACTCTCGCCATGACAGGATTGCTGCTGAGCATGTTCAAGAGGCTGCGCTGCCTGCAGCAAGTCATTCTGCTTCCATGGCCGCGAGGTGCACCTTGGACTGGTCATGGTTGCGGCATGCAGACTTCTGAAAATCCCTCGCACCGACGCCAGGACCGCCAAATGGAGACTTGGTGTTAGGAGCGAACTTACAGCACGCGGAACACTTCATACCGTACTGGCACTCCTCTTTGTCCCACTTCAGGCTCAGCCACGAGTACGTCTGCTTCCAGGCTGTGCTGAAGCGTCGTGCATGACGCCTCTCAACAGCAGGGATCTCGGTGTCCGCGGGTACTTCTGCATCCTCTGCGATAGCCTTGTCCTGCGCATCCAGCTCCTCAGCCGTGGATGGAGGCGGCGTGCTTCGTGCGCGCTTCCGCGATTGTGGTGGCGGACCTGCGAAGCTGAGGTGCACCTGACGAAAGCGGCCCGCAGACCTCGGTGTAGTCTGCGACGATGCGGCTTGCTGGGCGTCGCGTGGGTCCAAGACAGAGACTGCTACATCTAGCACCTCTTCCGCATCCGGTGGTACGTATGGCTCGGTCTCGGTCGTACTATGCGAATGAGAGATGCTCGTCATGGCCAAAACTGGAGGAGGGGTTTCACCCTCGCTAGGCTCCATTGTGCGAGAACGTTGCTGACGAAGTACACTGGTCAGCTAGCCATAATATACACCTCGCGTGTGTGAGTTAGGCGACGCGGGGTTTACACGACAGGGTGGGTGGGTGGAGGAGAAGTGCCATAGCACGGCACTTACGAGGGTGGAGAGCAGAGAGCTTGGGTGGATGGTACCGTGGTGGTGGTTGGACGGTGGGGAAGAGAAAACATGGCACAAACAAAGGAGGAGAAGAGAGGGAGCCTGGGTGGGTGGTGGTGGTGGATGGATTGCATGGTGGTGGAGAGGAATCGTGGCTCGCACGAACGAAGGTGGTGAGGGAGCTGCTACGGTGGAGTGCTTCAGGTCCTTTGACGTGCTTTGGTTTAGTGTGTAGGATGTCTCTGTGGCCAAGGAACTTAGCCAGATTCACTCAAGATAATCCCATGTGTTACAGCTGTACACTGCGGCCAGCTCGTATTGGACGCTAAGGGAATGTGCGGGTGCTCCTAGGCTGACTGAGACACGCTACACACACAGGATTGGCTACAAAACGCTAAGGGAAAAATCCCCTTGGCGCGCTCTAGTTCAGGCAGAGGAGAAAGAGGGGGGGGGTGGGTGAGGGTGTCTTGGGCACCCTTGGGGGGGGGGTCCTACGACCTGAAACCTACACTTAGATACAGGGGAAGGCCCGGTTTCGTCACTTAACGCATCCGGGAAAGGTTCGAATGAGGCACTTAGTGGCACGGGTGGGGTGCGATTTTAAAACTTGACGCATTGGAGCTGGAGCGAAACTAGCCCTTAATGTCAGGGCATTAAGGGCATATGCCCGTCAATCGTCAGGCCTGGGCACGACACGAGAGAGGAAGAGGCGCGAAAGGGAGTAAACTTGAGCTGGAGTCGGGGTCGGGTCGGGTCGTCCTGCGCTTGATGATTGTCGCCATACTGACTATTTATTGCACAAGACCCTATTGTGAGGACGAGCCCTTGTCTCGGGTTACTGCAGCAAGCCAGGCTCCAACCTTGTTTCAACGTGCCGAAGCGCAGGGCAGATTTCATCCTGCCACTGCCGACCGAACTTCGTGCGCCCTGCTTCACCTGGCCCTAGCTCAACGACCTTCCTGCAGCCGTCCAAATCTGGGCTGGACTAGACCCTCCCACGCCAGAAGCACGACAATGTGCTTAGCAATAAGGAGGATAAGTATGATTGTGCACACTACTGGACTCAAGTTCAGCCTTCAGTTTCTCTTACACATGGTACTACAGGCAAGCAAACAGACCAAACTGACCAGCGCATAATTTATGTTTGTAGAGATGCAATTAGTACCATTTTCATGCCAGACCACTAGATAAGGCCAACAATTCTAACAACACTAGGTTCTAACCTTTTACATCCACATAATTTGGGAGATTTAAGATCTCCAGATCAGCCTTGTACTTGCACACAAGCGTGCACACTGACCGAATTTACCCACGCATCATTTTCTCTGTACACTAACAGTGAATACCATATGTATTTCTCTTTTCCTTTAAAGTATAGCATTCCCCACCCCCCTACCAAGTTCTAACCTTTTGGATCTATGTAATTTGCCAAATATAGGCATTCCAGTCGTGCATGGTACCTGTACTATATGCGCGCATACCGACCAAACTGACAAACGCATTACTTATGTTTGTAGTGATGCAATTAGTACCATTTCCTTGTTAGTCCACTATATTTGGACATCTACTTTAACAACACTATGTTCTAACCTTTTAGATCCACAACATTTCGGAGATTTCAGAGTTTCAGCTCCGCCTTGTACCTGCACACAAGCGTGCATACTGACCGAACCGACCCACGCATCATTTTCTCTGTACAAAAACAAGAAATACCGTATGTATTTCTCTTTTTCTTTAAAGTATACCATTCCCCTCCCCCTTACCAAGTTCTAACCATTTGGATATATGTAATTTGTCAAATATAGGCATTCTAGTCGTGCATGGTACCTGCACTACAGGCGCGCATACCGACCAAACTGACCAGCGCATTACTTATGTTTGTAGAGACGCATTTAGTACCATCTTCTTGCCAGTCCACTAGATTAGACCACCTACTTTAACAACACTAGGTTCTAACTTTTTAGATCCACACAAAACAGTGAATACCGTATGTATTTCTCTTTTCCTTTAAAGTATACCATTCCACACCCCCCTACCAAGTTCTAACCTTTTGGATCTATGTAATTTGCCAAATATAGGCATTCTAGTCGTACATGGTACCTGCACTACAAGCGCGCATACCGACCAAACTGGCCAGCGCATTACTCATGTTAGTAGAGATGCAATTAGTACCATTTCTTTGCCAGTCCACTAGATTAGGCCATCTACTTTAACAACACAGGGTTCTAACCTTTTAGATCCACATATTTTGGGAGATTTCAGAGCTCCAGCTCCGCCTTGTTACCTGTACACAAGCATGCATACCGACCGAACCGACCCACGCATCATATTCTCTGTACAGAAACAATGAATACCATATGTATTTCTCTTTTCTTTTAGAATATATTATTCCCCACCCCCCTACCAAGTAATAACTTTTTGGATCGATGCAATTTGCCAAATATAGGCATTCCAGTCATGCATGGTACCTGCACTATAGGCGCGCATACCGACCAAACTGACCAGCGCATTACTTATGTTTGTAGTGATGCAATCAGTACCATTTCTTTGTCAGTCCACTAGATTTGGCCATCTAATTTAACAGCACTGGGTTCTAACCTTTTAGATCCACAACATTTGGGAGATTTCAGAGTTCCAGCTCCGCCTTGTACCTGCACACAAGCGTGCATACTGACCGCATCATTTTCTCTGTACAAAAACAATAATACTCTGTGTACTTCTCTTTTCCTTTAAAGTATACCATTCTCCACCCTCCTACCAAGTTCTAACCTTTTAAATATATGTAATTTGTCAAATATAGGCATTCTAGTCGCGCATGGTACCTGCACTTCAGGCGCGCATACCGACCATACTGACCAGCGGATTTCTTATGTTTGTAGAGACGCAATTAGTACCATCTTGTTGCCAGTCCACTAGATTAGACCATCTAGTTTAACAACACTAGGTTCCAACATTTTAGATCCACATAATTTGGGAAATTTCAGAGGTGCAGCTCCGCCTTGTACCTGCACACAAGCGTGCATACTGACCGAACCGACACAAGCATCATTTTTTCTGTACAAAAACAATAAATACCATATATGTTTCTCTTTTCCTTTAAAGTATACCATTCCCCACCCCCCGACCAAGTTCTAACCTGTTGGATCTATGAAATTTGCCAAATATAAGCATTCCAATTGTGCATGGTACCTGCACTACAGGCGCGCATACCGACCGCCAGCGCATTACTTATGTGAGTAGAGATACAATTAGTACCATTTCCTTGCCAGTCCACTAGATCAGGTTATCTACTTTAACAACACTAAGTTCTAACCTTTTAGATCCACATAATCTGGAATATTTCAGAACTCCAGCTCCGCCTTGTACCTGCACACAAGCGTGCATACTGACCGAACCGACCCACACATCATTTTCTATGTACAAAAAAAGTGAATACCATATGATTTTCTCCTTTCCTTTAAATTATACCATTCCCCACCCCCCTACCAAGTTTTAACCTTTTGGATCCATGTAATTTCCCAGATACAGGCATTCCAGCCGTGCATGGTACCTACACTACAGGTGCTCATACTGGCCAAACTGTCAAGCGCATTACATATGTTTCTAGAGATGCAGTTAGTACCATTTTCTTGCCAGTCCACTAGATTAGGCCATCTACTTCGACAACACTGGGTTCTAACCTTTTAGATCCACATAATTTGGTAGATTTCAGAGCTCCAGCTCCGCCTTGTACCTGCACATGAGCGTGCATACTGACCGAACCGACCCACGCATCATTTTTTCTATACAAAAACAGTGAATACCATATGATTTTCTCTTTTCCTTTAAATTGTACCATTCCCCACCCCCTCACCAAGTTCTAACCATTTGGATCCATGTAATTTGCCAGATACAGGCATTCTAGCCTTGCATGGTACCTGCACTACAGGCGCGCATACCGACCAAACTGACCAGCGCATTACTTATGTTTGTAGAGATGCAATTAGTACCATTTCTTGCGAGTCCACTAGATTAGGCCATCTACTATAACAACACTAGGTTCTAACCTTTTAGATCCACATAATTTGGGATATTTAAGAATTCCAGCTCCGCCTTGTACCTACACACAAGCGCGCATACTGACCGAACCGACCCACGAATCATTTTCTTTGTACAAAAACAGTATGTATTTCTCTTTTCCTTTAAAGTATTCCATTCACCACCCCCCTACCAAGTTCTAACCTTTTGGATCTATGTAATTTGCCAAAATATAGGCATTCCAGTCGTACATGGTACCTGCACTACAGGAGCGCATACCAACCAACTGTCAAAATAGGAGCTAGAATCAGGAGCCATAGCTAGGTAAACCCTAGCTAGGCAAGAGAGAAACGAGCAAAGGAGAGGTTACACTAGCAAGAATGGGGATACAAATAGCAAACCCTAGAAGGGTTGTACTCGCTATAGAGCACCCCACTACAGGCTAGAGCATAATATTCTGACACACCCCCATAGCCAAAGTGGGGTGTAATCAGCAGAGCAAGCAAAGCAGTACAAGCTCAGGGTGGATCACAATGTCACCACACATTCTGAGCACAAGTTCAAGAAGCAATAGTTTAAAGTTCACAATTATGAGCAAAGCTAGAGGCAGTCACAAAGGGCAAGTGAGGAGGAGGAGGGCTGGCGAGAGGAGAGAAGAGTGGAGGCGACGACTGAAGCTGCAGACACACGGGCAACAGACGGCTCTGGTGCAACTCTAGTGGCTACCGGGAGCAAGGGCCCCGGAATACAGGAGTAACAGGCTCTGCGTCTGATCAGCAGCGACAGGAGCAACGGACCCACGGGCG